AATCAAGCCTTTCTCTCCAAAGCGCCTGCAGGAATATCTTAGCCTTTGCGATTACTGGTCCAATAAGGCCAAGCGGATCATAAAATCTGGCAATAGTTGACAAAACAGTGCGCTTGCAAATTCGACCAGATGTCAATGCTGGCAGAAACGTGAAAATGAATAAATCCGTCGCAGGATCCCACGACAGTCCTAGAGTTTTTGTTATGTCGCTGCCATCATCAAACTTAACTAGAGTTTCTTTGTCTTCTTCCGGAACTTGTTTGAGCACATCAGGATTGCTGGAGCACCACTTCCTTAGCTTGAAATTAGCCTTGGCAAGTAGCCCTGTGGTTTGTCTCATAATTTCTATGACTTCGTTTGTAGAAGCACCACCAGTGATTAAATCATCAACATAAAAATCGCGGCGCAAGATATCGGAGCCAATAGGAAATAGCTCATGCTCATCTTCAGCCAGCTGATGCATAGTGCGAACGGAGAGAAACGAGGCAGGCTTTGTACCGTAAGTGACGGTATCAAGACGGAAAACTTGAATAGGCTTTTGAGGCGAGTCACGCCATAGAATGCATTGAAAATAGCTATCCGGATTTGATACTCGCACGCAGCGGTACATCTTGCAGATGTCTCCTGTTAAAGCGATAGGAAACGTGCGAAATCGAACAAGCGTGTTTGCGAGCTTTGACTGAATGGAAGGACCAGCCATTAGGATGTCATTTAAAGAATGACCAGAGGATGTGGATGCGGAACCGTCAAACACGACTCTCAACTTTGTCGTTGTGCTGTCCTCCTTCAGAACGCAATGGTGCGGCAGGAAATACTTGCACAAATTTAGCGAAACTGGCGATACAAGCGACATATGACCCAACTCTAAATACTCCTTAATGAATGCAGAGTACTGTGCTTTGAGAAGTGGATTGCGTTCTAACTTTCGCTCCAAGTTTATGAACCGACGATAGGCTTGCGTATAGGAATCGCCAAGCAGATCTGTACTGAGCTTTACAGGCAATCGGACGGAATACTCGCCAGTACGCAGGCGCCTGTAATTAGCCTTGAAATGCTCCTCGCAGTCGAACTCTTCTTTGGTGAGTTTTACAGCCGGATCGACACCACTTTCGAGTTCCCAAAAAGAGCGAACCATCTGCTCGATTCGTGTATTGCAATCCTGTGTAGACGGAGAATTGGATGCAACCAAAGCAGATTTCTGACGCTGCGACCCACCTCCAGTAACTATCCAGCCCAAACGAGTCTGTTGCAGAAGTGGCAGGCCATCAGCCAGTTTAATCTGACCTACGCACAACAACTCGTAGAATAAATTGGCACCGATAAGCATATCAATTTGCTGTGGCTTGAAGAACGCCGGATCAGCTAAGCGGACATTGCTTGGTATATCCCAATGAGATATGTCAACCGTGAAAGTTGGTTGGTTCTCAGTAATGGAAGGAGCGACCAAAGCAGTAATATTTGCGGAATAGTCAGTGACCAATGATTGCAAGCATAAGTGCACAGTGCAACCATCAGACTTGAAACTGACGTCACCAAGACCAGACACAGAGGCCGACGACTTGGTCTTTCGAAGTTGGAGCCGGTGAGCGAATCGCGAAGTTATAATGTGCAACTGTGATCCGGAATCGAGCAGTGCACGGCAAGGTACCCAAGTCCCGGCGCGATTTTGAATGCTGATGACAGCGGTGGCCAAGAGCACAACATCTGAGCCGAGATTTTGGGCAGGCAATGAAGCAAGCGATGATGGCGAAACAGCTGCGAGAGCGCTACGTGGCAGTAACAATGAAGACGGCCGCGAGTGTAAGTCAGAAGCGGACGATTGCTCAGGCATCAAATTTACGGCAGCTGAATTATTAAAATGCAATAAACTGTGATGTTTGGCACCACAGGTTCTGCACGATCCAGAATTGCAAGTTCTCATTCTGTGTCCCTTTCTAAGACAATTTATACACAGAGAGAGGCGTTTCGCTTCCTTTAAACGAAGTACAGGCGACAAATTACCAAAAAGTGGGCAACTGTATATTTCGTGTGCATTATTGTCACAAAACAGACAACCATTTGCGGATGGGTTAGTGGCGACAAACGAGCGTTTGGTGTTAGTGTTTTTATTCTTTCCCACCTGATAATTCGACGAATATGATGCCATTGCATGCTCGATGTTTTCCAATTTTTGACACCTGCTATCCAAGAACGTCGCAAATTGCTCCCACGACGGTATAACGTTCAATGGGGCGGCTTCCTCCCACTTTGCCTGCGTCGCAGCATCCACCTTGCCCAAAATTGTCTGAACGACGATGCTGCCAGCTACATCTTGCATATTGCCCAAACTCAACAGTGCACGCATATTTGCGTTGACTTTGTCGGACAACTCTCGCAGCTTGCTTGTAGTTTCAGCCCTTTTAATGCCCAAAATCTCGGAGATGTGTGCCTGGAAAATAAGACGCTTATTGTTAAACCGCTTGTCGAGTAGGTCTAACGCCACTGAATAATTTGCACCACTTATCTCAAGCGCACGAATCGTGTCCAACGCAGATCCTCTTAAGCTTGACCTCAAATGCTGCAACTTTTCCACATCGGAGAGATCTGGATCCTTGGCGATCACTGATGTGAACATCGAAGAGAAATCTGCATATTCAGTATATCCACCACTGAATGTAGGCAACTTAAGCTCAGGCAAACGAGACCGATTTATCACAATGGTAGACTGATCATCTTGCCGAAGCGTCGAACACGGCGGCGCGCCAGATTGCATCCTTTGTATTGTATTTAGCAGGCGGCCCTCCAAGCAGACCACCAGCTCAGCAAAGTTGCAGCGCAAACTGCTGCCAATCTCGTCAAAGTCCAGCTCCTCTAATTTGTCATGCACCAAATTAAAAGAGGCCTGAATACTTTGCAGCATTTCCACACGTTTTCGCAGCTCACTTTCTGAAATATTGTCAATTTCACAATCATTTATTTTATTTTGAATAGAAAGCGCCCACGCATATAATGATTGCGCCTTGCGCTTATAAAACTCAACACTATTGCTCGTAGCCTGCACTGCATTGCCCACAGCTGTTGACGTCGAAGCTGTTGGCGCAAGCGTCGCTGCATCAGCTACGTCAGCAGCAGCTGATGCGACAGCTTGGAAGGCGCGCATTTGACCGTCGCTCTCAGACATTATGAACGCGAGAGAGAACCGAAAACCGAAAATAGCAGAGATAAATGACGCGCGCGAATAACTGTTTTATCTGCTGATGTTCGTTGCCCTCAAAAACGTCGCTTCACACGGCTGCTTATTGGCGGTACAGTAGGCACTATGAACTTATACTTTTGCACTTATGTACTTGAATATTTTTTGTGTACAATGAACTCAATTATGTACGCTTTTGTTTTTTAACGCGATTAAGCAAGGTTTTGTGGAATTATTAATCACGTCGGGGTCACCAAAATGTATAATCATAAGCTTTTTTATGATTCCAAATATGCGAAATTATGTTGGCGAAATATTTGCAAAATAAGCGAAACGAAATTGTTCAATTTAAAAGAGGTGCACAAATGTTTATTTTGCATAGGTAGCGATCGCCGAGATTTACAAAGTTTATGCTGGTAGACGGAAAGCTAAGCTTCTCCGTACCAGATGCGATAACGAAAAACGAACTTGACTTGCAGAGTTAGCGACAATAACTAGTACATATGTGGCGGCTGCGCAGCAGCCTATGCAAATTTATGGCAACAAAAGGAAACGTTAAGTGCTCGGCTTGCTATGCAAAGCAAGCGACAAGAAAACGAGCACTTTGCATTGAGTTATTTACGTTACTTATTAACTATGATGTGCTGCTGGTTTTGGCTGTTTTTGGCCGGATGACCAAACAATAAGAATATTTAAAAATATTCCCAAATAATCGTCTCGCAGCCTCTTTTTTTAAATTGTATTTGTAATATTAGTTTTAAAAGTTATTGTTTAATCTTTTGGTAGAAAAGACTTAATTTTCTATAACGTAATGTCTGTACTAGAAAGGCATGTATGCATCCAAAATATAACCTTGAGTCTAAGAATTGGAAATATAAGTGCCTATGATTCAGTATTTTCGAGCAGATAGCTGGCATGTGTTAGTATTGGCGACTTTTAGGGTATTATGGCATTGCTTTCCCCATAGCGTTATAATACATCTTTTGATTTTGCTGTCAATCCCTTCAGTAAGCAGCTAAAGGCCCTTTGGCATTGTCTCTGTTTGACAAACCTGCTAAAGAATGGAAGCGCCAGCGCCTGCCCCAACCTTTTGTCACTTGGCAGCGTTCGCTTCTGTTCTGGCGTGTCTAATAAGCCAATCATAATAAATGTCAAGCACTTAATTGGCAACATGCCAACGGCCACTTGTGCGCGAGCCGTCTGTCAGTTCATCATTATGGCCAACCGGCGGATAGTCATTAATACTTAGCCGCTTGAGTTCATTGCTACACTAACGTTGCTCATACGCCATGTGGTGGCTGATATATGCTGATGTTTCAGAATAAACAGCAGAAGACAGCGAAACATAAATCGATTTTGGAATGCGCCGCGCATTTTCCTAATTTATGGTTTCTGAATGACTCTCAATAATGATTGCCAAACCACCTGGCACAGCCTTATGAATACGCACATACGAGAGCCGAACGATAAGTAATCGCTCTAAGTAAGAACACGCAAGTCTTCCAATATAATGCGCATTTCTCTTATTAGCATTATCCATCAGCTGATTGCTATTTAGAAATGTCATGCACCAGTGTATCCTTTTTCTGAAGAGCTACCAGGCCTCACAAAAAAAGGTCACTACACATCAAATGTTAGAAAAAATCCATTAATATTATTTATGTGTATATATATACACACGATCCAATAGATTTCGCTCTAGCTGTAAGCATCCTTTATCAAATTATACTGGATATAAGAAAGCCAACATTTAACTAGGTGCTTCCTTCGCTGACAGTCGACAATAAATGCAATCGTGTGAATATTTGTTGAAATAAAAAAATGTTAATTAATGCTGTTTTCACTTTTTTTTTTTGCTTATTTTAACGGTTTTTAAAGAATAGAGCGCATCCTTGGAAAGAGTGAATTGATCTCCGAACAGATTAGGCTGAAAAATAAATTGATTTCCACTCGAAAAAAGTGCATTGCTTACTAAGACCGATTACTTATCAGCCTGACCTCGTATGCTGCTTGATGTGCCGTTAGTCGACTGTTCATTTTCTTTGTTTGTTTGTCCAAGTCGCTGTTAACCTTTCAACGTCTTTGTAGGCCATTAGCTAAAAGAAAACGCTCTCCGCCATCAAAGAAACGCACCTTTGTTTGACTTTGGCTGCAAGGACAACATAGTGCGCAGGTTTATTTGGGTTTGATGTGGGGAGCCTGTTGCTCTGCTTTACTTTACTTTTGGTATTGGGTTGCAACCTCGCGGTCGCATTCTCCCTCACTCGTTGCGACGTTGCCAGCAGCAAATAAAAAGTTGTTGCCCTTCTTTCTTCGTCTTAGGGGTTGCTCGTGCCGCTTGAGCGACTAGACGACAACAGGCAATCAGACAAAGGACACCATATGTATGTCTGTATGTTTGCGTATATATGTGCCTGTTTGTTCATATATTGTCGTTGTCATAGTCGTAAGCTGGAGCTGGCGCCGTCCTCTGCGTCACGCTTTTAGTTTCGTTTATTGCGCTTCCAAAGCCGCAACAAAAACGCGTCTGTGTCTGTTAAATCAAAATTTGTGCCTAAAAACAACAAATTGTTGTTACTGTTTGTAAATTTTTTTATTTTAAATTTAACACACAATATATGTACATATAATTTACCAAAACGTACTTGAACTGTCGCCACAGCTTCGTTTGTATGTAAAATCATTTGTTGCTATGAAAATGTATGCTCTATTTTTTTAAATATTGACAAATTTGTGCACAATACGCTGAAAAGTGATTAAAATCTTTATGTTAGCAGAAAAACAAAATAAAACCAAACACCACATACATATGTCGCAAACAAAACTAAAATCAGCTGAAAGGCGAAAATTCTAAAATTTAGACATAAATTATAAACACTTAAGTTGATTTTGTTTTTATTTCCAAAAAGCCTTTCAATGTTTTTTGTATTCTAAACAATTTGTGTGCATGTATGAACTATATGTATGTTAATAGATGGACGATATAAATTTTATAACTGCCCGATTTGCTGATTGATTGTTGACTGTGAAAATGTGAATAAATTAGCCGCTGGGGTGCTTTAAAGTTGCCATGACGACCAGCCAAATGCACAAAATAAACACGAAATGACGCGAGGGCAGTTCCCATAAAACTGTAAGCATGCACAAAATGCTCTCAAACTGTGTATATGCGCGGATTTTGTGTGAGTTTAAATAATAAAATTTTAAATAAACAAAAATTGCTTTCATAAATGTAAAAAAGTCTGTCAAGCTATTGAGGTTTTTTTTTAAATATAATATTTCTTTCATTAGATTTTTTCAAACCGTATTAAATGAGTTGGTGTGAATTTTAGTAGGAATATCAAGTGAGTAATAAAAACTGCTTTAATAAATGCTTTAACGTCCGTCGAACTATTTGATAACTAGGATTATTTCGGGAATATTTTAGATTAATAGGGATGGTTTTTATACAATGCATATAATTAGACGTATATACAAATACTCTTGAAAAGAAAATAATAATATGTTTTTAGAATTATTTTTCTTTTTTGTTTACAAACATTCTAACATTAATGTTCTTAGTGGCTGAATGAAAACAAACTGTAATGAATTCCAAATGCAGTTATTATAAAATATCACCCTGAATTTAGCTATTTTCAAAAACTTAATGTATAAATCGTTCACAATTAATTTAGTTTATTAATTTCAAATCAAAATCTTTCTATGAATATGAACTTCTTGAGTGGCATTTCTTTAATTTTATCCGACTTAATGTTTTTCATATGATCAGTTGCATGATTTATCAATTATTATTATTTATTAATTGTTCTGATTGGAACTATCCCCTATCTGATTGCTGTACAAATTGACCAGTGTGTTCATTTTATAAGGACAACAATAGCTGATTAAATGAGTTCACATAATTGGTGCTTGGTTTTTTTTAATGCTCTTTGCCAGTTATATGGAATACCTCAGCGCCAATCTTGTAATTTGAAGCTTTTCAAACATCTTAGATATATATGGAGATGTTTTTAACTCACACCTTTACCACTTCTAGTGTGTGTCTTTTCAAATGTGTGGTATCCACTGTTCGTTGGAAATAAATAATTGTAGAGTATTTTCTCAATATAATATGTAATAGTTAATTTGTATATACATACATACATATGTACATAGTTAATTTGTATGTACATATATAATGTAACTTGCGTGCTAAAAATTCATTGAAGGATAATAGTTTGTTCAACCTGCTCTGCCATAGTCGCCTCGTAGCTTTTAATGTTGCTTTGACACACTAGGGAATCATAATGCAGCTTTCTTCATCCTTGACTCCAATATACTTTTTATTGTTTAATTAGCATTTCAATTAAGTGAAATATTTGCTCAAATGCCGTCACCCACATAGCTAAAAAACAAACAAATATTAAACATATTTAAATACATAACATCTACAAGTATATATATATATATATATATATATATATATGTTTCATATCAGTTTGATCATCCATAGTTCTTACAAGAAAGAAAACAATAACCGCCCACAATATTAACCAGAACATTTAATAGCTTTTGCGACCGCGTAACTTTAGAGAGTAAATCTCATAAAATTTGGCTTTCATAACAAAAATAAACTCCCGAAACCAATGCTCATAAAAAAGTGTAGCCTAGTGGGAAAGGGAAGCCCGCACATCTTGATTTATGTTGCAGAGATAGCGCAGCCAGCAGGTTGCAGCATTACAAATAAACACAGATACATACATGTTCATGTATGTATGTACAGTGGTGACAAATAGTATTCAAACATCAACATTATCAAAATAAACTTTTTTTGGCTATAATGTTTATAGTATAAATACAGATGTATTGAAATTATTTTATACACCTCGACAACTTTTTCAAACTTAAATTCTGGATATTCAATTTCTTATATTTATTTATACATTTGAATTTGCTGGTTTGTATTTAATTGTCTGCCACTGTACATATAGTATGAGCTTAGGTGTTTAGATTTACATTCACAGAACGACGAATGAAATGCAAAAGTGAAGAAGTTCCTCAACACGTCGGGTATTTGAATTTTTGTGTATTTTATTTTTAAACACTTCTTGGTTAGACAAATTATGAGCAGCAGCCTAGGCCCAACAACAACAGTTCCATATCTTCTGGGATTTTATTTTAAGGGAGCTAGCAGCCATTGCGCCAGCACATTTAAGGTAGACACGCACATAAATTATAAAAATATTCAAAAGTATGTCAGAATTGTATGTTTGGAATGATGATGGGCAGACACCTCAAGAATTTCTATGCGCTGATCATGATGGTAGGTCCGGAATGGGAATGGTGCTTTGGTGCGTCTAACTAATTTACATGCTGATTAAGTGTCAGTTTATTAATGGGGCGTATTGGAACGATTTCATGGCTTAATGAAAACACTATTGATGACAAGAGTAATTCATTTTTGTTATTGGGCGGGAAGCGTTTTTATGGGAATTCCCGAACTCCTTGGTTTGTGCTGATAAGATTTGATATACTCTGTAGAACAAAGTATTGCATTGTATCTCCAATTATGATAGCGTTCCAAAAATGTTTATTAGGGATGGTATAAAAGCGCGGGGAAACATGATTAGGTGTTTAAAAATATAAGTGAGTAGTGCGATGAGGTTGCTTTTGAAGGCCGCAACACATCAGTGCTTTGTAGACGTGATATAATGTGCCTGATCGGCAAGACTAATATGTACCTTACCAATGCAATTAAATTTTAACAGGCCCCTCTTGAGGTAAGTTATCCTTTTGAAAACTCCAGAATTATTTTAGTTCCGTTTTCTAACTTGAAAAGGTTCAAATAAATGGGCTGTTCATTTGATTGGTTTTTTCATATTAAATCAAAAATAGCGCCAATATATATGTATATGTACTTGTATGTTCGATAATCATCACCCGCTATCGACGCCGGTGAGAATTCGACGCTGCTGCGAGCAAACTGGCCGCTTAACACCACTCGCATGGGTCGCGACTCGCGATCCGCTCAGATAGAATTTGCATGGCGAGGCGAACGGTTGACGGTTCGGTGCGTACGTCGTCGAGTTTTTGTAAAACGCGTCGAGGCGCGTTTGCGTTTCTATTTAAAAATTGTTCAACGTGTCCGTGTCTGTGAATACAAGTAATGGTGCCTATTTGAATATTTGTAACTCCAAATTTATAAATGGCAGACGATTCGACAAAGCTTCTAATACATTTTGGGCACATACCAACAAAGAAATAACAATAACGGATAACGGAAGTTTGTAACATTAAAAAGCCTTAACGAAGCGATAAAAGGAATAGTTCTAATAGAATTAATACAAGTAGTTAAACATATCAAACGTGATAAATCGTCAAAATATGTAAGCATAATAAAACAACGTATTTAAATACTTTTGAATGCCGTTAGAGCTAAAAATAAATATATTTTGTGTAAATAAATTTTTAGTAATTCAAAGAATATTCGATAAGCTATAAACATTGACAAAAAATAGACTCTCGTATTATCGAATATTAAGCTTCGTGTGTGGGTTCTATTTACGTTTTATTTCTTAACAGCCCTATTTATCAATTATGGAGCTCGACCTTTCCAAGTGGTTACCACTGTGTGAGGAAACTCCTTTCTGAATTTCAGCTACCTAGTTCTTAACATTTGGATGAATTGCTATTGATTTCAGTTTTCACAATAAAATCTCAATAAATCGGGATCGAAGCAAGACTTACACAAACGATTAATGCAATAAGTTTTTATTTCAAAAGTAGCTCCTAAATAAAGTTGAAGATTAATGGCGATGTTTTTTGCGGCCCCAAAAACGTTTCCTCCTTTGGAGTATGAATTTGTCAAAACCGCTTCCTGGTCATCTACACGTGTGTCCGAATTTCAGCTTATCGTTTGAGGTGTGCGTTGAGTCAGGACAAACTGTTTTATATTTATGTATATACTCGTACATATGTACATATAAATAGATTTCAACATTTATTTGTAAAACTTTGAATGTCAACTTTGACCTAAAAACAGATATTATACCAAATTTTTATTAAATTTTTAATAAGCAAAAGGATTTATGTGGTTTCTGATTAAGTTTTCTTCCTTAAGTTAAAATATACTTGAATAATAAACGTACACAAATAATCCTTTTCTCACAATATACTTTCATTCCCATGAGGTAACGTAATTCATATCAGGGCTGAAATGTCACTTTAATCTTCAATTAAACAATTGTTTGAAAGAAAATATTCAAGAAAAGATGGGGGAATATAAATGAAGCTTTTAGACTGAAATTTATATCATAAACAATTTTCGAGTATCAATATTAGTTAAATAATACAATTATTACGAATAGTTCTTCACTATCTCGACGATTTCTTTTGCTGATACGATCGTCTGAAGGGGCTTTAAATGTATTATAAGACACTTAGCTCGTGATTGTTATATCGCGAACAAAGAGTTCCTAATACTTGTATATACATATATTTTCTTTTTTTGAATACCCAGCTAGTTAGTTTTCATTGAAGAGTTGTTAATGCATTTTATCCTTAACAGTCAAGTCAGCAACAAAATAAATAGTCAAGTAAAAAGCACTTCTGAGAGTTGTTTTCATTTAGAATCCAAAATACACAAACAAACCATTGGATTGTGCAAACAACTTGAGTGTTTTCTGCTTCTAGAGTTACACTCTTTCAAAAGTTGAAGATATGCATAAACAATTTAAACAGCACGTTCATTCAGTAAATCTTAATATAGGCTGTATATATTGATGAGTGTAAGCCGATCAACTGGAAACGAAATAAGAAAATGTCGCTCTTCTAGAAAGCTATATACTACATATGTACTTATGTATGCATTCCACAAAAAATATATGTAGTACATATATGTAAATGCATTTTAAACGACCGCATTTCTAACGCTCAAACAGTCTCGTTCTCTCTGTTGTTTAGCCGCTCCAAAGATCGTATCAGATTACCAAAAAAACACATAATAATAAAATAAAATACATAATACACAACAACAAGACGAGGCATTCAATACACAGCAATATATGGATTTGAGGAACGAATTTATGTGACAAGCGTATAAAAGAGCTAAATAAAAATAATATAGAAACATTAAAAAATGCCTCACAAAATGCGAAACGCACTGAATTGGCGATCCGGCGATTGCAGCGCCTCATTAACAGAAACAACAACAACAACAACCACATGCGGGGATTGTAACTGCGCCTGCCAGCGATTGAGTTTGAATGAAGCTCATTTAGGCGAAGCCTTCAGCTATACTCACACGTCCAGCACATTCCTGAGCCCCTGCTTAGTCCTGCATGCGTTATTGCTGCTGCTGTTGGCGTTATCCTCCACACTAGCTGCGCCCCAATCCTGTACAACCTGTGATAAAAACGAACTGCAAACGCAGGCCAGCGAAAATAGCGTCGAGAAGTTCAGATTTGATCATCAAGTGACGCGGCAGGATGCGATCAATGCGCTCAGAATATTTAATGAGAGTGAGTAACACAACCACAATATTATTAATGCATGATTTTTTTGCACCTTCCCACTCCCTCCCCCCTCTGTCATTGCAGCCTATGCCGCACAGTTAACCAGCTCCTGCAATTCGATAAAATGCACAGACACGGTCTATAAATATTGTCTGGGCCAGAAGTTCATAAACGACCATTGTTGGTGTGAGATGCAACATACCGAGGGTAAGTTGGCGATCCAAAATTTATGAGCTGTCTTTATGCATAAGCACATGGCGCTTAACAAAAACAATAACATAAACACCAGCAAAAGCAGCTGCAGCAACAACAACAGGCAACAAACAACAAATGAATTACAATTCACTTGCATATTTCTCATAGATACTTGTAGAGTAAACGAAAAACTAACAGAGACCAGCCCATGCGAGTAGAAGACGCGATACACTGGGAAGAGTATTGCAAATTATTAAAGCCATAAGTTATTTGAAGAAATATATACATAGCTTATACCTAGACTCCAAAACAAATATAATTTCTACAACTAAAATCGCGCTTAAAAGTAGAAACTATTTTTATTACAGCGTTGAACCACCATTTTATCCGTTCACATATAATATTTAACCAAAAATTAAAATGTTTTTATTTATTCATAACAAAAATATTCATACATACATACCATATTTGTATATTTATTTTATTTATTTGTTCGACCAAGAAAGCTTTCGTGCCAAAAAAAAAAATCAATACATTAGAGAACTTAAGCTAAATAAAGATAAAAAATAAAAAAACCCCTAGAAATTACAATAAGTAGCAGAGAGTAGTCAGAGACGTTATTGGACCTAACAAGAAAGAAACGGAGATGAAGAAATGGCAAAAAAATAAATAAGAAGCATGATTAGATTAAAATTAAAATGCGTAATTAGTAAATAAAGATAAAGTATAATTAAAAACTAAAATGTGGAGAAGCACCGACCCGGTGGGGAAGGTTTATTAGCCAGTACGACAAGCCCCGATTCACAGCATTAATCATCGGTGATATTTTATTTCCCTAGAATACTATAATTTAAAATCTTCTTATTGTGGCTTGATAGTTTAAGATAGTCTTTCGTTTCTATTTAGCTTTTGATTCGAAAAACTGTGATACATTTGTAGTTTTAGTGGCTCTGAAATACCTCGACAAATTTAGTTTTCTTAATACTACTAGCCTACATTTAGATATTTCCTCCAACTGATTCCTCGAAATATGAGCCAAACTCATCATCTTCGTTTTGGTAAACCAACTTCATGTAGAATACATATACAAGTACAAGTATAGTATAAAAGGCAAATTTATTCAAATACGTTTTCTTTACACTTCTCTAATATTAAAACATTTGAAATATATTATTCTTATTCTATTCTATATTTTCCAGTATAAGTACACATATTTGTGTTTCCGTATTGCCACTCAAATGATGGTCAGAAATTTTTTCAATTATTCAATTAAACAATCAAAACTCTATCTGGGTAGGGCTTTAGAGTATAACAGAATTACTGCTTGAGAGAATTATTTACCTGTCCAGGCCACAGTTTAATAATTATTTTCAAGTTCTTCAACATTTTCTTTTTTTGTTTGAAAATTTATGCACTAATATTTTTTTTTTAAATTATTCCGTAAGATATTGGAAATATTTAAGTCGTGAAGACTATTGCTTACAAACCATTAAAATAAATGCATAAAGACCTATTTTGGAAGTGTATTTAACAAAATTTGCGGCAATTTAAAAGCCACCAGTGCCACTAACCCACTTGCAACTGCTGCCACAGAGGCGAGCTCAAAGCTTCATTAGCTTTTTACATTGTCAAACAAAGAGAATCAGCAGCTAATAAGCTGCAGGCACGCAATGACGTTTAGTGGGTGCCCATAATCGGGCCAGTGGCCAGTCGGACAGCTATGACTCAATAGCTGGAGCCGGAGCTCACAATCCCACACTTGGCTATTTACAAGCTTTTGCCACCCTGTAGTGGCGCGTGCGGAAGTTATTGGGTTTACAGATAAACCGCAACCAGATCCCCAGCTACGCTTCATTGCATCACTTTGCATAAATAGTTCGGTTGTTTCTTACCCGCCCTTTTCCCCATTTCTGAGTTGAATATGCAGCGACCCAAGCGTAGTTTGTAAATTATTTTGTGCATTCATTCTAAATACCTGAACAGAACTGGCGGGCAGTTAGAGACTCAGATGCGAGGCGGGTGTGGAACTGAATTATTTTTTTTCTACTTGAATGCTTTTCTTCAAGGCGCGCGCACACAATTTTCAATGCAACGCAAAACGTTCCACAATTCGAGCGCAAGTTGTTCTAATGAGTTAGTGGGCTCATTAAATTTAATTTCCCCCGTTTATTTGTTATTGGCTTTGTTGTTAATTGCTGTGCAATCCACAATGCAAGCTCTTCTTTTTAAACCTTATCAAAAGTTAATGGTTCTACTTGGTTAAAAAAAAAGGTGATGATATAAAAATTATATTTTCTTTCATAGCTACAATAACAAAAGAAATGAGTGTCCTACAGATGCGTTAAATCATTCAGATTTCCGTTCTCATTCCATATCGTATAAATATTTAAAATTGTACCTACGTGCTTTTTGTTTTGTTTGAGCAGATGAGTAAACTCCTTTGCAGAGTAACTGTCAGAAATAATAAAGGGCTGAGTAAGATATAAAGAAAATTATAATCTTTGTGAAATATTATTTTGCAAATAAAAACATTATAAATTAAACAATCACAAGCATTTTAAATAAGAAGGTTTTACATTCAAATTTAATATAAAGAACATTTGTTAATAACAGTATATAGACTTCTATCTATATATATCTATATCTATTCGATTTAAGTTAAGCCTTTTATTTTCTAACGAAAACTTAGATTTTGATTTTTAAAAATAATAAAATATTGCAAGCAAAAGTATAAGATTTAAAATATTAAAAATCATTTATACTAAGTACATATAGTGTATCTAGCTGTTGGCTGAAACCGCTCTTCAGAGAGAGGGAGAGAGGAGGAGCAACGATTATAAAATAAAATGCCGTTAAACCTCTAAAGTAAATTTATTGTGCTCCCCCAACTGATAAGATTCCTGCATAGTAGTTGCAGTCTCAAATATATTACAAACATCCGCCAAATGTGCAGTTATCGGCACAATCTTTTCGTTGTATACCCTTATATGAACTTTGTTTGGTTGAGTATTACTTGACTTACCAAAAGGGGTCTTCTTATCACTTTTCAATCGTCCCCAAGTAACCTACAAAGTTAGCGTCTGTTGGACTTAACAAATAATTTTATTTTACGAGCCCAACCATTTTTACATAAATATTATTGCAAATTTTATTATTCATAGTGTGTCGCTCACAACAAACAAAACGCAACTAGGAACGCAGAAAATTCAACGACGTGATTCAAATTTTATAGCAGATGCCAACAATACATCTCAAAGTATTAAGTCCGTTTGATTTTGGTTAAAATATAAAGATTTCCTTCATTTAAAAATTGCTCTAAGCAACCAATCCCTTAAAGAAGCTCTTCAGATTTATTGGTCATTCGTATTTGATCTTATATCTATAAGCTTGCAGTATCGCTAATCCCATGAAAAAATAATGCCTTTCAAGAATGTAGAGCAGAATCAGTGGTTTACAATTTAACATTATTATAATATAATTTTAAATGGCTTTAAAGATTTGCCTTAGTCTAAGTTTTTAAATTTCCAAAACGGGCATATTTTACGATTTGTTTTTTAATATATATAGAGAGTATATATGCAGACTTATGCTTTAAATATTGCACATATATGTAATAGATGTAGATAGGATGTTAAAGCCAATATCTTTATAACTACATCGATGGAAATTCCACATTTCCAAAAAGTCCAATTATGGATCAGTGTGGCCAATACTTTTTAAATTATATCATATTGGATAAATAGATTCCTTTTCATCCCAAACAATTTTTTGTTACTGTCAATTCAATTTTTTTTTATCATTTTGCTGTATGTATGATTAAATCCTTTTTAAAATCCAAGTTTTTTTTAAATTGTACGCATAATTAGATTTCATTACAACTACAACCCTAATTTTCATATTCCTTCCAGTTACGAATAGTCACATGTCTTATGATTTTGAACGGCACTGTAGTTGGGCTCGCCGGGTGGTTCTTTATTGAGGAACGGCGTTGTAACGACTTTTGTAACGACATTTGACCATTTGACTCAACTTTAAATTCGGTGTTCAGGTGTTTCTAATAACGCTCTGTCAGTCTTAATGCCTACTTATTGTGATTGTTCATGAATCGAAGTAATTGAATGCATACTTGTATATATTTCTTACATTATCATTTCCCGCCACCACACACCCTTTTTGGGGTACCCAAAAATTTGCATATATAGTAGCTTTTTGAATGCTGCCGACATACCTTAAGTGTTGGGGCGCTAATTAAAGAGAACATGATTCATAAGCGATCGAAGCCAGTGCAGCAGCTTTTATATATACACTGCCATGCACTTGAATAGGGACAAGATTTTCTAGCATTTGTATTGTGTTTTTCTATTTTGGGGAAAGGGCTGCCTTCAAATGCTTTGGTGTTTCACTTAGAATGCAGCATCAGGGAACTGTACAAATTTACAGTTAGCTTTTAATGATTAACAGTTATGAATTATCACTGTTTTGCTTTTGGCTATGCTAAAAACACACAGTTTTTACCATGCACTTGAATAGGGACAAAGAAGATAACTTTAGTGTGTGTGCAACTATGAACACAGAAGGTTGTATTTTATTAAAATACATATATTTTGATTAAAAACAAACCAAAATGGGCCGTGATCAAACACTCACTTCTGAAGAAAAGGGCAAAATATTAGCATTTAGGGAGTGTGACATGAATATACGACAAATTGCCGAAAAAATTAACAAAAGCAAGTCTGTTGTTGGAAATTTTCTCAAAAACCCATTGATGTACGGGAAAAATATGAAAGGACGCACAAAAAAGGCACTTACATCTTCAGACGAACGACGCGTTCTTCGGGAAGCGTCAAGCTCACATTGCTCCGCATCTGCAATTCGCCTAAACTTGGGAATAAATGCAAGTGTTGATACAGTGAGACGTGTTATACGGAAAGCAAAACACCTTAAAAGATTAAGGCTAAAAAAAAACCCCTCTGGCAAAGCCACGTAAAGACATACGTCAGCTCTTTGCCCGAAATCATATGACATGGAATAAGGAGTGGCATCGAGTTGGTTTTTCTGATGAAAAACGATTCAATTTAGATGGACCTGATGGTTTTAACTTCTATTTCCATGATATACGTAAGGAGGAACACTACCTGGCTCGTCACCATAGCCGTGAAGGGGGTATTATGGTATGGGGCGCAATTTCATATTACGGGACAAGCGAGCTCAAATTTGTATCATCAAAGTTAAACGCTACTTCATACAAAAGCTTGCTTGAGGAGGCATTTCCTTACTTTGGCAACATTTTTGAGCCTATATCTTGGACTTTCCAGCATGATAATGCCCCGGTTTATACCGCACGTGTAGTCAAAAACTGGATAAGCAAGCAGAACGTGTCCTTATTGGAGTGGCCCTCTTACTCTCCTGATCTCAATGTAATTGAGAATGTATGGGGATGGCTTACACGTAAAGTGTACGCATCTGGAAGACAGTTTGCAGACGTCCAATCATTAACAGAAGCCATAGAAAGCGCCTGGAGCGAAATTTCATTAGACTATATAAAGTCCTTATATGATTCCCTTCCTCATCGAATCTACGAGGTTATTTCCAATAAAGGCGGTTACACACATTATTAATAAAGTCAATATTAATATAATAAAAAAAACTGTAAGCTCATTTTTTAATTAGTTTGCAACATATAGAATGTTAAAGTTTTTGTCCCTATTCAAGTGCATGACAAAAATGGTGTGTTTTTGGCATAGTCAAAAGCAAAACAGTGATAATTCATAACTGTTAATCATTAAAAGCTAACTGTAAATTTTGACAGTTCCCTCCTGCTGCATTCTAATTGAAACACCAAAGCATCTAAAGCCAGCCCTTTCCCCAAAATAGAAAAACACAATACAAATGCTAGAAAATCTTGTCCCTATTCAAGTGCATGGCAGTGTAATTCTGATCTGTCTATTTGCATTATTGATGCGTTTTCATGCAATGTCCTCAAAATGTCTGACAAAATTAATAGCAATTGTGGCGTCGATTGTCAAGCTCAGCAAATTGGCTAACAAACGAGGCTCGTTCATGTCGATTTGCATTAAATAATTATTTAATCGAATAATTGTATTAATTGCATAAGTATTTGCGACACGCAGCAACAAGCAAACAGCTCACCTACTTCATAAAAATCACTTCCAAGTCCAAAATTGGCTGCCAATTTGAAAAACAACAACGACTCTGCTGCTGCTATTGTTGTTGCTTTGTTGTAGGCAAATAAACAAAACGTTCGGAGGGCGTTCAAATGAGTGGCCAGCTGGGAAAAGCGCAATTTGATGCGCTCCCTCAGCCAAAACATCAACAATAGCCGCAACAGGCAGCCTCCCGAAGCCTCCAGTCATTTAGCCAAATAAAATAATTTTGTGTTGCCTTTTCCCTGCTGTCTGCTCTCAATAAACAACATATTCTGCTTTATTGATTTCCGCTTCTACTTAAAGAAAAGCAACATTAAAAATATTTCAATTATGCATCATATTTTGCAACAAAATATAAAGTTTATGCCCCAAGTAAAGTGTGGCAATAATTTTCAGATTTTTATTTTAAAAAATTCCACTAAAAATAACAATATTTTCTAGTAAGGGAAAATAAACTCATAAAACGCATAGCTGGAGTCCATATATGAACATTTATTGTTTTTGATTTTCTCAAAAACTTTTGAACAAGTATTTAAAATTATTTACTTTAAAGCATATTGGAGAAGCTTTTAACATATACATATGTATGTGCGTCAAGAAATAGCAAAGCAATAATTTCCAGCATTTCTGATTTAATGCAAAACCAATTTTTCAATTTCATTTAATAATATTTATTTATTTAAATTATTTAATAATTTACAAATTACAAATTAATGCACTGTATTATAAGAAAGGGCAAAACAATGATTTGAATAAAATAGAATATGCTCTAAGATGGGTCTTACATTAAAATACAGTCTCAAAGCACACTTTGACGCTAGTCAAGGTTTGGTTTACAGATTTTACAGAAGTTAATGGGTTAAGCTCGCCAAGTCAGTTTCCTGACCCAAGCCCGATTGAAATGTTTTGGGTGGAGTTGCGGCATTGAGTTGGCATCGTTCCGAAATTACGACCAGTTATTGGAGATTCTGGTATGAGATTCTGATTGATAGCTGTATATCAGGAAGGACTATAACAGTCGTGTCTACCTGAAGCTCGAATACCAGGATCCCCCCGCTTCTCCGCTATAGCTATTAGAGTTATAGTACACTACAGTTAAAAAAAGATCGTTCTTGAACCAAACAATCAATTAAGATTATTAATTTCATTAAAATATCTTTTTTTATTTATTTAAAAGTATGAGTGCTGCTCCGATTTTTGCTATTACAACTATATGATGTAGCACAACAGTCTCTACAAAACTTGTAAATGCTAGATTTGTTTAAGATATTTCTATAAATTCAAAAATCGAAATGATCGGTGTTTTCTCATCGACCTATGACACTTATTGATTAAGAATATATATCGTAAAAAGTCAATTATATATACCAAGTAAGGTATCGGTGTTTATTCGGACGGACATATATAGTATGTATCTTTATTATTTGGGCTGCCACGCTTTCTCCGGCCCGTTACAGTTGGCGTTAAGATTTTTTTCTGTGTAAAGTGTATAACAAGTGTTGAGTTCTTTAATAAATCTATACATTTTCATTATTTCATATGCTACTGACTATGAACCAATATTTTGGAATATAAATTTACGATTTCCAATACCTACTAACAAATTGAAAATGTTGTTTCTTGCAGAAGGTCTTCCCTACGTTCCTCACGTATGTTATGTGGGCGTAAAGGCTTTTAAGCCTTCTATTGGTTCCTGTTTTTTCTTTGAGGAAGTCAAAGAATGCTGTTGTTCCCAAGTTTTGGTCGAAGAGTGTAAGCAAAAAGAAACTAATATCTAAATTCTTAAAGAATTAACTAACCAATGCACACATCTACGTATCTGTACGTACGCACATCTAAACCAATAAATGCCAGATCAATGCTAAATGTTCAGGCCTGCAATACGCATACTTATGTACATGTTTATACTATATGTACTCGTATCTATGTACATGTGCACATTAACAAATCAATGCTAATTCAATAATGTAAATAGAAAACGAATCTATGGGGTTCCTTCTATACTTCACCTTAAACATATAAACAAACATGCTCGCTGCCAAAATCAAATCATAATAATTAAATTTAGTTTACCTCGCTAATTGAAATGACTAACAAACGGCACTCAAGCAGCTTTAAATCATAAAAATAAAAAATATAGCTTTGCAATAAATTTAAAAGCCAATTACTTAGCCCATTTGTATATTATTTCTATTTCGAAAAGTTTATTCTATAGTTCCTAGAGCCGAGCCATCAATATAGCAATCCGAAGTAAATGAAACGCCAATGAGAGCACGCTCATAAACAAATATGACTTTGAATAAACGAAGGTGTGAAATTAATGCACTCACCGAAATCAGTCAAGAAATGGGCAGCTGGTTTACTATTGACCCAGATCTTAAGCCTCTCATATACTTGCCGTATATTCGTGTACATATTTACATATTTCGAAAGTCTCAATATGTTTATAATGAACATTTTAAAAGTCTGCATTTAATAGTTTTATATGAGCTTAAAATTTGATCATCGGTATTAAGTATTCAAATATTGCGTGTATTTAAAATAGTAGTAGATGCCGATCCAAAAAAGGGGGTTTATGTTCATGAGTTCCAACAATAATTCAATAATTATATACTTTCGGTCATATATCTTCAAACACATTTAAAATTTTCTGTACCAATGATCTTATGACAGTATCTACAACATAATATTTATGAAATCTATTGAACAGATAATAGTATTTTAGTAGCCAAAGCTTTTAGTAGGTATTTTAAACATAAGATCAGATATTTCGAAATCGATCAAATGTGAGACTGCTTGTTAATTATTTCATATGTCACTATTGGATATGCACCTCATCTATAATTAATACTGAGTATATTCACAAAACAAGCGCTTGCTCAGCTGAGAAGACAATATTCTAATTTAATCCTCAAATGATGTTTCAAGTTGCCAAGTGTTCTCATTCCAAAATGAAAAACTTCATATTTTACTTTACCAAGAATAAAGGATTACAACATTTTCCTAAAGTTCTGTTTGACTAATTAATTCAAGCTTCTTCAAGATTCCGAACATATTCCAAACTCATATTTCACAAGTAGGTAGAAATATTCCTAAAAGTATTTAATTGGTTGACCACCAACCTGACCTTTCAACTATGAACAATATAATTTTATTCTTCACACACAGCTTGTACAGAAATCCCTGAACTTTTGCATTCATTCTGGCACAAACAATATACAAATTTCGATCAAATTTGTGCAACACACGTTCCGTTCCACACTCGTCGCTGTAAAATTTATAAACGGCACGCATGTAAAATCTCCTTTGGTATTAATACGTATAAATCGCAGCTATTAAAATTGTGTAAATCACGAAATTTATGCGCAGTAAAAATTGTGTATGTATGTTTATACATATTGGCTGATTTGTTATTCTTTCTGCCTATATTGCAGGGCGTCACATATCGGGTGCTTCAGCTTTGAGTATGCCAAAGATGCTGTTGCTGTTGTGTGCTATATTGGGTGCCCTTCTGCGATGGAATTGGACGATGATGATGTGATGTGATGGGGAGAGGAAGGAGCCGTTGCCGGCGAAGAAGTATTTTGTTAAAGTTTTATATAAATACAAAGAATTGTAACATAGTCAGTCATAGTTATAAGCGCATAAAAGAAAACTTGGCTTAATGCAATAAACCTTTATAAAAATAAATACAAATGACATTAACATTTAGTTTTTAAATTGAGAGTATCGCTTAAATTACTAAATAATAGATTGCGTTCGCTTTTTTTTTTATATTGTATATGTATATGTACGTATAAATATGCCACAAAGCAAAGGACTGAGTGCATTTGTTCTCATGCTTAAAACGACAAATAGTTGTAAAAAACGAAAAACAAATTTTAAACATACAAACATGCCATGACATGCGATTCACAGGGCAAGTGTCGTTGCTTAAGGACTACACACTTAAAACGTAACGAATGCATAAAGGCTAGATCGAGTTCAGCAATTCGTGCTTAAGTCTAAGAGTCTACATCTCGCTTTATAAGCTGGTGCGATTATTGAGCGTGCGCTGTAGCGCATTGACACAGGACAACACATCTTCATAGTCCTTGGACCACTCACGCAAATTGCGTTCCAAGTTCTCCAGTCGTGTCTGACCAAGTCGTACGCCAGCATGTTTGATGGCTGCATAGCAGGAGCAGGCAAGCAGCTTGAAACACTGTCGACGCACAGCATTGTGGGAGTTGCTCTCCCAGTTGGGTGTGCTGGCCACACACTGCCAGGCCATGCTGACATAGTCGATCAGAGCATCCCAGTGCGTGGAATCATGCAATCGCTTTGCCTGCATCTGCAGCAGCCGTTTGAACTCATTGAGATGTATGGCTGCCTTCGAATATGCAGCTGCATCGGTTTTCTTGCACAGGCGCGAGGTGGGTAGGGATTTAAAAATCAGTCGTTTCGCATAGTGCAGCTCCTGCTCCAGTGCACTGTAAGAAATTCAAAATAATTAAAGTCACAGTAGTATTATAATAGATAAACAACTGACCTGATGTCTGGAGTAGGTAGCTGAGCGCGCAACTGCTGTTCGGCGCTTTCACAATCTGCAGGTATTTCCTGCTTGATTTTGCACATGACCATGTCGATAAGTTGCTGCTGCGACAGGCCCTGTAACAACAGAGGCAAAGGCACATCGCTATTCGTTTGCCCCACAGGGCGATCATCCATTTTCAGTTTCTTTACTATTGGCGTACCCGGCCAGAGCTGCTGTTTTGTGCCGGTTAACTTAATGGGCGAATAACTATCCATAGGTATTGGCTCGGGAGGTGTGCTTCCCATAGTTAGGCGTTTGCGCGGCGAACTGCGCAATATCATGCCACTGGTTAATTGAAGATTTTTCGTGGGTGTGCGCTGGAAGGGACTACGGATGGTTGTAGGGCCTCCGCTGCTAGGCGAGAATGTGGTTGTGAACCGCCGCCCTCGTTGTCGTATCACCAGCTCATCTGGTGAGGGTAATGGCGAAAAGTTAAAATCCTGCGTTTGCACCACATTTGCCGCATTGTCCACAAACACTGCAATGCCTCCTCCATTAGGGGTGTTGTTAATGGCAGCTGGCGTTGGTTCGTCAGGAGTGCGACGGTTAGCATTCGTTGGAGTGTTTGCAACGCGTAGTGCCTCCAGACGATCAGGTATTTCCGCCAAGGCCATACGCGTCTGCAACGGTGTCGTCATTTCTCCTATACGATCGACAAAGGGGGAACAATCTTGTCGCGTTGTAATCTAACACCCATGCACTTACTTTATATATTTTTTAAGGCCAACTCTTATTGTATTTATGTGCTACGCGTGCTAATTAAACACTTATTCTTGGCTTAGTTGGGCGTAGGTATAAACCTTTACGCCTCTGTTGAAGATGCCGATTTTTCTTTATTTTTGTTTGCAGTCGTCGAATTGCGCCAATTTGTTAATCACAACTAAGTGGCAACTCTGCTCGCGCATGGCTACTCCAAGACGACTCTGCATGCTTTAAATTGGTAGCACTGGCAATTGACAGCTCTTCAAAGTGACTCTTTCGTTTCCTTTTCTTTTGGATTGCGTTGGTGGATTGATTAGGTCCACGTATTTTGAACAAGAAGTAACTATAACTATCAATTAGTCTAAATGCGGGAGGAACATGCCAAGGTTGCATATCACTACAAAACCTACGAAGTGCCTTAGCATCGATCTTTAAAAATCTGCTTTGACAATGGAACTAACATACATACATATGTACATATGTACGTACATAACCACGTGCAACGGCAACATTAAAAGAATGAGTTTCTTTTTGGGATTTAATTTATGCCGGTGAACAGACGGTTGTGGGTGAGTTTGAATATTGCTTATGTTTTAGCTGAATATCATCTAGTGATGAGATTATTTTTTAATTCATATTAATAATGTTGAAATCTTAACATGCATCACCATCTGAAACTTTAGATGTAATTTAATATTTAAATGATTATAGAACTTTAGCTAAAGATCCGTATACATTCATTACAGATGGCGCCTGGAAAATATACTTTATGAAAGGCAGGACACTTATATTCTGAAAATCGGTTGATTTAACAGGCGGGTCTTGAGCTGGAAGAGGTAATAAATGCATTTTATATCAACATTAGTTTTAATTTTAGTTGATGATAAATCGAATCCTTATCAGAGACAATATTGTGTTGAAATCTCAACATGCATCACCATCTGAAAATATGTATTTAATTTTATTCATAAAATACATAAAACGCAAGCTATTTATTTCTTTATTTTTATTGCAGGAATCATTTGAGTGCACTACAAAATATATTTAATTTCCATTTATGATTGTCATGGAAATCGGTAAGAACTTAGTTCATGTTATTTTCGCATTTGATTTGCTTTCACTTGATGAGACAAATAACTCTATTCAGAGAAATTGTGTTGAAATCTCAACATGCATCACCATCTGAAAACTTACGCACTTTTAATATTTAACTTGGACGAGGAAGATGTCTGAATAAATCACTTTTTTTGTTTCAGTTCCTACCACGTGGAAATTAATTTGGACACCTGCAATGCAACATTTAAGTAATATGTACTCATATTTGTGTGTATTTTGATTATTTTATTAAACTCAATAATTAACTTAAAACAAATATTACAAATCTGTTTAACATTGCATTGGGATGCCTGTTTATAAGTCACATCACCGCCACAACAATAACAGCAAGAAGATAATTTCCTTCTTGCCCACAGCCCAACATCTCGTCCAGTTGGAGCTGTTTGGTGAGGGTACCGTGCCATCGAGTACCTCTTTATTCGCTGCCCTAACCGCCGTTCCAGGATCATTAAAACCGCGTTTCTTTTTAAAACTCTCGTAATACCAGTCCATGCCATCCTTGCGATCGACCCGCTCAACTTGCTTCTCGTCGAGCTCAGTGCGTTTCTGGGCATTAGCTGTAACGTGCTGCTCACTATCCGTCGCCAGATTGTCTGCACTTGGTGTGGTGCGTTGATATTCCTCCGCCGTCGGCTGAGCAATTTGCTGCTGATATGGAGCATAGACCTTGGTGATGGTCGAACGACCGCCGGGCGCTCGGGCGTTGTGCTGGACTCGTGGTGGGGGTGGAGCGGTGACAGCAGGGCGAACAGTTGCTTGCAGCTCGGCGTTTGCCTCAGTTGGTAACGCTTCTGGCGTATCTGTTGTTGTCACCCAGGAATGACTTTTGATTTGGGCCACGTGTTCTTCGGCTGGTGGTATAAGCAAGATGGTTTCGGCTGTGGTTGATTGCATTAATGGAGGTGGTTTAAGCAATGTAACTGATTGTGCTTCCAAATCCTCATCATCGTAATGCGACTCGAATTGTTCACTGCTTGGGCTTGAAGTCGAAGTAGTTGTGGGTGCGGCTGTCGATGTCGTTGTAGTTGTCGTTATTGTGGCCTTGTGGTTGATAGTGGGTGGTGCTGTGGCTGGTCTCGTGCTGCGCACTATTGGAGGATTTGTGGTTACATCATCTATCACTTCTGTCACTTGGTATGAGAGGTCCTCGCTGCTTGTTTCCTTTGTCTCCAAACTGTTGGCGACTGTGGTCTTGGGCTCCTGCCTTACTGCAATCGGTATAAAGTTACGCTCGGCCTGTGGGTTCTTCGTCTTATTGACAGCCTCAACCAAACCACGTCTGGGATCGTGTACAGGCGTGAAGCCTCCAACATGTGGTGGTACAATGGGTCGGAAACCCCCACGTTCTATGCTCGTGGGCTCCCGAAATGTGGTGCGAAAAGCACCCATTGTTGTGGCTGAGCTTTCGTTGCTTAGCGATTCCTCCGAGTTGGCCTCCACATACCGATTGCGGGCTGTAGCCTTCGTTTCATGCTGCTGCTGTTGCAGATACTTCTCGAATTCCATGCTATTCGGCTGATACATTCGGGTCTTGCTCCGTCCCGCCGGCAAATTGATGTTAGCCATGCGATGAGTGGCGGGCATGTCATCGGTGCCGGCACGCTGTTTGCGACCTCGCTCTCCAAAACCAAAGAACCGTCCCAGGCTTAGGCTGGGTATGGGGTAGCCAAAGAAGGTGAAGGGCGAGCCGCCCGGCGTACTGGCTGCCCCAGGTCTCTGTGGGCGCCGATTGAAATACTTGGTGTGGAGCAGCGTATTGTTCAGATCAATGTTGGGATTCAGTGTTGCTGTCGGTTTGGGGCGCTGTGAAGTGCTCAACACTGCGTTGCTGGCATCTGGCGCATCTGTGTTGTCCACATACTGATCATAGAAGTATTCGCTCTCTCCGACCATCGGACGCTCGCCTGCTTGACTCCCAGTGGCATCGTAGGTCTCGCACTCATCGTTATAGTCCTCGGGCAAATCCCGCTGGAATACATCGCCATGCTCATTGAGCAGAGGTAGTTGATTTCCATCTGTACGTTCATTATCGCCCCCACCACTGAATACATCGAGGCCGGCACACAAGCTGCGTTCCATGCGCGCTGCTCGCAGCAGACGTCCATCTTGACACTTCGGCCCCGGATAGGGAAAATTTGTCTCCTGTAGCCAAACCGAAAGCCACTGCATCGCGCAGTTGCAGTCAATGGGGTTGCCTACAAATAATAATTAGAAACGATGGTTAAATGTATTTGAGTTTCTCATAAAAATAACATTTTTAGCAGCCCATCAATTTAATGAAAATATACTACTTGATGAGAAGGCGAATTCTTTTTAGCTTCATTTTCTGCAATGTCTATAAACCAATTCAAATAATGCGTTATTAGCAGTGTCTGACTTTTGTGCAAAAAATATTTAATGAAGGTATAAAATTTTTTACACTATTTTATTTCCTTAACATTTTCTTAAGCTTACACAAATTGTAACCCCTCAGGTGAGAATGTCAAAATTTTATTAAAGGGTATACTATTTTGTGTAATACTTTTAGGTCATTTGGGTTTAATTTTTGTTATTATCTTTTATTTATTTGAGCTCGGAGTGGTGATATGTTATATTATTATTTAAATTTCTTTTTTAATAAACTCTACTATTTTATTAAGCTTAAATAAAGTTATTCTTGTGTTTTAATAAGCAATTGAAAAAATAAATTTCTAATTTATTGGGGATTTATGAACCGACGTCAATATAATGCGGCTCGAATTTTTGAAGAATAACTAAAGGTTCCCTATTCCTGGTAACCCTTTTTCTAGATCTCTCAATAAATATGGATAAAGACTAAAGAAAACTAAGAAAATTGGAAAAATAGGGAGTTAAAAAACAAATCATTGATGAATTAAAGTTTCATCAATCGGGTCAGGAGTAACTAAAGGTTCCCTATTCCTGGTAACCCTTTTTTCTAGATCTCTCAATAAATATGGATAAAAGTATGCTAAGAAAATTGGAAAAATGGGGAGATAAAAAACAAATCATTGATGAATTAAAGTTTTATCAATCGGGTCATTTGATTCGGGTTGGTAACGAAATAATAGGTGAAATCTGTTAAATCTATTTAAATCTAAATCTATTCCAATTATGTGATCTTCAAGTGATATTTTACTTCAATTGTTTTGCTAAACATTAGATGACCCCTTCAATTACCGTTTCTACATAATCTTTGAACTTCAATCTATAGTTTCTCTTACCGTCGACATCCAGTATTGCAATGTTGCCCCTCAAATTGCGAAATGTTCTCTCCTTGATGGTGCGCAACTGATTATTGCGCATAGATAGCACCCGTAGACGCGGCATGGTCTCAAAAGGCGAGCCCTAGTTATACCAAAATGTAATAAGTGGTAGCATGACTATTTTGAATCTCACATCGGCTCACCTGTATCCTACATATCTGATTGTTGTCCATTTTCAGTTCCACCAGCCAATTGAGCGCCTTAAGCGGCATCGTTGGCACCAATTTGACGGCATTGGTAGATAAGTCGAGTACCTCTAGGTTCCGCATGCTGCGTAATCCGGTATTTTCCATATTGCGGAAGTGATTGTTGGACAAATTGAGGAAGACGAGCGAGTTGGCATTGTGGAAACTCTCTGGGGAGATATAGCGTAGCTTGTTGTATTGGAAATGGGAGGCCAGTAGGTTGGGCAAATCCTCAAATACGTGATCCTTCAGTTCGACAAGCTTATTATCGGCCAGCACAAACTCCTGTAGGTCATTCAATTGCTTGAGGGCGCCCGGTTGCACGCTGCCGATCTCATTGCTGCTTAAATCCAGGTACTGTAACTTGGGCAGATTCCGAAACGTGCCCTGCTGGAGTTCCACAATGAGATTATTGGATAGACGAATCTCTACTACGTTGCGCCAAGCATTGACCACATCCGAGTGCACTCGCGATATCTGATTATAGCTCAGATCGATGTCGCGAAGGCTGTGCAAATTGCCCAAGCCCACAGATATATCTAGAAGGGCATTACCCGACAAATCCAGATATTCCAACGAGCGTTGGGCGTCAAAGGCTGTGGGCGAAATGCTGCGAATGAGATTGCGTGACAAATCTAGCTGCTCCAGACGACTGTTGTTCGACAAGAAGTGATCTGTTATGGATTCCAGTTTGTTCGATTGCAGGTTGAGATTGCGGAGCTCAGAAAGCGGTAGCAAGGCACGCTCGTCCGCCTGCGACACTTGATTCTCCTGGAGATGCAGCAGCTCCAGCTGCTGAATGCCCAGAAAGGAGGTGTCCTCCAGCAGATGTAGACGATTCTGTGCCAGGCTCAGCACACGCAGCTCAGGCGTACCCTTAAATCCGTGACGCGGCAGCTGTTCGATGCGATTCTGGCTGAGATCGAGCATGCGCAGATTGGGCAACTGCAGAGACTTGCTTGCGGATGCGGGAAGGGTAGTGATGTGGTTCCCACGCAGCGAGATGCGTTCCACAATGGGTGGTAGGCCGGGAATAACGGTCGAGAACTGATTATAGCTGGCATCCACCTCAAAAAGTCGCTCCAAATGCTGAAAAGTGCCCGGATGCAGCTTGCTCAGCTCGTTGGAGGATATATTCAGCGTCTCCAGCAGCGGATTGTGGCGAAAAGTATTTGGAGCCATCTCCCTCAACCCGTTTTCGCTGAGATCGAGGCGTCGCAATGAGGGCAAGCCAGCCAACAGTTGTGCATCCACGTTCCCAAACTGATTCTGCGCCAGATCCAAGCCCTTGAGACCAGGCAGATTCCAAAACGGCAGCGGCAGAGCCGAAGATAGGCTGTTGTTGCGCATGCGCAGCTCCCGCAGGGCGGGCATGGCCATCAAAGCGTCGCGCTCAATCAAACGCAGCTGATTATTATTCAAATGCAGTTGCTCCAGCGTGCCATGGCCACGCAGAGCGCCATAGGGTAGCTCACTCAACAGGTTGTTGCTCATGTCCAGGAAACGTAGTGTGGGCAAAGCGTCCAAAAGCGCTCTTAACGCTTCCACATGGCTTATCTCATTGTTGTAGATGTGTACGGACTCCACGCCCACGTCACTTCCGGAAGTCTGCAGCAGCGATTCCGGATGTATGCGGCGAATGAAATTGTTCTGCATGTAGATGGTCTTCAGCTGCGGGGTGCGCAAGAAGGCGCCATATTGGAGCTCCGTAATACGATTGTCGTTCAAATGCAGCTCAGACAGATTGGGCAAATCCACAAAGGATCCGTCCTCGATGACGTTGATGATATTGTGGTCTAGGCGCAGTTTCTTCAGGTGCTCCAAGTCCTTCACAATACGCCCGATCATGCCCACATCACTGATCTGATTGTGCGAGAGCTTCAGGCTCACTAGATTCGGCAGACGCGAGAGCGAACGCAAATGGAGCCAGTTCAGGCCATTGCGACTCAGGTCTAGATTCTTCAGCGAGATGAGGCCATCAAACAGACCCGCCTCTAGGCGCGTCAGTCCTGTACCGCCCGTTATGTGAATATGTTGCACCTTTGGCAGATGCCTGAAGAGGTGGGGTGGCAGCTCTTGCAGCGAGGCACTTTGAACACTCAGGTACGTGAGACTTAGAAGTCCGGAAAAGTCTGGCAAATGCTTCAGCTCCTCACTCTGTATTGTTATGGCCAGCATGTTGATCATGCCGTTTAAGCTCTCCGCGGGAATGCTACGAAGTTGCGGCTCCACAATAAAAACCTCGACCAGACTGTTCTCCAGCTCGTTCAGCCAGCCATTGGACATACGCTCGATGCTATTGTAGCGCAGCATAAGACGTACTATCTGCAGATTGCCAAAGAAGCGACCCGGTAGTGCCGGCAGCTGATTGTTCTCCAGCACCAGTTCATCGATTTGAGTTTTAATATTACGCTCGACAGCTTTTAATCCGTCCATGATCTGAGGCAAGTTGCTATGGGAGCACCTGGTAAACATGTAGGTAAGTGTTGGTAGGATTGTTACTAAGTTTCTCGAAAATAAGTATTATCCTGAGATCCCCAGGGTGGGAAGAAAATTATGCGAGTGCACCACGAATTTATCTTAAAGTATTGATCGCATATTGCTTTCAAATAGATGGCTTACTCGAATGTTTCGAAGGGAAATCCCTAAAATCAGGGATAAATAAACACCTGCTTCTTTATTGTATACCCCATAAAATAAAATGTGTTCTAATATATAATATGAAAAGATGACTTAACGGAAGTGGGAATTCAAATTTAGACCACTTGTGTTATTATGAATTATTATTATTTAGGGGGAGTCTCACAAAAGCCACCGAAATTAGATGCATCTTAGGGGAAGACAGTTGCTCCACCTCCCCTATGAAGGAGAGCAGTTCTCTCAGCGAGAAATACACTATTTCTATCCCACTTACCATATTTGTATCTCTTTTCCACGTAGAGTGCAGCGACAGGGCAATATTGCCTCGGATGGTGGGCAACTATCGGCCATCGTTGCTGCTGTCCAGATGGACAGCAGTATAAGACAATGTAGCCTCCATGAAGGTACTCCAAGTATCAACATTTTTTACTAGCTTTGTGCATATGGAGCAATTGACGTAGGGAATATATTCATAGCTATAGAAAATGTATAAAAATGATTTGAAAATTATTTACACTAAGAGTCCCAAGCAGAATAAACTGTGAATGTCTCTCAGAGAAACAAAATTCTTCCAACTAGGTGCAAGTTCTGAAGAGGAGCTTTACATATATTTTTAAATATATTTGCATTAGTTTGGGGTTTTTTTTTTCTGATAGACTTCTCAGCGAACTGCAAGCTTGTTCCTTTGTTTGCTTCTATTAACATCTGAAGATGTCACATTAATGATCTTATTCCATATTTTAGAATTAGTTTCATTGCCGATAAACCGATAAGCAGTCAGTAATTTTCTTATCTGTAATATTTTTTAAGGTATTGGATCTTACCACACCTGTGGTCAATGATATTTTTAGGCACATTTCCATTTTTTACCTTTCAAAACGCTATAAATCGCTCAGCGGGCGAAGCTACCTCCGTATCTCTGGAATTATCACTCAAGTGTTCTACATGGAATAAAAAAAACATTATGTTCGATAAGCCGCAACCAGCTATATAAGGGCGGACAATTAGCTTAGAGTTTTATTAAAGTATCATTGGCTACTGTGGAAAAATGCGTATTTTTCTTTGTGCTCTACTTTGTCTGGCTTGGACATTTGCAGGCGCCAACAAGCCTGAAGTCGTCCTGCTCGATTTTGTTACGTCGGGTGAGCGCATTCGCTCCCATGGATACCCGATGGAAACCCATACGGTCACCACCGAGGACGGTTACGTGCTGACTCTCTTCCGCATACCCTACTCGCACAAGCTGCAGAATCAGAATGCAGAGCGTCCGGCGGTTCTGCTCCAGCACGGACTCTTTAGTAACTCCGACTGCTGGCTGAGCAGCGGTCCAGACAACTCGCTGGCCTATCTATTGGCCGATGCCGGCTACGATGTCTGGCTGGGAAATGCACGCGGCAACATCTACTCGAGGGAAAATGAAGTGATCTCCTTGAATAATCCAAAGTTTTGGCACTTTGACTGGCACGAGATCGGCACCATTGATATTCCGGCTATGATTGATTATATCCTGGAAGAGACAGGCCAGTCACAAGTGCACTACGCTGGTCACTCCCAAGGCACAACCGTCTATTTGGTCATGCTTTCAGAGCGTCCGGAATATAATGCCAAGATCAAGTCCGGCCATCTCTTGGCCCCATGTGCTTTCTTCGAACACGGCGCTTCTCCGGTTTTCAAATACGTGGGAGCTTTGGTGGGCACACCAGGTGGTGTGTGGAATCAACTTCTTGTTGATACGGAGCTCATTCCCCACAATGCGCTGGTCAATCGCTTTGCGGACACCGCATGTGGGGAACATAGCGAACATGATGAGTACTGCAGAAATGCCTTTGTACTCTTTGCCAACGGCGGATATCAGAACACCAATGTGGTGGGTAAAGCAACAACATTTTGCGACCACACATGCCTTATTTTCGTTTCCTCCCCCATCTAGACATCACTGCAGGTCCTCATTGAAACTCATCCGGCTGGCTCCTCGAGCAATCAGGGCATACATTACATGCAACTGTGGGCCTCCCATGAGTTCCGCCAATACGATTGGGGCACCAAGAAGAATCGGCAACTTTATGGCCAGGACTTGCCACCAGACTACGACCTCAGCAAAATTACGGCTGCCACACACTCTTATTCCAGCCACAACGACGCTCTCTGTGGACCTCAGGATGTCGACACCTTGGTCTCCCAGTTCACCCATTTGACTGAGGATCATCGCATACCCTTGCAAAGCTTCAACCATTTGGATTTCATTGTAGCCAAGAATATGAAGGAATTGGTCAATGATTTGGTGGTGGAACGTATAAATAGCTATGAAGGCTAATGGAAACCAAAATGAATAATAAAAACTTGAAATGCATATACCCAATGGCTTTTAAATCAAGAATTTGATGAGGCATAGAAATATTTCTAATCATACCCCTTCACTAAGCGAGAAAGGACATATTTGTTTAAAATGGGAATGCAGAATGGTAGAATTCTTCTAAAATGTACAGGACAAGACAAATCCATATTAGATTGCTGTCTCTTTCAATCATAATTCCATCCTATCCTGTCCTAAAACTATAGATCTGAAACCTTCTACGAAGGTTAATTACAAATTAATAAGATTGGTGTCAACTCTAGGGATGCTGGAAAATATGACTCCAAACAGGAAAAAGGGGAAACATATTTTTTATAAAAGAATTGAAAATATAGGATACACCGGCTGACTCTGATCTTGAACGAACAAGATGATTATTTAAAAGGCTAAATAGTACACACTAGCTTCGGCTTTAAAATGAATAATATAGATTAGAAAGTCTCAACTGCCTTTCTTTCTTATCTGTGCCATTTTTTAGTCTTTCTAATTATTCCGTTTTTAAAAACGCTCTCTCTCTCTCTATATATATATATATATATATATATATATATATATATATATATATATATATATATATATATATATATATATACATTCCTTAGCCAAGCCGCCTCCGTATCAGTGTAATTATTTCTTAGCGGTTCGGCCTGAAATAAATCTAGAATTTCGTTAGATAAGCCGACAGGCGCTAAGCATATATAAGGGCTGGATCAGCAGTGTCTTGTTTCTTTCAAAATGCAGTTTATTTTCTTTGGTCTATTATGTCTTATTTCGAAATTAGTAAACAATCCTGAATGGAAATCGGATGGACGCATACGCTCCCATGGATATCCGGCGGAAAGACATACGGTTACCACTCAGGATGGTTACGTGCTGACTCTGTTCCGCATACCCTACTCCCACAAGCTACAGAATCAGAATGCGAAGCGTCCAGCGGTTCTGCTACAGCACGGACTCTTTAGTAATTCCGACGCTTGGTTGTGCAGTGGACCAGACAACTCGCTGGCCTATCTATTGGCCGATGCCGGCTACGATGTCTGGCTAGGAAACGCACGCGGCAATAACTATTCAAAGAAAAATAAAATGGTTTCAGTGAATAGTCCGAAGTTTTGGCACTTTGACTGGCACGAGATCGGCACCATTGATATTCCGGCTATGATTGATTATATCCTGGAAGAGACAGGCCAGTCACAAGTGCACTACGCTGGTCACTCCCAAGGCACAACCGTCTATTTGGTCATGCTTTCAGAGCGTCCGGAATATAATGCCAAGATCAAGTCCGGCCATCTCTTGGCGCCCTGTGCTTTCTTTGAGCATGCTCCTTCTATGGCTTTCAAATTGTTTGCGCCGGCCCTGGGTAATCCCTATAACGCTTTCAGTAAAGGTTTAGTTGATAAAGAGTTTTTGCCTTTTACCTTGGGAATTAGTCCTTTGTTGGATTTGTTTTGCGGTGATCGAACCAAGTACTATAGGAGCTTCACGGACTATTATAAAAACTCTAATATGGTAAGTAAAGCTATAATATTATTCGTCAGCACATGATGAATTTTCTTTTCGCCTTTTTAGAGCTCACTCGCGGTACTAAGAAAAACTCATTTTGCGGGAAATTCGAATAATCAGGTCCTACATTACATGCAACTGTGGATATCGAAAAAGTTCCGTCAGTACGATTGGGGTCTCGAAAAGAACAGAGAACTTTATGGCCAGGACATGCCACCGGATTACGACCTCAGCAAAATAACTGCTGCCACACACGCCTATACCGCCCACAACGATGATAAGTGTGGACCTCAGGATGTCGAAACTTTGGTGTCTAGTTTCCCCCATTTGATTGAGCATCATCGTATACCATTGGAGAGTTTCAGTCATTTAGATTTTATTACAGCCATCAACATGAAAGAATTGGTCAATGATTTGGTTGTTAAACGTATAAATCTTTATGAAGGTCGATAAGAAGTTATCAATAGAATTTAAAAAAAAAGAATTTAAATCGATTAGATTATATTTACGAGTATATGAATGTGTAGGGATTAACCTTTAGCAGACCTGCTTTGGTTTACTTATCTAATCGAATTGTTTAACATTAATAGTTGTCTGCCTATGAATGCTTATAAATATGCGTATTCATGGTAAATCAAATTATACTGCTGTCTTAAGGGGAGTTTTGTAATGTCGATGGTACTATCTAAGTATAAATAGTGCCACTATAATCAGCTGAATGGAATCATATTATCTAGGTAATGCGTTTCAATGCAGAAAAGCACTTCTGCTACGCCTCTATTAGGGCAGTCCCACTTATAAACTATTGTGTCTAATATATTATACAGAGTGAACAATTTTAAGGAGATCACTATATGCTCATGAAATATAGCTTTCATTATTGTACATGTTCTAAACACGGTTATCTTTCTTTAGAACTTTTCTTTTTAACAGTTGTTTGTATGAAGAAAAGTAAAGGCCCACAATTCTAATTCGAAAGAATTGAACGAGGAAATTATAGAAAATGTGTTACTTTATTCCTTTCTCCCTTTCTTCTCCACATTCCTAGAAAAAGCAGACATCTTTTTATGAAAAGATTAGAGAGAATTGCTGTCGTCTTGATTCTTGAAATATGTTGAAGAGAAAAGGTAACATAACTTTTTAGGGAAATATATTTCATCGATCAATAACTTGTTTGGCGTCAAATTAATGAACCTTTGTGAAAATGTTGCTAAACAGACTTATATATTATACAGAGTAAACAATTTTAAGAAGATCACTATGTGCTCATGAAATATAGCTTTCATTATTGTACCTATTCTAAAAACGATTATCTTTCTTTAGAACTTTTCTTTTTAACAGTTGTTCGTATGAAGAAAAGTAAAGGCCCACAATTCTAATTCGAAAGAATTGAACGAGGAAATTATAGAAAATGTGTTACTTTATTCCTTTCTCCCTTTCTTCTCCACATTCCTAGAAAAAGCAGACATCTTTTTATGAAAAGATTAGAGAGAATTGCTGTCGTCTTGATTCTTGAAATATGTTGAAGAGAAAAGTTAACATAACTTTTTAGGGAATAACTTGTTTGGCGTCAAATTAATGAACCTTTGTGAAAATGTTGCTAAACAGACTTTTATTTATTTATTTTTAATAAATTATAATATTTTCTGGAAATGGGTGAAGAACCAATTGGGAGGTTATCTATAGATCTGGTTTCAATCTTACTTATTTACTATATGTAGTATTGTTGTTTATTAGTCTGCCCTTAAATGAAGAAGTGTTTATCATCTAAATAAATGCAACAATGAGTGCTATTATAGCCAACTATTGGCAATACAACTGTACAGATTCCTTCAGACAATCGTGAAGGTTACACCTGCATACATGGATGATCTTTTTTTGGATAATGGTATTGCGAACGCTTCATAAATTTGTACTTAGGCAGGCGTGCGACAGGAAGTTGTATGCAATAACCAACAAAGTTCAGACAAAAGTCTATTTGTAGTCCATAAGTCTACATGCTACGTGTATAGTACAAGACTGTTTCAAGTTTTCTATGCAGCTGCGCAGCTCAACCCCAAAAACGGCTGAAAAAAAGAAACTTTTTGCGCCAAGAAGCGTAACATGCCTTTTCAACAAAATTTTGTAATCATTTAACAACAACAACAAGAAGAAGAAGCGAATGTGGAAGAAGAAGCAGAAGACAACAACTACGAAAAGGTAGTGGCAAACTTTGGCATCGAGTGAAACGATCCACCACCAACACCACCACTAGCTTAGAGGCTGTGGCTATGGCGGTGGCGGTGGCTGTGGCTCCTCTCTACGCATGCGCGGCAAGCTTACATCAAACGAACCTTGAAATTATTGTCGTTTTCATCATTGTCTGTAATTTCTTTCGCCTTCAGTTGCAGCAGAGACAACAGAGTAAGGTACACAAATACATACACACATATATTTATGTATATATGTGCGAATAGTATGTAGATATAGGCAGGCAGGCAGGCAGGCAGTTGGCTTAGTTCGAGAGTCTCCGGCTGGCGCAACTAAATGCGGCTTATAGCCGTTGCTGACGGTTTACCTCTGTCACACAATCTTTGTCTTTGGCGACATTTTCACCAGCTACCTGGCTTCTCTATTTTGCTCTGATTTCTTTTGAGTCCCAGCTAATTAAGTAACTGTTAAATGCGAGTATGTGAGTAAATGCTGCTAAAACGGGTCTTTTCCGTGCTCCATAATATTCTCAATAGAAGCAGAATTGCAGATCTTGTGCAAACGATAATGAAAAATCTTTGGCCATGTAGCGGAAGACTCTAGAGAGACCTTAAGCCGTATTCGACACAAAACAAAGGCCTTAGCTTCAATCTTACTCTAATAGTGCAGTTACAGATTTGGCGTAAAATCCAAGTTCCCAAAGATATCTATCCAGTGCTGATGTGTTTACATATCCGCAAGCAAAGTTTTCTTCATTTGAAATTTGCAAAGCTTTCAAAAATTTGGCAACGGGTTGCTCAATGCCCTTTAGTTTTGCGCTTTTCCACACTTTATTATTACAATTTTTTAAATATTTTCAAATGCTTTTCTACACTATTTTTCACTTCACTTTCGAACGCACTTTTGCTTTTGCAATTCTCTATAATTAAATTAAAATTCCACCAAGCTTTATCGCTAATTGCTCAGACACTCCAACTTCTGTATATAGTATGTCCATTTGATTTACCGTCTTGACGAACCGTCCCGTTTGGAATGCACGCTAAAACTGTTTTGAAAATATTTTAGCCATAGTCGTCCAGCAGATTACTCAAGATTTCTATAAATGTTTTGAGTGGAAAATCGACTTACATACATATGTATGTATGGCGTTGTTTGTGTGAGGGGAATGCGGAGCTTCCTGCCTGTGCAATATCGTAGCATAGTTTTGGCCACACTTGGCTGATTCTCACTCGAATCACTTCACCGGGCCTAAAGAAGTGGGGATGGTATGGTATGGCTTAAAACGTGCTTGGTTGAGGTTGGTTGAGGTTTGTGGATCGTATTTTTCCCGATGTTGTCTGAACTGTGACCGGAGAGCACACAGAGGTCGCCATATAAAAATATCTTAATGCGTAGAGCCTACTCCGTTTATTTTGGGAATTATTTGAAATTGTAAGTGAAATTAAAGAAAATTACTCAAAATGAAGGCCGCTAAAAGGCATAAGGCTAAAGATTTGCCGCAATCAAAGTTAATATAGTAAGTAGCATTTGCATTTTAGGTTTCAACATATAGATAATTTATTTATATATATTAGCTCAAATGAAAACAATTGGTTAATGGTTGAAATTGTAAAGCTCTTGATTTATAAATATTGCTATGGTATTTTGTGTTAGCAAAAAAAAAAAACAATCAAGTTCAATTTTATTGACATTAGCATTCATTTTTGAAATCAAAGGATATTCTGTGTATTCTATAAAAAGCTGGAGCTTTGCCTGGATTTCTTGTTGTATTTTCAATAGGATCCGGAAATCAAGCGCCGATAGAAATTATCCAGATGAGCCAAAATCTCAAAAAAATACCCAGAAATTAAAACTGAAGACTATGTTGATTTCTTTCTAATCAGAACTATTCACCGTTCGAAAAGCGTCTCGGTCGTGAAAAAGTTTGTGTTTGAATAAAATAATCTTAGGCGAAAATATCAGTGTTATGATATATCTATGTTATATCTATGTTCAGGTAGAAAGTCGGACTAAACATATATCTACTCGTTTTCTTTAATAATTTATACAAGTATGTTAAATATTTATTCACAACTTCTCCCCTATTTCAAGAGACCACGTTCCCTTAGCAGCCATTCCACACTTGTGTATATTCTTTGCTTTTTATCGCACATTTTTCCAAGTATTATAAAAAACCGACTGCCAACAAAATATCATTAAACGGTTTTGGCTAGCAATGACCCTTCACCAACCCATAAAATCTGCCCGCTCTCAAGCATAAAAACATTATAAATAAGTATTTATCTAACAAACATCTAGAGTTCCACCCGAAATGGTCAGCGACTAAGAGAGTTTAATCAATTAACGAAAAATATGAAATGTAAGATAGCCAGCAACGGTTTTCACTTTCGTTTCTTAAGTCGTTGAGTGAAATAGTTTCCATTTCTTTGCTCTCCACAAACACTCGGCTCCTCTCAGTTTTTTTAAATCAAATTAAAGACCTCATGAGGTGCTTAAATCATATTTTCGTCAAAGTTTTTGCGGCTCCCATGTTCGTCGTCGATGTCGACGTCTTCAGTTACATAAAGCGTCGCTAGTTTTGTATCGCTTGGCTGATCTATGGTAGGAGTGTATACGTTCATAGGCCCGTATAACGCTTCCCTAATACATATATTTAATTTACTTTATGATTAGTGTAAAAAGTTTTGTGTCATAGCGTCTTGCGTCGTTGCCTCCCTGTTGTTGATTCAGGAAAAGTGAAAATCATACCCGACTGTCTATTCTTTATTGGCAACAACAAAAATATTTTTGTATACTGTCATACGTAATCAGTTAGTTGATGATGGAAAATTGAAAAAAACATTCTCCAGACAAGCTATATAATATACGTAAATGTACTGATAAGCTTTTCAAAAACACATATTATTAGTTTCAAGTAAAATTCATTGCACTTTTTGTATTTGAAAAATATATAGTACTTGTATTCGCCACCCATCAACTGTTATCAGTGTCCCTTCAAATGCACATGCCATTAATTGGGTCTGAGCTGATGAAATAATTCTACGAGTACCCCCCACACTGGCCCAGGTTAAAACACCATAACAAAAATCCACAACCTATTAATGGTCAGCTGAGACTGTAATTCAATTTGGTTTCATTTCAAGGTTAATTCAATTGCTCGCCAATTGTTGAGCTGACAAAGTTCCAAAGCGTGTCTTACTTGTACACAAGTATATGAAAGGCAAAGAGACATATATATAAAGTGTTCAGAACACATTATAATTGGGGATTTTGTAAATCAGTGTTTCAGGTGGACTAGAAATTGTTTCCAAATACAGGCAACAATTTCATAAGAACTATTAAGTTAGATTTTGGGAAAATAATTGAACATCTATAATGCTAAAATATATGAAGAGACTAAATGGTTTCCATTCTTTCCACGATCAATGAATGAGAAAATATATAATAAAAAATTCAAAATATTAAATAAACTCGAAAAATAAAAAAAATTTAGGTTTCTTCCTTATTATGCAGATAAAATAACGCAGCCTGCTTCACCTATAAATCGAAAAACTATAACATCAATTCAGACACAAGCGATAAGTCTGCAGTAGAGTGTTTAAAAAAATATGACTACATTTTCATAACATATCCTCAAAATGGAACCAATTTTATAAAGTTGATGCTTTGAATTGTTATTTAAACTGGCAATGACTGACAAAAATATGAAAAACCCGATACAACCAAAATTAATCTATATTATCCTGCTTAAAAGATGTATTCAAATGATCAGTAAATTAAAAAAAAATGTAAACTCGTACTTGTACTACGAGTTGTTGCATACGAAAATAAGCAATAAATTAAGATAATCGATGTGTGAATAAGATAAACAGATATACACGTAATTCTGTTTTTACACGGTTTGAAAATTAAAAGTTTTATGTATTATATTTAGCACGATTCATTTTGCATATGGAGAATGTCTTTTTTTACACGACTTTTTTAGGAACCAATCTATCGCTTAAAAACATAATTAGGTGTAAACATATACATATAGTATGTAAGCTTTCAATGGACAAATGGTTCATTATATTCTCAATACTTGCTAACTTTTATTGAAATTATTTTTAAAGTCTCTATTACTTTTGAAAATTAATTTCAAAGATAACCATTAATCCTGTAAATAATATGATTGTTTTTAATGCTTTGATGTATTCCGTATCAGTAATATTCCTTTTCCTGTCATATTTCAATTGACATTATATAATCTTTAAATTCACTTCTAATGGAGAGACACCCACTACTAAGGGGTGTATAGTATTTAAATAGTTTGCTGGATTTTCAATACATTCAATATATATATAGTTCCTTAAATCATTTCGAACGACGAGTCACCCATTATTTGGGGGCCCGTCCTGTACTGAATTGAAAATAGCCCCTGTATATAGTACACTTTTCTTTCAGCTGTTTGCAAAACTTGTCCCAAATATAGCCCAACAGCCATGCCCCCCAAAAGGAAACCCACGCAATTGCTGAGCTCTATAATTGATGTTGTTGTTGCTGCTATGTATTGCGGCTCGACAGGCCTCCTCACTTTCGCTTTTTATTGAATTAAATGGCAAATATTTTGCCATGGCAACCACAAACACTGCATGGCTTTCAAAATGAATCAAAATAGGGAATTGACTGGGTGCCAACATAGTCGGGTAACATTCGAACGCACCATACCTATGTAGCTGTAGCTCACGCGATTTTCGTCCCGAAATATGAATGTGTAGTGCGAGTACGTGTGTTTGTTTGTACCCGTATGGTTGTTGTATCATCTTAAAGCAGAGCAACGTTTGTGAAAAGCATTTGCAAATTTCGAAATCAGTTGAAAATAGTCGCTCGAACAGTGTGTGCGCCTCCTCTAATAAAAGACCCGCTAAGCAAAAAGGGAAATGTGGCGCAAGTGCTTTACAAGTCTGGCGGGACAGGCGAGGACGAGTCTATCGTTATCACCAATATGTGTTCAAAATTCTGTATTAACGCAGCTTCTAAAGCGACGGTTACATCAAGTCCCTGGTAGCCCGACAGCCAGACCTCCGAAAATTCTAATAACGGGTTAGTGTTTTGAAAAGTTCCGTATGGGATCGCAGACAAAGACCATATGTACATGATATTTATAAACTGAAGGCCACAAAACTGTCAAAAACTTAAACAGCTGCAATTCTATTTCCTCCAAACCCCCAGGTGGCCTTGGACAGTTGGGCATCGAGTGCGCTAAACTGATGAGATCGCAATATGGAAATGGTAATGTGATTTAACTCGATTTTCATTGAACGCCATGGTTATACTCTCTATCTGTAACTAGACAATGTCATACTCTCGGACATTATTAAGCCCAGTCAGGAGGTTTTAGATAATGGCCCATACATTTTTGCCGATATACTGGACTTTAAGGGTCTCCAGAAGATTGTTGTGAATCATCGCATTGACTGGCTAATACACTTCTCGGCCCTGTTGAGTGCGGTGGGTGAGCAGAATGTGCCTCTGGCCGTGCGGTGAGTAGACCACCATATCGTACTGATAGCTTCACAAGAGGTCTTTTTTTTTCTTGGATAGAGTTAATATCGAAGGCGTTCACAATGTCATCGAATTAGCGAAACAGTATAAGCTTCGCATATTTGTGCCGAGCACAATTGGGGCATTCGGTCCGGACAGCCCACGGAATCCCACGCCAAATGTTACGGTAGGTTCGACTCACAGTTGGATCAATAATTACTTTTACAAACATTCCTCCCATTATCGCCGTAGATACAACGCCCTCGTACGATATATGGCGTCTCCAAGGTGCATGCAGAACTAATTGGCGAATACTATTATCATAAGTTTGGCTTGGATTTTAGATGCTTACGTTTCCCGGGTGTTATCTCCAGCGATCCACCAGGCGGTGGCACCACAGGTAAATAATACTCTTTAAAGAAATTTGCAAATGCAACGCTTAACATCGCTGTGTTGCACACATTTCAAGCTTTATTAAACCAAATTCTATTCATCTTAACCCCAATTGAATTGAAACTGAACATTAGCATAACAATAGAGCATTTGTAAGTAAAGACATCATTTAAATAAATGGGAAAAGTGTCACATACTATTAAATGATTTAGCGTGCATATCTAGACCATCTCCGTTTTACTTCTTAATCGACCGCTTAGGGGGAAAGCAAGCGCAGTTTTATCACAAATATACTTATGTATGGAGAAACTATTGAATAGATTATATATTCGCTGAAAAGGGAAGGGCTCAGTAGGAGTAAAGTAAAAGACAATAGTCGCGGACCGCCGTGCGTCTGTTCGCTTTAGAGTTTTATTGGAGACTGACACTTTTGCTATACATATTCTTTATGCTTACATTCGTATGCAACAGTGACAGATAACTTGTAGATAACATAAGATTATTATCTGCTTATATTAACATGCGTGCATTGGTACTTATGTTTGTATTGATTTTCAACACCCTTCCTCAATGCAAACATGTTTTACAAAAATTTTCAAATCAAATTTAACAGCTTTGTAAAATGAACATGCTTCGCTTTAGGGAGATTTTTCGTTAAAATATCAGCTATCATTTCATTGGTTGATGTATACTGTAAAACAATTTGTTCTTCGTTTACAACCTGTCTTGCAAAATGATATCTAATATCAATATGCTTTGTTCTTTCATGGTGTACAGGATTCTTAGCTAATTGTTGAGCACTTAAATTATCGCCATGAAGAATAGTTGGAGTACTCGAGTCACCGCAGCCAATCTCCACTATAAGACGCCGTAGGTATATGGCCTCCTTACACGCAGTTGAAAGAGCCATATACTCCGCCTCCGTGCTGCTAAGTGCCACGCTGCGTTGCTTTTCAGATCGCCAGGATATGGGTCCTCCAGCCAAGTAGTATACATAGCCAGTATACGACTTGCGATCGATGCGGTCGCCACCCCAGTCTGCATCCACATAGCCGGTAAGGGGTTGTCCACACTCTTTGTAGTGCAACTTCAGGTCCACAGTTGACGCCAGGTATCGAAGCACATGTTTTACACCCACTAGGTGCTCTGCATGCGGATCTTGATTCCGTTGAGCTAACTTGGCAACGGAATGCAATATGTCTGGCCTTGTTGTAAGCGCCAGCCACATTAACTCGCCAATTGAAGACTGGTAGGATGCAATGTCAACCTTTTGACAATGCTCGCTGGTACATATCACTTGGAAACCAGCATCCAGTGGGGTCGCTGTAGGTCTACAGGTCTCGCATCCATGTTCACGCAATATGTCTTTGATGTATTGCGAATTGCTTAGCGAAATTTCGCCAAGCTCACCGTCGCGCTGCACTTCCATGCCAAGGAACAAATGCAGCTCTCCCTTGTCAACACATTCAAACGATGTTGTAATGGCTGACTTGATGTTGGCCAAGTCCTCTTTTGATCGGCATGTTGGATTATTGGGATCTGTGTATCCCTGTGGCTGCTTCATATAAACAGTTTCATGCAGGTCGCTATTCAAATAGGCGGTACACACATCTATCTGGTGAAGGTACAGCTTCAATTCCGCTGCTAACGCCAAAATAAACCGCACGGTTTCCAATCTGCAAACGGGTGAGAACGTCTCTACATAGTTCACGCCATACTTCTGGGAGCACCCTTTAGCAACGAGTCGTGCCTTGAAACGTTCGACTTTTCCATCAGAGTCACGTTTCAGGCTGTATACCCACTTGCAACCAACTGCTCGCTGATCTTTTGGTAAATCAGCCATCTGCCAGGTTTCGTTTGATTGTAGTGCCTGATATTCCTTTTGCATCGCCTCTTGCCAGAATACTGCATGTGTGCTACCAACGGCCTGATCATAGGATGTCGGAACCATTACGTCACTAGCAACCAATGCTCCAAGCACATTGTATTGCTTTCTTGGACGACCAGGTTTACCATTTCGAACAATTTTAGGCCGGCCTGGCCCAATCTTCACAGTATCCTCGTCAGAGTCTTCTTTTTCGACTGCACTCTCATATGCGTTGGAGCTGCTGTCGTCAGAACTGTGCTCACTGTCATCGTCGTCGATGCTTCTGTCACCATCCGTGTGAGTGACATGCTCTTGAACCTCGCATGCAGGAAAATCTACCGTAACGGTATCTTCATTGGTATGACCACCACAACGCTCATCAAATAGAATGTCTCGTTTTTCGACAATCGTCCTCGTCTCTGGGTCGTATAACCGATAGCCTTTGGCTGCTACCGAATACCCAACCATACGGTACTCATGCCCTTTGGGTTTGAATTTGCCTTTACGGGGACCCTTTGCAAGTGCAACTGCAATGGAACCAAAAACTTTTAGATGGCTAACACAGGGTTTCTTACCTGTCCACGCTTCCATTGGAGTCAGGTTGTTCAGTGCACTGGTAGGTGATCTGTTTCTTATGTATACTGCTGTGTTGACTGCTTCGGCCCACAAAGACTCGCCTAGGCCCGACTGCACCAATAAGCATCTGGACATCTCCGTTAATGTCCGGTTTGCTCTTTCCGCCACGCCGTTCTGCTGCGGAGTATAAGCCACGGTCAATTGCCTTGCAATACCATGGTGTTTCAGGAAACCGTTGAATGTTGTGTTGACAAACTCGCCTCCATTGTCGGTTCGAATACATTTGAGCTTTTTATCTGTTTGCCGTTCAACCAAGTTTTTAAATTCGACGAACTTACTGAACACTTCATCTTTCTTCCGCAAAAAATAAACAAATATACGCCTGGACTTGTCATCGATGAAGGTCAGAAAGTATTTGGATCCAGCAAGTGACTTCGTGTCGAATGGGCCGCATACATCAGCATGAACCAGTTCCAACAGCTCTTCGGCACGGTTAGTGCTTACCTTTGGGAATGGCTGTACATGTATTTTGCTTAGCATACACGTTTTGCAATTCAAGTTGTCTGGGAAAAAAACCTTTCCAATACCACGCACTAGCTCTTTGCTGATCACTTCCTTCAGACTGGTAAAATTTAAATGGCCATAACGCTTATGCCACAATGTACCATCTGATTCAGTTGCGGAATAACACCTATTTTGTTTGCCTTGAAACATATAAAGGTTCCCAACTTTATTCGCTTTCAGTATACACTCGCCGTTTTGTATAACTTTAGCAAAATGTGGCCCAAAATGTATAACATTGTTCTTTTGCACTGACCGGCTGACGGACATAAAGTTGCCATTCATTTTCGGTACATACAGTACATCTGACAACACCAAGGTACAAAGTTCTGTCTGTAACTTCACCTCTCCTCTGCCTTCGGCCTTCAGGAAACCAGCGTCAGCTAAACCGATCATTTCAGTGTGCGCAATAAATTTTGAAAATAACGTCTTATCGCAACACATATGGCTTGTTGCTCCGCTGTCCAGACACCACATGTTGTTCTCTATCTTTCCAACGTCCAACGCATTTAACAAGCTGCTCTGCTTTTCCATCTCTTTCTTTGTCGATTGCTTTTTCCCTTCACCGCGAATTTTCTCACGCTTGCACTGTGCCTTGTAGTGCCCTTTTTCGCCGCAGTTGTAGCAAACGACGATTTTTGAATTCCTTTTTGAATTCGCTTTGGAATGCGCGACGATCTGCTGCGTAGCTATAAATGCTCTTGCATTCTCGCTCTCTCCATCTGCATTGCCTCTGCGCTCTCCCTCTTCCATCAGCTTGATACATAACACATCAAATGACGGTAAATTGTCACGCGTCTCAATGGCGACGACAAAATTTTCGTATGGTTCGGGCAAGCTTGACAACAACACGATTGTTTTTAACTCATCATTTAATTCGATGCCAACTGTACACAAACCATCCAGAATTTCGTTAAATTCGTGTATGTAACTTGAAATGCTTTGGCCTTGAAACATGCGTTTGCCTAGCAATTTCTTGTACAGCGACACTTTCCGTACAGGTCCACTCGGCTGATGAACGTCCTTTAACTTTTTCCATGCCTCGTACGAAGTGTTGCAATTTTTAATGAAGCCCAATTGTGAAGCTTTTACACTTAGCGTTATAATTGCTAATGCCTTTTCATCTTTTGGCCTTGAACTCTCAGTATTACTAGGTTCAGCACCTGATGCCACACTCCACAATTCCGCGTGCACTAAGACAGATCGCATCTGTATGCTCCATGAGTCATAGTTATGCTCTTCCAATTTGTCTATTTGATATAGCGCACTCATTTTTTAAATGTTATATTTCTTGAGTCACCAAACGATTACTATTTCACAATACTTTGAACTTCTCCTATGAGCCTATATGCCCTGGGCCCATAACCTATTGAATAGATTATATATTCGCTGAAAAGGGAAGGGCTCAGTAGGAGTAAAGTAAAAGACAATAGTCGCGGACCGCCGTGCGTCTGTTCGCTTTAGAGTTTTATTGGAGACTGACACTTTTGCTATACATATTCTTTATGCTTACATTCGTATGCAACAGTGACAGATAACTTGTAGATAACATAAGATTATTATCTGCTTATATTAACATGCGTGCATTGGTACTTATGTTTGTATTGATTTTCAACAGAAACATCATCTGAAAAAGCTGCTTCAGTAATTTAAACCACAATTCATGATTTTTGCTTACTTTTTTGCTTTATGACTTTTATAGTGGCTTTAGCCTCAATTAATCAATTTACATCGAAGTTTAACAATTTATATTAGCAATAAACTCAAGGAGCGTTTTACATTTAAGTTGTATTACAATATTTCAACATTTTCTTTATCATATTGCACTTTTAAAAATTAAAAAATATATATACTATATTGCATTCCATATATTGTCATATTTCTTTTGCATTTTTGCTTACAAATTAGGATTGGAAAAAGTCCATTCTAAAGGGCATTGCGGCGATGCCAGTGCGCGCGTAAGGCGTTAAATTAAATTAAATTTGTAATTTAATTTTATGAGCATCAAACAGGGACTGACAAAAAAAAGTTATATTTAAAATAGCAGCAAAAATGTTAAATGTTGTGTCGGGGCTAGCCACAGTCATCATTTTTTGATATTTGAAAATAACATTCGAAGTTCCATTCTTAAAGCTATTTCTTTGACCTAGACAATGAAAATAATTATTAAAATATTTTTAAAAGGTCTTTAAGCAGTTTAAGATAAAACCAATAAAGACTATTAATACTACAACGATCCGTAGGCTGTTTTGTAGTCCAAATCTGAAATATAACGCAATTGAAAGAAAAGAGTAGTCCTGAAAATCAGGTAGGATCAGTGAATTAAAGGAAACTGCTCTCAGTCTATCGCCTCATAGTGTGCGAAAAAGATATAAACAAGCAATTATGAAATCACACTACTTTTCTCTAAAAAATGTTAAAGCATTTAGAAATATGCATATACATGTATCAGGGACTGTAATCATTATAACTGTAAGTAAATTAAAAAGTAATGATTATTTTGTAATATTATTCATTCGCTCACAATATAGTATAATGAATAATTTTGAGTTTTTCTTTACAACTTAGAGCATTTCCTGCTCTGCATTTAGTCTGTTGTTCGAAATAAACAGAGGTTGTTACTGTGTTAGTAGTTATTTTATAAAATTTCCACCGGGCTTTTGTTCTGTTCTGTGTCACGTCTGTTCTTCTTCGTTTCCAAATTACAAGCCAGTTTATTCAAAAGTGTTTACATATAATAAGTGTATAAGTGTGTACATAATCAATTATTCAAATCAAGTAAAGAAGCTGATAAATTCATTTTAGCAAAATATACAAATTTTCTGCGACAGAGGTATTTTGCAATAATTCCCTAATTTAAAAAATATCTCAATCAAATACGATTTGTAATGTCATCAAAATGATCACCTTTTGTTTATAAAGATGCGAAAAACAAAATGGTTATTTAAAACGACGTTAATACATATGTATGTACATACATATGTACCAGCAATGAGATTGCAACATATTTGAAGAGAAAAGAATGTATTAATGACGAGAAGTGAAAACGAGAAATATGTGTATATACATATACTATACATATGTATACTCGTAGTTGCTTGTTTTAATCTACAATTCTATTCGACAGATTATGCCGTTGCCATTTTCCATGAGGCCCTGCGTAGTGGCAAATACACTTGTTACCTGCGACCAGATACGCGCCTGCCCATGATGTACATAGAAGATTGTTTGCGGTAGGTGACTTCTCCCATAGTGTGCTTGAAGTTCCACTCGGAATAATTCAAATTTGTGTCTTTCATTTTTAGTGCCCTGTTGGAATTTATGCGAGCACCCAGCGAGCAACTGAAGCGTCGCGTTTACAATGTCACCGCCATGTCCTTTACGCCCGAGGAGCTGGTGGACAAGCTGAGCAAATATGTACCTAACCTGCATGTGACATATAAGCCAGACAGTAGGCAGAGTATTGCCGATTCGTGGCCGCAAGTGTTCGATGATTCGGATGCACGTAGCGATTGGCACTGGCAGCATAAATACGATTTGACCAATCTGGTCGATTTTATGGTCAAGGATGTGCAAGAAAATTATATTAACGTGGAGAATGGAGAGCGGCACACGTTGAAGATTTGAAAACACAAATTCTAGAGGAGTTAAAAGCCGCGTCTAGTATTCCCAAACTATTGGGCCAACTTGGGGTATTTTCTAGCTCAAGCGCTCGGCATTTAAAAACATACCCATACTATGAGATTTATCGCATTTATCTACAAAATACAGTTACATTTGCAAATTACACATGTACAATTAGAAACTTTTGAAAATATACACACTTCTAGATATCAATTTGATTATTAAATGCTTCCCTTGTATCTCCAATAAAATCCACAGAACAGAATAGGGAATCTTCCAATTATTGTATGTTATAGAGCTGTACTGTGAATGCCTGTGGGTTCGCGAAAGGGATGAAAAGTGCCAAGAATTTCGTGAATTTCAACTTCTAAAATAGCCCTGAAAATTCCATTATTCATTCTAATACACAGTATTAACACCACGGCCTAAAGTGCGGCGTAAATGTGCGTAATCGTGACGATATTGTATGCCACGCGTCCAGCTTACAAGTATTTATAAAAAGTTTCTCTTTACCCTTTTATTTTAAAACAAATTCTGTTTTAGTCTGATTTGGTGGATTTGCTTACAAGGCCTGAATCCATATATAGATCCAGAAGTATTCTGGATCCATAGACAAAACAAAAATAGAACGTTTGTTCGCACAATTGATATTTTAATAGAGCTGATTGTTGAGGGTACACAAATATTGATATTCGATAACTATGTATCATTTTTAGGCTCCAGAAGTAACATAATGTTAAATGTTAATTTAAAGCTTTCACATTACACTTCAATACTTAGAATTAAGCACCATTTAAGTTGATTCCTTACTGTGCGGTTGATGAAACCAGACCAATGCTTCAGACATGATCAATCAATTCATATCAAAATTGAGCTCCACTTCATTGTTAAGAACTCACTTAAGCTACATTTACATGTCAGAGGTACTATAAGCTACAACTTATTGTTTAGTTTACTGTTAGATATCAAACTGTTCTTCTTCTTCGTCGCCTGCATCGAACCGCCCTAAAGGTTGGGTTTTATAGTGATGCAGACAACCACCATGTGTGGCTATATATAAGTCAGCAGCTGTGGATTCAATTTGTACTGCGGCTTTTGCACTTTCTACTATGGGTATTAAGGCATTTGATAATTTGGTTTGATGTGGTTGTTGTTGTTGTCTGGGTTCTGTAACAAGTAAGAGTAGAGTTTTTGATCTATCAGTTTCATTTTGTTTTGTTTTGATTCTAGGACTTTTTGCACAAGGTTCTAACTCTAACGAACATGACAAATACAAGGTGCGAATACAAGGTAGTTAGTAGTGTATAACATAACATACGCCATTATATCGGAAAAATATAGTGTGGGCCCGAAATTTTGTATTTATTATCCAACATTTCAGGATTTGTTTTTAGTATAAAGTAGTTTAGATGGTTAAATTAGGGATAAGTACAGAGCTACATAAATGTGAATTCAAATTCCACCTAGTTTTGTCGCTTGATTTTTACTCCTTTAGCAATTTTTAGTGATATGTTACAGAGCGTTGACGTTTCCATATTAATTTTTCTAACAAAATAAAGATAATGTACTTAGCTTCATAGCATAATCTACAGTTTTATATATTTTACGGAAATGTTTCTTTACTTTACTATATTGCAATCGTAATCGAACCAAGATTTCTTTTTTCCTTAGACACTTTTGTGATATTTGTGCGGGATTTAACTTACAAATTATGCATATTTTATTGTCCTACTTGTTAGATATTGCTTAACTGTTAATTAATTGATTGCAACGTTGTTTCTTAATTGTTAGCGAGTGTTAGGTGTTTTTTTTTAAGTACATATACCAGTTATATTGTATTGCCTGTTTCCTCTTTATTGCTTTTACAATTTTCCCATCTCTGCATTTTTTATTTGTACAATTGCGGCGATAGTTTATATACATACATATATGTTCGTGTATATTTCATTCAGAATTATTGATTGAATCGATGTATTTTTACATTTGCTTTGCTTTTAAAAAAAAGTACATACATACATACATATACATACAGTGAAACCAACAATTATTCGTACACTCTTTACTTTTGACTTTAAAGGCCTATATCTTCGCTGTTATTTATAATACACAACAATTTTTAATTTCAAATGAACACTTAATATTTATATTTTATATTTTAAAAACAATAACAAACAATTTCATAATCGGTAATGGAAAAAACTTAATCTAATCAAAATAAGGCAGGTTTTTACGTCCATAAATTATTCGTACACTTTGTGCCTTATCATGTTTTCTCATCGCATGTAACTGTAATTGGCAATTCTTTTTAAGGAATTTCGTTACCGTCGCCAGCATTCAGCATGTACATTAGTTTTCATTCATTCTTCTTTGATTTTTAATTAGTGTTGAGACGAATTTTGATTGATATAGACGCAATGGGGCGAGGAAAGGATATTTCACTTGATATGCGTAAACATATTCTTAAATTGTATACAGAAAATTATTCTCTTCGCGCCATTGGCAAATTAATCGACAGATCACACTCTTCTGTACAAAGTATAATACAGAAGTACGGAAACACAGGGAGTTTGGGTGCAAATCATAAACAAGCTGGGAGACCAAAAATTCTAACACAGCGTGATGAGCGAAATATAGTAGCTGCTGTTGTCCAAAACCCAAAAATAACCACTTCAGAACTATCCAAAAATATTGAACAGTGTAGCAACAAACAAGTGTGCCACCAAACCATACGCAATTGCCTATACAGTGCTGGTTATCATGGAAGGATTGCACGGCGAAAGCCATTCATTTCGGCGGTTAATAAAAAAAAGAGGCTGGAATTCGCCAAACTGTATTTAAATGAACCAGATTCGTTTTGGGAAAACGTTATCTTTAGTGATGAGTCCAAATACAACATTTTTGGGCACGACGGCCCTCCCAAAATCTGGCGAAAAGCGAATGAAGCCATGAAAGAGAAAAACATTATTCCCACCGTCAAGCATGGTGGAGGAAATGTAATGGTTTGGGGATGTATAGCTGCATCTGGACCTGGAAACATGGTGTTCATAGATGAAAAAATGGACAAGCACATTTATAAAAGTATTTTGGAGAGAAATTTACATCCAAGTGCCACAAAGCTCGGGCTCGATCCCAAAAAATTCTTCTTCCAACAAGACAATGACCCAAAACATTCATCATATTTGGTACAAGAGTGGCTGATATATCACTGCAAGCAGCTTAAATCTCCACCCCAATCACCAGATTTAAATCCCATAGAGCATATATGGGAATTGCTTGAGAGGAGGATACGGAAGCACAATATAACATCCAAGGAATCCTTGAAAGCCGCATTAGTTTCTGAGTGGCAAAAAATTGAACCAAGAGAGACCAATAATTTGGTGAAGAGCATGCACCGGCGCTTACTAGCCGTTATTAAGGCCAAAGGCGGGCCTACAAAATATTAAAATTTAAATAAGATGTAAATTTAAGAAAAATAATTTGAAAACAATTAAGTGTACGAATAATTTATGGACGTAAAAACCTGCCTTATTTTGATTAGATTAAGTTTTTTCCATTACCGATTATGAAATTGTTTGTTATTGTTTTTAAAATATAAAATATAAATATTAAGTGTTCATTTGAAATTAAAAATTGTTGTGTATTATAAATAACAGCGAAGATATAGGCCTTTAAAGTCAAAAGTAAAGAGTGTACGAATAATTGTTGGTTTCACTGTATGTATATGAATGCGCAGTGGAAAAAAAAGAGCGCTTATTGAACCTTTTGTGTGTATGTGAGATCTGCCGGCTATTGCATATACACAGTTACTTACACATTTATATTTTAAATACATACTTAACATTAATTAAGCACATATTGTATTGTGAGTTCGGAAAATTGCTTAATTTACTAAAAATAAATCAGCAATGAGGCGGCAAATTATGAGAGAGAAACTCACACAGAGAGAGCAAAAGAGCGAGAGAGCTTGAAAGCAACACTCAATTGTGCCGGTTGACGTTTTATATATGCATGTATGTACATATGTATATATAATAGCAAGTATACAGGTGTATGTATGCATTTGTATATACATATGTATGTATACGCGATGACATATTAAAGCATATATGACTGTATATGAATAAAGCACATATATGTATGTACTCTGTGTATATAGTTTGTATGTACATGTATGTATGTATGTATGTATATAGCAACCACTGAGCCTATCAAACGTTTCTAAAACATGTGCGACATCATGCAACGACTCACATCACGATTAGCGCGATGCAAATGACCTTGATAGTGTTGATTGATGCGTGGATGCTGTATCGTCGGCTGCAGGTGTTGTTGTTGTATAACGTGTGGCGCTTGCGCCTCTGTTGCGTCTCCAGCGGCTTGCATATCATCATAATCCATTAGACAGGCTTGTGTGCCAATTTGTGTGGCAGGCATTGAAAAGAAATCTATAAAAGTAACATAAACTCAAATAAGAAAATAGTTAACTAACTAATATACGTAAATCGACTATATGCGAATAGTGTAATCAGAACGTTGACGTCTCAGTCAGCGGTGACAGTGCCCCAATTACCGCTTGTTTTTATTTATAGCAAAATGCAATGACACTTGTGTTGTTTTTGTATGTATGTATATACATACATAGGTATGTATGTAGGTATGACTGTTGCTTAACGCTTATCAGCCTTATCTACCGCGCAACTAGTGCACATTTAGGGGTACATTTAATCAGTGTTCTCGCAGATAGCAGGAAAAGACCTGCCTATCAGCAAAAAAATGATAAGCGTAGAAAACAAACATTGATATATACATATAAACAAATAAATTATTGCTTAAATAAGTACATACTATGTTGCTTTACATGCATACATATGTATGTATGTATATTGGTGTTTAAATTTGTAACTTGCAGCACAACAAAGCGGCCTTACTTGCACGCTACACACGGCAAACGGCGCCAAGTTTTCAAAACAGATTTTGTAACAATTTACGAAATTTTCCATTTTGCGACCCTGACGCGCGGTTGTAAAAACTAAAAGTATATAAATACATACATACATACGTATGTATATGCACATGTACATATATTTGTGTATGCATGTACACGAAGACGTTGTGTATATATATGTACATATTTGTGGATGTAATTAAAGCGTGCGCCACACTTAAATTTGTGCGGTGTGAAAAAGTCAAGGCCAGCCGAAATGATGCCGAAAACATTAAGTAATTAAATTAGTTAATATGCATATTTACCGTTAAAATACTGTGCTGCAAGATCGCCATCGTCGAAACGACAGCGCTTAGCCGACACCGGCTGCCCTACACTGGATGCATCCTCAAAGAAATCCATAGCGGCCGTTGCCCCTGCACCGCCGTCAACATAGCAGCGCTTTTTGCAGCGAGCCGTCGCTCCTACACCAATTTCTTGCATCCCATGTATGTTATCTGTTGTGATGTTGTTATTGTTTATGTTGTTATTGTTGGCATCATCACCATTGACAAAGGCATAGCCATAATAGCCGTTGGAGGATATTTGCGACACCGCACGTGGATTGAACATGTCAATTGGGGCGGACCGCAATGGCCCAGTTTCGAAGTTGTTAGCAGCTGCAGCATCGCCATCACCATGCGCCCAGCACTCAAAATTTGTCAAAACCATCTTCAAAGTGTTGGTTGGGGTGGTGGATGTATTCAAAATGTACCGCTGTGCAATGGAAATTTACCAAGAATCTAGTATAAAGCGAAACGCGGTGTGTTGGAGTAGCAAAACGCGTGTGTGCTGGTCGACGCTCACTTTTTGACTGTACGATTTTTGTAAAGAGCGCGCGTTCGCGTTCAATAGATGTTTGCAGCTACTTTTCGGTTAATTACTGCAAAATACGCAGCATTGGCAAAATGTTCAACTCAAATTAATTAATACACGCGCAACAAAAAAATGCGACACTAAGCAGGCAATAAGAAAGAGCACAGTACTCATTCGGCAATCGTTAAAAATAAACCAATAAGCTAGATATTTACATTTTGCCGTGTGTGCTTTGTGCAGCGTCTTCGTCAACAATTTGACAGTCACAACGAAAAACGTGAATATCGTTCGCCACTCGGTTAACAAACTATTCGATAACACTCTGTTTTTCTTACTTATCGACCAGTTGACAACTCAGCTGCCTATCATGTGATTGTCAAGTTCTCATTTGATAAAACGAATGGCTTGTCAAAACGAAAGACAATTAATATAATAGTATTGAAATCTTTAGAAAAGGCAATATAAGCTAACTTATTGATTATGACCAACAAGAACAAAAAGGGTAATGGCAATGATGGGAGAGCTGCAAAACAGTCAGTTAAACAGCGCTCAGAGGTAGGTAAAAAACAACCGGCATCAAAACCGGCGCCAGAGTAGGTGTTTTCCATTGACACTCGTGCTTTCCAGGACTCGCAGGACTACAGTTCCTTGAAAACGGTGCTCTTCTACTGTTCCCTCATCGTGTTCCTGCCCGTGGCAACATTCTTCGCGCTTAAGGGTTTTGTGCTGGACAAGTTCTTCAGCATGGGTGAGCTGAAGGTTAACATTGCATCGGCTGTGGGAGCGGTGGTTGCTCTCCACCTGGCCTTTGGTCTGTACATCTACCGCGCCTATTTTACCGACACGAAGTCGCAAACCAAACAGGACTAACCACTTTTGCTGCTGCTGTTCAGCGCTCCAGTGAGAGACGACTGTTAAATACATTTAGTACCACCCATTTCCAGCTCAACGTTTTTTTTGTTTACGTTGCATTCGATTGTTCTAAGCATTAGTAACATTAGTGTTAAGTAAACTAATTGTAATTACATCGGATTGTTTTGTTATGACTTTACTAAGTGAAAGTTGCATGTAATCGTGTCCATGTCGTATTGTAATCGTTGCTTGCATAATTTCGATAACAACATTTCCATGGGCCCGCATGCAGCGAAATTTTTCCGTAACTCGTTCATGTACATTTCGTATTAAAATCTTTTAAAATAGTGCAATGCGCGGCCTTTTAAAATTGGGGAGCAGCTTCTCAGGACGCTTCGCATGGACGGATACTATTAAAAAATTGCTGCCAAAGCCTCGTAACCGAATTTACAATTTGGGCGCATGCTTTGAGCTAGAGGATGTGGTAAGTGAGCGCTAATAATGGGAATTTGAATGTGACTTGTCAATTAAATTTAACCCTCAAAACTCTGGTTAAAATTTTTGTATAATTGCTACCGTTATTTTCTTCATCCTCAACATTTATGATGGGGTTTGCTTAATAAAAATAGCGGCGTTGCCATCCTGTCATTCAGCAGCTGTGCAATTATAAATTTACTCGTTGCTTTTTGTTTGGGCTTTTCTTTTCGGGTTTCTTTTTTTTCGTTATTTGCGGAAGTGCTTTCAATACAAATGAAAGAGCCACGCTGTGAAATATAAAATATGCATACATATCTTTGTATGTACATGCGGCAGTACGTGAAACAGCTGCGGAGCAGCCATATACCCACAGATACAAAGGCGCTGGCCGTGGCTGGGCGCTATTGATCAAAACCACCTGTTAGAACATAAAAGTCTTCAGACAAGACAAATACGTTGCCAAGTATACACGTCTTATCGGTCTTGATATGTTTCCGATTCAGTTGCCTAGATTGTCACAATATTTATGGACACTTTGCGTCCATTTGGTGATTGCGACCTTTTTGTTAACGGTTGCCGATTCGTTTAACGAGCAGGATTATTTAGTGGGCCGGAAGCAGGTACACTCATCAGTCATAGAAGCAACAATAATTGTAATTATGGTCGTTTACAAATTACAGGTAACCCACAATCCCAGCGAGCTGTCCGATGCACAGTTTCTGGAGTACAGCAATCTGTCGGACAAGCAACATATGCGTGAAGCCATACGAAACATTCTAGTGCCACGTGTTGTAGGTACTGGGAATCACACGATTGTGCGTCAGTACATTGTACAGAGTCTTCGCGACTTGGGATGGCATGTGGAGCTGAACAGCTTTCATGATACGGCACCCATTGTGGGTGCTTTGCATTTCCATAACATCATAGCAACACTTAATCCGCAAGCGGAGCGTTTCCTGGTGCTGGCCTGCCACTATGACAGCAAATATATGGAGAATGTAGCCTTTTTGGGTGCCACAGATTCAGCTGTGCCTTGCGCTATGCTACTAAATTTGGCGAAAGTGCTGCAGGAGCAACTTGAACCGTTCAAAAATACCAATGTGAGCCTCATGCTGCTCTTCTTTGACGGCGAGGAGGCATTTGAGCAGTGGGGTCCCAAGGATTCCATTTATGGCGCTCGGCATTTGGCCAAATTGTGGCAGGATCAGGGCAAGTTGGACCGCATTGACTTGCTGGTGCTGCTGGATTTGCTGGGCGCACCTGATCCCGCCTTTTACAGTTTCTTCGCCAACACCGAGCTGTGGCACATGCGCCTAATGGCGCTGGAAACACGTCTCTCGCAACGCGGTCTACTGCAGCGCTACATGAGTAGCGGTGTGTCCCAGCATGATCCAACGCGTTACTTTCAACCACAGGCAACACGTTCGGCGTACATCGAGGACGATCATATACCATTCCTACAGCGAAATGTGCCCATTTTGCACCTGATACCAATGCCTTTTCCCAGTGTTTGGCACACACCGGACGATAATGAAAGCGTGATTGATTATGCGACAACAGAAAACCTGGCGCTGATTGTACGCCTGTTTACGTTGGAGTACCTGCATGGTGGCGTTGCACAGACTAAGTAATGTGACAACTTTAAGCCGATCAAAAATCAAAATCAATGCTACGCTCGGTAAAGCTCCCCTACTTAGGCCTTATCAACTTACTGACCTGCATGTCGTTACTGGTTGCTCATATCTTAGCCTTACATAAATGTACATACATATGTATACATATTTACCTATATTACTACTCAGTGAGTAGACTGTTGTGTTGTGGATCTTGTGTATTGTATCGTGTGGATTCTACTGAATTTACAACTTTGTGAAAATGTGTTAAATAGCTGTAATTAATGTCAGTTTCAATTGACACGCCAGTGCTTCTTAAATATTTAAACAAATAGCAAATATTTTTATAAATTATTATTAAATGTTAATTATTGAATAAATTTACTTTTGCCAGTAAATGTCAGACATATCTGTTAAATTAATTATAAACTTATATTTACAACATATATGGTATGTAAACTAATTAAGCGTCTTAAACTCGAACAGTTTGTGTTGTGTGCAGTGTGTTGTGTGTGTATATGGCATACAAATGTGCTTAAAGACTAGCTAAAATCGTATCCTGACTGTTATATAATACTAATACTAACAAAACAGGATCAGTCCTTGTCGCTGGATATACATTCAGCATCAGTTTGTGCTGTAGGTTCCTTTTCCACTTGTTTCGATGCTGGTGGAGGCGCAGGACTGTCCACTTCCTGTACAGCTACTGCTGTTGTTCTTGTCTTGACTTCTTTCGCAGATGCCGTGGGCTGTGCTTCTTGCTGTCCCATCAACAACTGCGTTGCATTCAGTTCCTTGGGCTTTGACGAGGACGTTTGTTTGCTGGGCGTTTCCACAATGACCACACTTAATTCAGTGCAGGACTTGGATTTTTGAGGTTTGTGGCCATGACATTGCGTTGATTGCGTTTTGCTCCCATCAGGACACTCACTCACCTCACGCAAATCGGAGCGTGAGTCACGACAGCAAACCTTCTCCACACAATCCGCAGCACTGCACTGCATCAGACACTCCAGTGACGGGTTTTTGGTGGTCGAGTGGAACTCGGGCTGAATGGTAACAGCGCCAATGCCCTGCTCATGGAAATAGGACCGCACCTGCTCGATGGTTTTCAAGTAGAGCTTGGGATTCTGGAATTGTATGTGTATCGTGGCCACATAGCTGTGTGCAGCAAGCTGCCAAATGTGCAGATCATGGTAGCTGACTATCTCAGGGAACTTGCTGACCAGCGTGTGCTCAAATATCTCTAAGTCAATGGAGCCGGGTATGGTCTGTAGCAGGATCAGGCAGGATTCTTTCACTATAACAAAAAAGATATGTATGTTTTAAATTTTCTTTGTTTTAAGATTCTACATTTGAGAGATTTTGTATTTTATGAAAAAAGCTTTCATAATTGTAAAGAATGCAGAAACTTCCGTCCAAATATGAAGCTTCAAGCACTTAATTTTTCATGGTGCATTCATAATGCATGTTAATTCTCATTGTAGACTCTGTAGTCTCGTCCACACTATTTTTTTTACAATAATTTTGATTGCAACATGAAAATGAAGTGGACATCTTAAACATTTTTCTCTTGAAAATCTCATAATATTATGTGATTTAAATGCCGGAGTTGTTATGTATCAACGTTTTACATATACTTACTGTATGGATAACTCAGGGAGACCAAGAGCACGCACGAGAATATTGAAAGGACTGGATCTATAAATTTGGCCGTATGTTCTTCATCCTCAGCCACATAAACAATGCCGGCACAGACAATCACGAATATGGTGCTGGAAACATCGCGCAGCATTTCCACCGCTCCCTGACGTTTCGTTGCAAAATAGACATTGCCAACCTCCGCTTGCAGCTCGTCACGCAACTCTCGATCGTTGCGGGATTTGCTTAACTGGCGCTGCATGGGCTTCAGAGACAAATCATTGTTGCTGGACATGGAGCGGTCTAGGACCACATTGCCACCGGGCGTCAAGTGGAGGAAACTGCCTTGATGTAGTGTATAGCCGCCAATCAGCAAATATGTAAGCCCATTCAAAATCAGACCCACAAAGCCCAGCATCATTACGGGTATGGGCAAATGCATGGTGTCCTGATGATCAATGTGGACCAATGTCTGTAGTGCCTCCACAACCAGCGAGAAGGAGAGCGAGGCCAGGATAATGAAGACAATCAGCATAGTAAGTATATCGATGCGCGCCCAGCCAAACGTATTGCGTAGCTTTTGCTCCCGGCACTCCCGCTTTGCCAATTGCTGTTCCTCAGCTTCGTTCAGGGTAAGCACTACGGCAATTTTACCCTCCGATGAACTGTTGGAGTTGTGGGAGGATTGCAGCTGCTCCCTTTCATTTTGTTGGGCGTGCTGCTGCAAGTGGAAAGAAAGTATTTGATTTGAATACAGTGAATACATTTTTTAAAAAGCTGTAATGCTTCCTAAGCCTAAACCACAATCTTGTATACCCTACATACATTAATTTTTTAACAAATATGTATATTGATAACAAAAATATCCACGACGCGTTAAAATTATAATTCATGCATATGGTCAACAGAAAAACTTAAAAAAATCCAACTCAGTTTCATTTTAAAGCGAAATAGTGCGCCATAATAATAATCAGATAGCTCAAAATTGTTTCAAAAGATGTACGTTTAGTTTTAGATTTGATATCAGCATCTTTGGCCTACAAATCATAGAAGAATGATACGAACATAATTTCCAAATTTTCTTGTAACCACTATAATTATTTTAATCATAATAATATCATGCCAAATTCGAGATAAATATTTTTAGATTTGGTATTATTGTAACATTAATGACGGCCGCTTTATATTTACTGAGAGTAAATAAATTCTGATCGTTTTATTGCAAAGAAAAAAGATTTGGAGCGATTTGCTTTTATTCAAAGATATTATGGAACTGCTACTTGTTCAATGGTTTCTAATTTTCTTGTGATTTTATGGCAAATGTTTTGCAAAAAATAAAACAAATCTTCTCTTTTCAATATCTTACTAACTATTAACTTTATATAGGCGTATTAATAACTAAATTATGAAAATACAAATGAAAAACAACCGTATCTAAGCATAACATACTATTTTCGTTGGGGACTACTAACATATCAAAAATAAATCGGGCCGCATAAATTGTATTTTTGGGCTTTTGCATTTAATTGAAATAAAAATTCAAAAATAAAATGTTTGTTCCAATCGAGTACTTCCGATCGCTTACTATAATTAATTGAATGCCGCAAAGCAGATACAATAAATTGAAGCTGCCGAGACTTTTCACGTGAAACTTTTCCAAGGCTACGCGAAGAAGCTTGAAGCAAATAAGAAGGCGTCTGTTCGGATCTAGACAAACTTGCTTTAGAAACATACATAACTTACAATATTTTTTGGCTGAAGGGTACTGCTACCAAGTTGTTGCCAACAATTGTTTAAACGCTTCACTTAACTCACTCAACTACGGTGGCTTGTCAAATTGTCTGGCAACGCCGTTACGTAAGCTCAGCTTCTGCCGCCACACGCTATGGCCGTTGCAATTGTTGTTGGCCACTGCCCTGTGTGTACAACAAATTCGATTGTTGCTGCCAATATTCGCCTGATTTAAATTTGTTGTTGCTATTGTTGTAGCTGTTTGTTTTGGTGATTTTGGCATTTTGTCTTTGCGAAACGTGCTTGGCACGCTTTACCATATTTAAGGCATGCTGGCGGCACTCATTAAAAAATATGTAAGCATTTTGTCTCGCCCATAAATTTTATGATTGCTCCAGCTCAGATTTGCATAAATAGTATGTTAGCTTTAACCTTGCGATCAGAAAAATACAACATTGAATTTCTGCATTTATTAATGAAGATGGTATATACTTATATTAGAGCCGCTACTGTAACTGGACAGGCCGACTAACCTAGTAGAACAAGGTGTTAACACCAAGTTTTTATCATGCACACAAACACACTCGTAATTATGGCAATTTTTGTGATAAATGCGTATGCAAGCAGACTTTGCCGTTTATACTTATATACATATATAGTTATTTAAGCACATAGATAGTGTTCGCTGATAACGATGCCTGCTTATCTTAGTTCAAAGCGCGACAAAAAAAAGTCTCGCAAAAAACCAAAGTTGCAAAAAAAATAAAATATGTACATATTACAAATCACAACCAGAGCATAAAACCAGTTTGTCACAATCGAAATTTTGTTGCCAGCCGGTTCAATGCACTGCATTCGGATTCGGGCCGATTATTGCTTAAGTGCTTATCAGGCGGCCAATGCTCGTGACAAAGTTGGGAGCAGTTCCTGTCCAAAAAGCACAAAAACATGAAAACAAGTTAGAACGCTCCGGGCGATCGGATACTCTTTTGCATACAGACGCAGAAAACTTTGTGGAATGCATAAAAAAAATTGACTTGTTATTTCAAAATTGGTCTCACACAAACTTTAAGATTCCGACCAACATTTATTTCTCTATGCTATAACAATTCAATCTTGTTCAATATCATTAAACGAACATAAATACATATTGGTCGACGAACGTGGAGAATTTTTATTGATAATTTAGTACTAATCAAGAATTATAAGTACTACTGGACTCTTAATCTGCTATTAAATAAAAAAAAAGAAGAAAATCTGAGTTTTTTGAAATCTACCAATGAATTAAATGCTTGCTTTATAACTTTTATTTTAATATAGCGTGGTACGTAATTTTAAAAAATCTCAAATCAATTTTAGTTTTTATTTAGACTACTATTTTATTTGTTAGTTATTCTATGTGACTTAATATTCAATGTAACTGTAGTGAGTATTAAAGAATTGAATATCTATAGAAATATAGGAGACCCATCTGCACATAATTCAGATACATTTCATCTTCTACGCTATTTTGTAGATCAGTTTATTTGTTCTGTGTTTAAGGCCTGACACGACGAGTTTAAAAAGTGCAATATAACTTTATTGTAACAGAGTTATCATTGCATACTTGTTTTTATTCACAAATCTTGTAGTCCGAAACGGATTTAACGTGTTTTACAGTGCATGCTCGTTAAATTGAACCAATTAATAAAAGATTGCTTCGTTCAACGATTAACATTTAACAGCTTCTTGATTGTTGTGATTATCTTGCATTTTTGTCAGCTTCACAGTTCAGTTGCTTTTGTTATTTTTATGCACACATTTCGTTCCAGAACAGTTGAATTAAATTGCTTGTATTTCATTCATGAACAATTTCATTCAAGACCGACTTTTTATTTTATTTTTTATTAGCCTCTACTTTCAAGACCTAATTCATCAACTTGTTAGGTTTTTTTTTGCTTAGGCATTGCTGCTTTAATTATTTGCAAAATGTTCGATTCATAACATCAATTGCTTTGCAAATTGAAACTTTTATTCAAAAAGACAATTTTTTAAAATGTATAAATATGAAAAGTTGCTTAATTTTCGATAATTTAATTATCTTAAAATGTTTATATTTAATTATTTATGTTTGAATTGTAAAGTTATTTGATTTATTGACGTTGGCTCATCATTATAATTGTATTTTCAAATTCATCGTACTTGTGTGATGATCTTATTTTATGAAATACTTGACATATAAATTTCAAGTGCAAAGGTAATATGGGAGCTTGCAGATAGAATTCAAATTTAGTGAACCAAAAAAAACTTGGGAAATAGTAGTTAACACAATATTAGTGAGTGAGACGATTTGTGTATATTTGCGATTAATTTAGTTAAATATAGATAACAAATTTGAATCGCTTTTTACATAGAATACTCGTAAACTATTGATATAAAGTGAAAAAAAGTAGTTGAGTATTCTCGCGATTCATTTGCTTGTTAAAAAAGTTGAAGTATACTTAGAATGTAGTAGTTCAAATTAATAATAATTTTTTTGTGATTAGATCTTGCAGGAATGTCTATTAATAGATTGGAACTAAAAGTAAGAAAGCAAAACAGATGAAAAAACGATAGATAATGAGCAATGGAAATAACTAATGAACCTATTTATTAATACGTATATGTATATAATATAATAAGAGTTAGGTCTTAAACTAGCAGTCAGATGAAAACACATACTATAAATAAAAAATATTTAATTTTTATAGTATTGTTTTGACATGAATGAACAAAAAATGTATTAAATTAACATACATTTTGGGCAATTGAGAAATTGGTAATAATTTCAATGCAATGTGTTATGACCTGTTCCAATAGAAATATTCTGACGGCACATTTGACTTTCTAGTGCAAGTGTTTTATTTTGAATGTGCACTGTACTGTGCTTAATTCACGTTCATTTTCGTAAGGTGGCAGTTGTTTTTGTTCCACTTACCTTAATTGTTATGATGCAGCCGCCAAGCGCCAGAATGTTGCACAACATGTGATACGACGACATGAGGAGCGTGAGCGCGTGGGTCAAGTGGCTGAGAACCAACTGCACGCAGAAGTACATGATGGATAGGAATAGAATCACGTACAGTGGAATTGGTCGGCAGCGATTTAATATTTCCTTAATGGGCATGTTTAGGGCTTGTGTAAGCGACGACGGACACCCGGCGTATGCGTAATTTGTAGAAGTTGATGTAGAGTTTGAATTTGGCGGGCACTGTAGAGGAGAACAAAGACTGATATAAACACATATGTATACATACATACATATATAATTAAATATTTGTGGTTCTAGTTTCTCTGACGCCTAATGCTGAATGACACATACAATATACTTGTACGATGATGACGTTCCGAGCAAAATAACTTAACGCTTTTGTCAACGAACTGAACTGATCCCCATGGGCTGGAGATTCTTTCTGTATATAAATAGATCACACTGTGTTTACCCAAGTCATTGGCAGTTCGTGTACAAAGGCATATGATTCGCTGTTTGTTTCAAAATAACAACAACAAACACAGCAATAGTCACATTATAAAGGAGAGAAAGATATTTGGCCAAAGAAATTGTGTCAAGTTCAAAGTTTCGGTGCAGTAGCCGGCGGTAACTTCGAATATGGCTGAAACCAACCATGTTGGCATGCACATAGCGAACAGTTCCAGCAGATATTAAGGTGCTACTACATTGCACAAGTGGATAGATTGTGGGAACTGCCCACCTTTCCGTGCACGGAACACGCCTGCCTGGCATGCCAATGAAGATGCTAAACGATTAACCGGCTAGCCCACTGACTAAGTAGTATATATACGCCTGAACGAGCCCCAACACCCCAATCCCAACACGCTGTGTTCAATTAATGGCCGATCAGCAGCATTGAGGCAACATTACGTGATGCGAGCCACTATGGCTATAGCTTGTGGGCCCCAAGGTTGGGCCCTTTTTCGGTCACTCGTTTGTAATTTTAATTGCCATATAATTACAACAGGTACGTTGAATTTTTAATTGTCTTTTTTTTTGTCAAGGCTCATTTGAAGCTTATTTAGATGCTAGAAAGCTCCAATTTCCATGGCTGAGGTCATTAAAAATGGTCCGAACTTCCCTATTCCTCAACCGAGAGTTCTAAATGATTTTAGAGCTCATATTACAATTGATTGTATTAACTTTATGTTTTTATTTAATTTCCCTTATGTCTTAGGCAATTCTATGCTGTAATAGAATTATATTATATTTTAATATCTACCCATTTATAAGAGAATCCTCAACTATCTAACTAGTATTTAGTTTAAACAGACTATTTTAATGGATTTTCTGTTAACTTCTAAAATTCTGATTTAATAGTTTTCAATTCTTAAAAACTTTAATGAATATAAATACAAAGTATTTGCTTTGTTTTTTCATACATTTTTTCTAACTCAATGAATGTTGCTTCCTGGCACTAACGATCTTTCAAACTTAGGTTGAGATGACTCGTCTTTCCTTAATCGGTCCACCTGTTTGTCTATTTGGAAGTCTGGATTTTGAGGTACTAAAGCGAAGGTTGGATATTGCTCATAATGAGTAATGCTTACTAATAGTAAGAGCTGGAGACTGTCTTCCAACACCTGAGGGACTCGGACATCTCAGTAGATTGTATAAATTATTATAACATCAACTACTAGGCAAGGAGTGATCACTCAGTAAGACAATCAGTTAAAATTTCGCTTAACTGGTTGTATTTTCCACAGAACTACTCTTACTGGTAGACTCTTCTGTACTACCCATTCCAGAGTTTATATGTAGAACAAACTATTTATAATAGTGAATGGCTTTGGAAATCTGCGAAATGAATTTAAAAATTACGTATTTATCATAATCTGTAGCATCATCTTTATTTCACAAATTTTATCGATTCTCGTTTCACAAAAAAGTCAAAAATGAGTATGAATAAGCTATATATTCTATATAAAAGCAATAAATAATAAACTGATCTATTGAAATTAATAATTGACACCACACTGCTTGTTAAGCACTGCTTGAACACTGCTTTAGGTTATACTGCATTGCACACATGTACATGCACGTACATTTAAAAACCGATAGCAATTTTAAACATAATAAGTAGTATACATATATAAATACCGAAGTTATCGGCTAAGCTTGAAAGCACCCATCAATATTACTTATGCGCACCGTTGACCAACTTTAGTTCAGTTATGTACGATCTACCTACATTATAGAAAACACGAATTTTTATTTTCTAGAACTATTCTAATCAGGCTAGCTAGCATACAATGTTTGCTAGCCGCAAAGCTAAGATACCGTTGAAGGCTTATGGATGCTATAGATAGTAAAAGTTGCGTTAAGCACTTAATCCCACGCCTTATGTTATTTAAAATTATCAAACTGACAATGTGCTGGAAATGCTAGCTAGGTGCTCCCTTCTAAGGCATAACTTGTATGCATACATTGTAGATGACCTACCCAGTATTCCAGATTAGGGTTTCTGTTCGAACAAGACACGTGGGCATACAAATCAGTTGTTTTGATTATCAAACGCTGCAATCTGTTCATAGCAAAGCTACTATTGTTTCAACAGAAGCTCCGCATACCTGTTTTCCGCCTCTAACACCACCTCCGCCATATGGCCACCCAGCATTGAATTGACATTGAATTCATAGTAATTAGAAATTGCAGCAATTGCAAACACAAAGCGTTAAAAGGCGCCCCAAGCCCCACAACCCAAAAATTAGGATTATAATGTGTGCTCATCATTTGTACAATACCTACATATGTATATACTATATACACTTTGTATGTACGAGTATGTATCTAGTGCTCTGTAATGTGTGCTATTGTCGAACGATTTGCCAGACTCTAAACGTTCATTTCCTCAATTAGATGAAGCGCGCACAGAATTGGATTGAATGAACTTTGAATTTGTGTCTGAATGCGGGTATTATGTACCGAGAGTATTATGTACTGCCGCCCGATACGCCGCGATAACAAAAGATAAGCCCCTCAGACAATATCGTCAGATATGGGTGTAATACTAGTGGCAGTTGCTGTGGCCACACGCGGTCTTTCCACATAGAAACATGGCAAATAAAAACTGACAATGTGTTTTCTGCCTACAGTGCACAATGGGGTGAATGCGATAAGCATAAGAATTATTTGCAATATCGTTTGTCAATCGAACAAACAGAAGATCCGAAAAATACGATCATTTTTTTATGATAAAGAAAGGTTTGTCTTGTAGATCACAATTCGCCCAACTTATACATTTTATAAAAGTAATACTCCAATATATTCAAGTTTCAACTTTGAAATATAACTTATATTGTCTGGACCTCTAACATGCTTTGTCTGACAAATGCTTGAATTTGTAATGGATTAGTTACAGGAATTCCACTAATTGTATTAACGCTTCCTCATCTCATCATCTCAGCTTGCAAGCATGTTGTGCTGTGATTCCCAATTGATTCTGGTTTGTTTTGTGTTGCTTTTAATATATAAATCTGATGGAGTTCTTTGTTAAGATAAGATGAAGCTGCAATGAGATTTGAGCTTAACCAATCAAATACATCAATTAAATTCCGAGGCAATTTAAAATATGATTTTTTTATAAAAACTGTTCAGTCTCCTAAAGGATTAAAAAATTTCTAATTTTTAATTCTAATTTTAAACTATTACGAACTAATGGGACCCTTGCAATATTATCATCCTATTTTCAACCAACAAAAGTTACCCACAATTTAGGAAAATTGTCATTTAAAATATAAATATTTAAGAATAAGAAAAATTGTTTTGTTCGGACAAATATTAGATCTCAACTTTGGAACTACTTACATAAAATACAAATACTTGAAAATGCATTTATTAACTTATTTTTTTCATTTTTCCTTTGGGTGCAGAAAAAAGACTTAATTACTCCCATACTTTCTCTTTTTCTTTCTTTCATTATCTCTCTCTCTGCTTTTTTCTTTACTTATTTTAAAAAATTGTTTATAGAAATAAATGTCTAAATTTTAAAGATATGTACTTGTAAGTATCCACAATACAGAAAACTTATCACAGCTTTGAGTTAAATCTACGACGGATCAGCTCTCTTTTTTCTTTTATTTCGGATTTCTCCAAATGTCAATTTTAAAATCTCCACATTAAGTCAGTTCTATTGTAGTACGTAATAATTTTTCATATTTTTAACAAAAGGCGTAAATGCCTTGAAAGGAATACTATTTTAATTACCCGTAATGTAGATACGAACATTTTCTTGAGACTGTCGATCTGTCTGTCTGTATGAACGCAAGTATCTTTGTTTGCTTTAGAAGTAACATCGACAAACTTGGTATGTAGTCTCTACTGAACTATATATAAATGTCTAATTGGGTATAGAATAAGTGTCACTAAAATTCTTAATGTAACAAAAAAAAAATTTAAGTGTTTAGCTTCTCACAAAACCATTCCACTGTACAATTGCCAGCCGTCTGATATTTGAGTATCGGCCACTCATGCTTAATAATTTCAAGCGATTTCGCCGAAAAATCTACAACTTGCTAAAGTCCGGCTTCTGGCTTTAATGAGCGAGGGTCCATTTTACGCTAAGCTATAGCAAATAAATTTCTTTGAGCGCTGACAGCTCAATTGCCAATTAGATCAATGCAAAGAGTCAGTTCATCAAAAACAAGTCAGTCGGTTTGTCAGTCTGTCAGTTTGTCACTCGAGTGTACAGTCGGGAAGCCAAAGTCCGGCACATCAGCAACATTTGTGTTATTTTTTTAAAATTCTCATTGGTATAATTTATCTTTTGGCCATCAATGCTTCGCGTTTGTATTGTGATTTGTTTTGCTTAACTGCGTTTTTCGGCTGACCATCGAATCATCGCCTGCATACAAATTTTGAGTCATTGGCAAAAAACCAAAAGTAAAAAACGAATTTAAAAATAAAAAAAACAATAAATGTATTTTCAAAAAAAATTTATCTACGTTGTTTTTTGAAATTTGTGTTTCTTTTTTGGTCCCTGGCCCGTTTTATTTTTACATAGACGGAACATTAATGGGGCGTCTGTCCACTGCCCTGCCCCAATCCATAAGAGTACTTTTTATTTTTATTTTGTCTAATACCTTTTTGGGCTACGAATTTTACACACGTCGGCAAGGTCGCGTGCCCACTAGAGAGGCGTATACGAGGGTGGAATTTTTTATGTATGCTAACCAGATATTTGGCTCTGTCCCATTCATCGGCATGTTTATTGCGCTCTGTCCATAGATTGTTTATTTAAAATTCTACTGACAATTCCGCTAACCCAGCTTACACAATTTGTTTTTCTTCTAGGTAAACACGATTTGCTGCCTGTATTTGATTTTATTTCAAAACAAATACTCAAATGCCGAGGTAATTGCTGACAAGCATATTTATTTCATAGTCTATTCTCATAAATAGGTTTTATGTAAGCCTTTCCAATTCCCAATACTTTAAGACTGTGTAGACCAGCTATGTGTAAGCTCAGATCTGGAAGTTATGCATTCTACTATAATGTTTATTATAATTGTAATACACATTAAAACATTTTTGGAAAGATCAAAATAAAAATAATAAGAATAATGAAGAATCTTTTGCAATAACTATACTATCGTATTTTAACAAGGAATAAAATATCAAAGAATTTATAATAAAGCAAATATTGAAATTTAAGAATTTTAAATTTTCATACAAATTTGTGTATGTTACAAGTAGGTATATTCTTCAACCTTTACTTGTAGAATTCAACAGATTTGCGTGCAAATTATTTGCCTTCTGACCGTAGATTTAGTAAACATCAAAAGTTAAGCAGGGTCTCAAAGTTAAAGGACGATACTAAAATGATTAAAAAATATAACAATTTCCCATACTAGATGATGCACACATATCACTATTTATGGCACGGATTTTAACACATATGTATTACTAGTATACTAATTGAATTATCTTATCCCAGGTCGGCAAAATTATTGAAATACAACGCCTAATATTAATGTTAGTCATAGTCACAAATCTGTTGGAAGTTCCGCCTTCTCTTAGTTGCGGAAAAAAGAGGCGTTTCTTTTTATGTCGGAGATCGTTCTGATTTATTATGATATTTAGTGTCCATTTCACAAAAGTTTTAATGAAATTTTTATTGAGACTGCTTTACGTGATTCGCCAGTTTTTAAATGATCGCATTATGGGTAGTTTCTGAGGCTTACTTTCACAAAAACGCTTCAGGTATTTCTTACAAGTTTTCAATATGGAGTTAACGAGCACTATTATTGGGCCCAAAGCTATTAACTTCAATCTAGCAACAACAACCACTTAAATTGCATTTAATGAGACTGACGTGTTAGATCGAAAATTGTTTCTATACAAATTGAATTTAGTTTTCAGTTTTCCCCACAGCCCGGCCATTGATAACAATTTAAATAAGTTTAATGGGCCCGCTAGCTATAGCAATAAATGCAAAATTTTAGCAGAATTTCATGGGCGGCTTGAGAGCTTGGGGGCCGGGCGCATTTGAATTGAATCGTCGTAGTATCGCACCGACTCAATTAAGAAGTATTAAGTTAGTCAGTTGACTGATATAAGCTTCAATTAGCATTAATTTGAGGGGATATTTTTATCACGCAAAAACTGCCGAATATGGATTTTATTTATATATTTTTTTTTTGCGGTACCATGTGGAGATCACTAATCAGTTGCTAAATGGACGATAGACCTGTGAGTGTCTCGGCTGAAGTGAATGAAATGCTTAAGATTCTGATTTCAACTGGTTGTCTCTAGACATATCAGCCATGGATATATACAAAGTAATGGAAACATTTTAAAGTACAAAATATAACCAATCGTCTAGAAAAGCGACCGAGTCTTTCCTTATCTCTATCGGTCAAAGCGAGAATTCTATAATCAGCTCGAAGTTTATTTTTGTTTTTATGTTTGTTTCTTTCTCGGCTTCGTTAACATTGTATACACATTTTGTTTGCGGCCCAATTTCTGCAATTCAAAATTTTTAGGCATACGCTACACTGCTTACCGTAAAAATAGACACGCGTGTATTAACTTTTAGATATCTACTACAGTTTTCACATACATATATCTGTATATAAACATTAATATATATGTGCTTATATGTACGGATGTCTATTTAAAGCAACACACAGAATTTTCAATTTAGTTGATGCAATATTTTGCACATTTCTACAGAATTCAACACAGTTTCTTTTTAAATTTGTTGCTGTCTACGTTAATTTTCGCACGCGGCAACACCTGTTTGATCGAATTTTCGTAACTGTTATCGTGCGGGCGCGGTACCTGCGACGTTCGCGTTAGCACGACTCAAACTGTAGTGACCAACGACAAACCAAACGGCGCCGTTGAAAGCGAGAAGATCAACCCACAACAATAAAAACATCAAGCAAGGTGGCAGGCAGATGGGCAATAACAACAACATTAGTATTCATATAGCCGGCAAATTGAAAGTGAGCATGCAAGAGATGGAAAGAGAGTGTGGCGAATATGAAAATGTGGGGGTACATACATAAACATATATACACACATGTATAAACATATGTATTTATTCGAAGTGCGTGACGGCAGACTTGGCGATAGGTAGGCAGATAGGCGATTGATAGACAGCTTATCAATAGCTCTTCAGAGAGAGAGAGAGAGAGAGAGAGAGAAAGAGAGCGAAAAATACCGTTTGTGAGACATAGCACAAAGAAGCTAAAAAGTATGGCTGCAGATCTGCTTCTGAGTGTAAAATTAAATTTCCGTACACTGGTTTTCCATTTTGAATTTTTGCGGCCTCTTTGAATGAAACATCCGCTTAATTAAGTATTTTACGGTTTATAGTCTATTAACTTTGATGTGTACATTTGTAATACCCATAAGAAAGAATCGGTGATCATCCGTTAGTCCGTCTTCTCAATCACTATTCCTAACACAATTTTAAACTTTGCACAAAGATCAACCGTTTCAAATCACACAGCTGCTCGATATGATTTAAAAGGAATATTTGTATGACAACGAGGTTGTTCGTAAAAATATTTAAAACAAATTATGACATTATTGAATTTAACTGCCCGTGAAACTGGACAGGGCAGTTAAAAAGTTACAATTCACAAATTTTGGCCACTCTGCGGTGCATCATGTGACGTCACACAAAGAGAGAACGTCAAATAAGGGACCTGGACAGTGTTATCGTGCCCCATGAGCAAGTTCAGGTAAACATGCGTGCGAGAGCGTGTGGGTGGAAATTTTCTGTTTGCTTTTCCTAATCTCTGTTTAATTGCTGTGGCCACTATCATCTGTCTGTTGTTGTCATTGTTTTATACACGCACCATTTAATGCTCCTGTTAGTGTTGTTGCCAGGAGCACTCGTGATTTATGAGAACCCTAATGACAGAAAAACGGCCTTTTTTAGTGCTATTAGCGATCTACATATATCAATATCAATACATAAAGATATATGTATATGTATGTAAATATGTATTTAACAGATTACGCTTCTAACACAAGCGTAAAGTTATTGGTTCAAAATGGTTTTTAAATAACGATTCGCCCGCGTAGGCAATATAACACGAACTATTGTATTTTTATTAAAATGCATGCGTTATTGCAGCAAATAACATTTTGCATGGCATAATGAATTTTATTACCCTCATTAGATAAAATTCAAGCGGTTGGTTTCTTTGCGCAGTAACAAAAGTGGAGCGATGTCAGCAAGAGGCAAATAAATACAAGAATTTAATAAAACTAGACTAAGCAGCAGCAAATAAGTGGAAAATGCTAAGCCTTGTGGATTAAAATAAATGGGCCATAAGATAAAACAAGTACATGCAATAAGATAAGTTTATCAAGATTTAAATAGCCGCTTTAGGCATAGCAAGTGGACGGCACTCTTTTTAGTGTGGCAACTCCTTCCACTGACGTTTGTCAAGTTGACATCCCAGCGATTTTGACAGCTGGCCTAATACATTTTTTGGCTACTGTGTTTTTATTCTCGCGACCACCAGCCTAAGATCTGTGTGGAATACATAAAGAAATAACTAATTCATAATTTACGCTAGTTGATGTTCTGCGCCGGTGCAAAATGGCTGCCATAATACTAACAAGGAACATGCAGCTAGCAAGTACGTTCCGTGATATTAATTGGCACACTGAGTGTGGAAAAAATTACATAATGAAGTCCACTTTGCACATTTTGCTATTGTTTCGCTTTGTTTTTTATAGAGCACCATAGCAGTGGCGTTGTGGGAGTGGTGTGCGTGCGTGGCTATGCTGCCGCGCCTGATGCGGATGCGCCCCGCCCATTAAGAACCACTAATCCCGCTGCGATGAAACGGGGCACAGGTGGCAGGAGCAGTTTTAATGGCATTGTGGCCACAGTCTTCGGTGCTTCCGGCTTCGTTGGACGCTATGTGTGCAACAAGTTAGGCAAATCTGGCACACAGATGATTCTGCCCTACCGTGGTGACGACTCGGATATCAATCGTCTGAAGGTCTGCGGTGATCTCGGCCAAGTGTTGTTCCATTTCTACAATCTAGAGGACACACGTTCCATTCGTGAAGCTGTCAAATACTCGAATGTAGTAATTAACCTCGTGGGCCGTGATTACGAGACGAAAAACTTTAAATTCAAGGATGTGAATGTAAATGGAGCTGCACGCATTGCCAGGTACGTAGCTGGCACTAATAAAGGGTATTTTACCGATCTCTAATCATCCTTTTTCCTGCAGCATTTGCCGTGATGCTGGTGTCGACCGCTTCATTCATCTGTCATCGCTTAATGTGGAGCCCAATCCGAAGGCGCTGTACGTGAAGGGCGGAAGTAAGTGGTTGAAGAGCAAGTACGAGGGCGAGCTGGCTGTGCGTGATGCTTTCCCAAATGCTACGATTATTCGTCCAGCTGATATATATGGATCAGAGGATCGATTCTTGCGTTATTATGCACATATTTGGCGTCGTCAGTTCCGCTCCATGCCGCTGTGGCGCAAGGGCGAACACACGGTGAAACAACCCGTCTTTGTTTCGGATGTAGCTCAGGCTATTATTAATGCAGCCAAGGAGCCAGATAGTGCAGGTCGCGTTTATCAGGCTGTGGGGTATGTGACACTTTGTTCTAGCTTGACAGATCATAAAATTATTGTTATTTGCAGACCCAAACGGTATCAGCTCAGCGAATTGGTTGATTGGTTCCATCGCTTGATGCGTAAGGATCAAAAACGTTGGGGTTATCAGCGTTATGACATGCGTTGGGACCCCACTTTCCTACTAAAGGCTAAATTGACCCACTGGATATGTCCAGGTGCTCCCGTTGGCGGCTTGCATCCGGAACGCATTGAACGCGAAGCGATCACCGATAAGGTGATACCCGGTGTGCCAACGCTGGAGGACTTGGGCGTGCAACTGACTAACATGGAGGACCAGGTGCCATGGGAACTGCGTCCATATCGTGCTGCGCTGTACTACGATGCCGAATTGGGTGAATTCGAGACACCAAATCCACCAAAGGTCATTGGAGCGCGTGAGGAGCTACGTTTATTTGCCGAAGCATAAAGTGTGTTTGCGTGTAAATTGGAAATTGTTCGTAAAAATTGCTTAAAGCGCGTGCTGTAATCAATTAAATATATTAAAATTAAACGAAATATAACGAAAGCATCGTTAAATGCAATAATTGGTAATGGGCAACGTTTAATTATGTGTAAGTTTGAAATTGTTAGCAATAATTGCTTAAATCGAGAATTTTAACGCAAACTCATTTAATTTACAAATTAATACTTTTTAAATGGAACTGCGCGGGCACTAAAAAATGTCCTTTTTGCAATTTACCAACACTGACGAATTCAGCAATGCTGCCATATGTGTTTTTGGTCAGAAACTGTTCTAAACATTCACATATAATCAAAACAAAGCGAATCTCTTGACGAGATGGCAGCACGCAGGAAAATATTTCAAGGTACCTGGTAACTTGGTAAGCTCTGAGGAAATCGAAGAACTTTTACAGTTTTCGGTCACACATTTAGTATTAAATCTGCAACGAGTCGGCCAGCAGTATAACTCTTCCGCGGGATTTCATGCGAAAAAGAGTGGAAGTCGAAGTTTTAAATAACTACAAAAAATTATAATATTTTAAGTGATGGCAGTGCAGGTTGTACTAAAGGATATAATAGTCTCCTAATTTTTTAAATCTGTGCAAAAGAAAAGGCAAGCCATTGTGTCTGTGAGTGTGCTTGTGCATGTGTGAGGTGCGCCCTTGCCGCTAGCCCGAAAATGGCAGCAAGTGCATAATTATGAAAGCAGTGGAATATACTTTACCACCGAATGTGTATAGAAAGCAAGCAGAAGCAGCAGCATCCGTAGCCCATATATCAGAGGACTCAACGACTCCGCTGGCATATTTAGAAATTGAAGTGAGCCGCATTAATTTCATAACAGATAAATCGATCAAAGCGCAAGCGTCAGGCGCAGCCTCCCTGTATAAAAATTCAAGCGCGAAGGCGGGTGGTTTTAAAGCACAAATCATCTGGTGGGGTGAGCAGCGAGAAACAGCAGGCAGTGTTAGCATCAGCTGTGGCGGCATCACCACCCCCAAAGACCATAGCGAGGTCAAACGTAAAAACCAAAAGCAAAGGTCAAGTGAACAACAGCAGCAGCAACAACAACAACAACAGCGTCATCAACATCATCATCATACCAATAATAAGTTACGATATAGCGTGCGCAGCAGCCTCGCTCTATTCTTAGACTATTTGTGCGAGTGTCCGCCGATAGAAATTGTCGCGAGTGGTTTTTGCAGCAGCAGCAGCCATCGGGACGACGTCAACGACCACGAGCACACCCTCCCACACACACACCCACGGCCGCCCGTTAACCCACTCGGCCAGACACGTCTGCCGCTGCCAACGCCACTGCTGCGGAAGTACGCGGCCAACTACGTTAACGGTTGCAATTTCGAGTATAAAACAAAAATTTATGCTTTATATCGTCACGTCGAGAGCGGTGCCGCGTCTGGTAAAGTGCAACAGCAACAGCAGCTGAAAGTCGGTGAGATTCAACTGCGCTTCAGAATGCTATTTGCCGCCAACGCACCCTGCGTCGTGACCCCCCCAACAACAACAACAACATCGTCGTCAGAGCTGTCCTCATCCTCTCATCTCAAAATGCCGGCTGCGCTGTTGCAGGAGCAGTTGACCGGAGGAGGTGGTTATCTTCCTGCCAACAACTCCAGCAACCATCACAACAACAACACAAAGCAGAAACGGCAACAGCAGCAGCCGGGACAACGTATTGCAGGTGAGTGTTACCCAACCAAAGGGTATTCCTCATTTCTGTTAAAGGATTTGAGTTTGTTTGTGTCGGTAAAAGCTGTTCAGAGCTTCTCCATACAGATCCTGCATTGTCCCATGCTTGGGGGCAATAATTTGAATCGCATTTTTAGTCATTTTTGTTAAATAGGAAATATCTCTTCAGACAAATTTATAAACAAAAATCTCTAATTTCAATAAGAAACTAAAGTTTCTGGAATCATATTATAATGGTACATACTTGAACCGTTCACAGCCAGTTAAAAAACGCAGTCTTTAATGCTATTTGTGGCTGCTATGCCCAAGATCTGCTCATTTATCTTATCTAGTCTTAAACACAAGTCCAAAGCGGTTGTTCAGAGTTCTTTCATTGTTTTTTTAATTTGATGAAAATCTGTTCTTCAACTGAAATCATGAACACCCTTAGTCCGTTCTCATGCTCTTTTCTTTTATTTTTCAAAAGCTTATTTGTGCTCTCTTGAGATCACATTCTGACACTTCTCTAACTCTGACTCTCTTGCACTTGCTCTCACTCGCGCTCTCTTGGTATTTAGTCGATTGTTCCACTGCCGGGTTCGTTGCTTCCGTTCTCAGTTGACGCTCGAGTATGTTTATTTTTGTTTGTAGCGGCATTTTTCATTTTTTTATTTATAAACATTTTCCTAAGTTTATTGCCTGTTTGTTGGTTCTTACGTAATCGCGTATCTCTGTTTGTTTTGCCAAGTGGCTGGTCAAACAAAATTGAAGCCACACACGCCTGCAGTTTTGGCATTTATGCCAAAATAAAATAATAAAGCATTCTAAAGTCTAAATATAGACACCTAGCCTGGTCGTTGCCAATCAATTGCTATAAATTATGTAGCTCCCACAAAAACAGTAAAAACTTTCCATTACGAAAGCAAAAGCGAATGGAAACCATAGAACATTAAATATTGAATTATGCACTACACGTGCCCATCCCTCATACACTTAAATAAATGATATAAGATAATATGTACCTATGTATGTATGGGTATACATGCTCTCTTCTATTCTCGTTTTTATATGTACATATTCCTATTTTACCATTGTTATGCAAATTTGCTGAATTTTACGGTATTGTGCGATTTTCAGTGGAAACTTAAGCCACCCATTAATCCTTTTTTAACAAGCAGAGCAAAAAAACTATAGAAATAGGAAGGGGCTTTTTAAAATAATAAAGCGAAGATGTTTCACAGCTGGTGAAATATGAAACTATTATCAAGCATTTTTTTGAATATTTCACGAAAAAAGCATGTTAGTGATGAATTAACTAAATGGCTGTTTGTTTTCTTTATAAACAAACTGACAAGCAATTGGACTGCTGTATCTACTTTAAATTTTTTTATATGGATGCTAATAAGCGCCTTAAATACGAAGGGGGATTACAAAAAATCTTTAGAAATGCTTTAAGCTCTTTAAAGAAAGGTTTCGTAGCCTGAAGGAAATGGGTATACAAACAAATGACCGAAATATTCACACGTTTTTCACTTTCTCCACAACATTTTGTTCCAAAACCATGACTTGCTATCATTCAAAAGCGATATCGACAGATTCTGCGGTACCGAGGAAGAAAACCATATACTACTTTGTGAGAAGAGAAGATTTGAACAAGTTTATTTCCGAATAAAATGATGAGATATTGATTGAAATAATTTATATTTGAATTTAATGAACCGTTACATTTGTTTATTTATCACTGGTCGTTTCGTTTGCTTCATTATTTTCAATTTTTCGGTTCTTACTGTAGGAGCAGCTGCTTCTTCTGAAACATCTTCCTTTGATAAAGTAGGCAGGTTTGGGATTTTTTGCGTCCATTCTTCGGCAAGAAAACTCTGTTTTTCATTGAATAGATGCCAAATCAAATACTCTTAATTTCAGTTCAGATTTTGTGATTCGATGTTGGGTTTTCAGATATTAAAAGACATTTAAATCAATAACTTAATTTTTTGATGCACTTGAAAGGTTGGAATTGAATTGAATCTTACGGATATCTTACTGAATTTCAGAGCAGGAAAATCGTAATAGTTCTGGCTACACTTCACTTAAAATTTATTTAAAAATTTTCGAAACTTTTTTAACTGTATAATTGTGTTGTGTTGGATTTTAATAATTAGAGTTAAGCAATGCTGCATTAATTGCCGTTAATTAATTTTAAAAAGCACTACTACACTAAATATTAAATTGTTCATACTTGTACAGTAAAATCTGATTTGAACTCCTTTGATTAGTAAATCTAAAATACGAATAATAAAATCTTTTTAAGTTCTGCAACTCAAGACGGTTTTAGAAATTGAAGATCATTGTTTTGTTAATTTTATATTTATGTTTCATGTACATACATACATATAAGTATGTATATGCATAAGCATAACTTTTAATAGTAAGCTTTACTATAAAATATTCCTGTTTTGTGTTCTTCGTTCAGGCCTTAAGCTGTGTCCCCTTCTTTCGAAAATACGCTCCTGTATAGAAAAAAGAACAAACACATATGGCTTTATCTCATTTCTTATGCTTTGGGTGTGTGTAAAATTCCATGTTTTGTGTGTTCTTTGCTCCTCGACAGAATTCGTTTCGTTTTGCAAGTTGATTGTTGCCGGCGCGGATTCTCTGCCATTGGCCTTCAATTTGGCACACTCTGACAAGACACGCTTATCGTGGATTTGTTGCTGTGCCAGCAACAACTACTACATATGTATGTATGTATGTATATAGTATGATTCAGCTGCGCATTGAACTATATACACATCGGTGTATGTATGTATATGTGTATGTACATGCAGTGGCGTGCCAGAGCTGTTCTTTTTTTTTTTTATACCCAATACGCAAAGGTAATAGGGTATTCCGGAAAGTTTGTAGTGTGTGTAAAAGGCAGAATTAGATGCGACAGAATTTATATAATAGCCATACTTTTCGACAAACAAGGCTAAATTTTTCTTTTATTTTAGCTTAATGGCTGTAAGAGTAGGGAGGTAAAAACCCCTTACATTCATATTTATGTATGTACATATGTACATACATATAGTACATATGTAAATGTATTTTTTTCGATTATAAAAAGTATTGTGGATGTTTATTTAGATGTACATATATATGTATGTATGTGGGTAGCATGTTGGCAAGGGTTTTTTGTGATCCCCTAAATACGCCACTGTGTTTGTTTTAACTACATACATACATACTTATGTACATATGTATGTACGTACGAGCTCAAAAGGGAAACGTAAAACACGTGAATACTTTTTTGTGGCCCCTTACTTACTTGGGTGCTACTTTGTTGCGGCGGCTGAAATCGATAAGCCAGCCAGTATATGTATGCATGTACATATGTATGTATGCTACGTATACATACATAAGTGCATATAATGTATACATATATGTACATATGTATGTTTGTCAGTGGTGCAGCCTTGATAAGCTCCTCACGTCAAAAGAGGCATCACCATAGCCGGCATATGGGTCTGAGCTAGTCTTTATTCTAGTCTGGCGTTCATTTGCACAGCGTGTTGTGTTTTCGAGATTAATGCAATGCGCCTTTGTATGGGTTTTGACTAAAGCTTTTGTTGTTGGAAACTGAGAGGCGTAATCCAGTCGGACTTTGCAGCAATCGGGCACTGACCAGTTACGTCTGGGTATTACGTAATGTAGCCATGCCTTATCAACTCAATTATTTTGCCTATATAATCAATTCTGTACGATCTTGTTGCTAGTTAAAAAGAAACTGAAATTTTATTTCACAGATAGCCTTTTGACATTATAATGACTGAAAACAGCAGAAATGTAAAGAAAAATAGTTTGGCTTGGCTTTCGCCAATTTATCTGGGAATACCCGGATGCAATATTTTGCGGCGTTTTTTTGTCGTTGAACTTTTAGAAGGTCGTGCAATATACATAGGCAAAAATTTCCACTCTTTTTTGCTTATTCTGCAAAATCAAGAGCAAGAAGAACAGCAAAATTGTCAAGAGAGCGTGAGAACGAGGGGAGTGTGTGAGTAGAGCGAGAGTGCGATCATGTGCCTGAGAGCAATGGTATAAAGAAGATAGAAGTTTGACATTGCACAGTAACGCGTGTTCTCTCTGCCTAACGCCACATAATGCTTTGTGACGTACCACAAAATTTGCATTGCAACTTGAGTGCTATGTGCAATTTTGCAGGCAGTTAAATTATAAAGTGTCACTATTTGTAAGCTATAATTTGGTTAGAATATAAACTATTTGGTAGTTCCTTCTACGGAAAACCGTTAAGTAGCTTATTTAAAATTTCGCGAGTCATAAGCAGCTACTGGGTTCCACAGTAATACAAAAAAAATCAAATGCGAGGCACAGATGGGCAGAGCACGAAAAATTTTCACTCACTTATTCGCTAGTACATACGTGGCCTACGCGAATCATACATGACGTACCTTCGCAGTGAGAGCAAAAAAGATGAATTTTTAAATTTCGTACCTTCCTATTTTTTACCACGAGCATTAACAAAACGTTGTGCTCATTCCGTTTGCTGTCAATTCAAAAGTCCACGTTGTGGAGCGCGGATCACTTTGTGGGTCGTGAAGAGCTCTTGCTTTGCTTGTAAATTATTTTTCACATACACGTGTGAGAGAGGAATAGCACATGATAATTAATGTATAACTTTCTTGCAGGAGAAAAACAACCAAACAACAATAACAGCCAGAAGTGCAAGTCCAGTTCATCTAAGGTTCGTCCCGCTGGTAAATCTGCCGAGATAATGGAGGCAATGAAAAAATTGGATGCCGGCTTGGCAGCACTGTTTGCCACCGCTGAGCCGCTCGAACAGCTAAAGATCAAGCAGCAGCAACGCCAGCAGCTCGATGACGTTGCCAATGAGCTATGGCCCGGTGCTGTAGGGATAGAACAGCTTGACAGTGGCGCCATCCCTGGAATTGAGGAGCTCTTCAAGACTGTCAATTCAATTCAATTGGATATGGAGGCGTTGACATTGCAGGCCGAGGGTACAAAACGCATGGAACTACAGCAAAGCGAGGTTCGACCCATTTTCACCGTGGAATGCCAGTTGTCCCATGATCTGATCAAGCAGGTGGAGCGCTACGATATGTTCCATATCATGCAATTCGAGTCTGAGAAATTCCAGAGCCTGACGCAGTGCACCCGCTTCGGACAAATGGCGCAGCGTGACGTGCATCTGCCGCAATCCGAGGATGGAGAAATTTCGGGCCATATTGATTTCACCGTCTGGTGGCGTGAACCGGGAACCTGTCTTAACGAAATGCTGGGCATGGGCCGCCTCCATTTGGTTGAGCTCTACAAGGCATCGCTGCTGGAGCAGTGTAAATGCATTGTAATCCAACGTAGGGGCGTCCATTTGGCCAGCCTCTATTTGAAGATCAGTTTGCGTTCGGATGCTAAACGAGTTAAGAGTGTGGCTAACGGTCATGTTGACGATGAGCAGCAGGCTGCTAACAACAACAACAGCACCAATAATAATAATAATAACAACAACAGTAATGGCAACAACATAAATGGCGCCCATGCTGCAGGTGAATATATATGACTAAGCTCGCGCGGGTGCAACCAACAACAACAACAACCCCTACAGTCATACAAAAACAACGACATGCACAACAACAACAACATGCACACAGCCGTTGACATTTTGCCGCTATTGAATATTGCCGTCATTCATTTTGACACTTGGTTTTGTCTACAACTACTACTATCACTATTGGTTGCCGTTATAAAAGTGCTGCCCATGTTGAAGAAAATAAAACTTTTCAGTTTACTTGCAAACGAGCTCCAATGTTTTATTTTGCTTCCTCTTCCTTTATTATTCTACCTTACTACGTACATACATACATACATATGCACACACGTTATTGTTTTCTGCGACAGCTTAGCAATATTTTACATTTATTCACTTTTCATTCTATTTTTAACCTGATGCTGCTGCATAGTGGGTCCAGTTAGTGAACACTCGCAAGAATTTCAATCGAAGCTAGCTGTAAACGAAGCCTTTGCAGTGGGTCCTGAGTTGCGGATGAAAAATTTTAAATCTATACATAAATACCAAGGTGCCTATTTAATTAAAATATTATTCATTTTGTACGTATTTGTTTGGCATTAAAACGATTAGCTTGCCTAATTATTTGATTGCGAAAAAGGAATTAGATAAAACTTTAGCTGAAAACTCAGAAGTGGTATGAAATTATATAAGATAGTAAACTTTTCTATCTATAAAAACAACATTCATTAAGGAGCTATAATCGTAGGAATATGGGAATCAATCAAAGTTAGCAGAGGGACCTGAATTGTGGATGAGATTAGCAAAAGTTTCATAAACGATGTTTTTTTACTTAAGTCAGATCTCTGATTGTTGGAATATACGTAACATAGAGTTTTTTTTATTAAACGATATAATAATTTATTTTTTTAAATACATTTCATTCAAACTGAGTATGCTTGGCAAGGTTCTTTAAAGTTTTCTTAGTTTTAAGTGAAATAACTTTAAACACATATTGGCAAATTGATTAATAGTTCGCAAATTTTCTATTTAAAGCTCTCCCTATATCTCCAAAGTTCGTAAAAATGTTCGAACTCTCAAAAAAGAGTAAATTGCTCAAAATAATTTCACATACTGTGCTTAATTTCATCCAACTAAGCCAAATCGACGTCGATATTAATGTTTATTTCGATGTAAATGGGTTTGCGCGAATCTGTTATTAAAATGACTTTTTTAGGATTCGAATTTGTAGTTTCTTTAAATATATTGAGATTTATAAAAACAAAACGAGAGTAGATTTAATTTTGGTTTATTTTTTTTGTTGGATTATCTATATTTAAGTCTTTTTATGTAGCTTTAAATTTACGGAACATGTTGTTGATAACTTTTTCTGATTTTCGAAATCTTCAAGAGTTTGGAAGGCTTATGTAGCTTATTGTTTTAAAATTTTAAAAAAGGCGCACAATAATTGATGCCTGTTGAAGATATTAAAAAGAGTTTTTGGTTTACTAATTTATCAAATCACTTGAATGAGCAGAAAGTGTTGTCTGTTCTTAAGAACGTTCCGAAAATTGTTTACGTACACATACATAAGTAATAATGTACATAGGAACTCTTCCACGCAGCTTCATTTATGGTTCCTGTAGTTTATTTTAAAGTCGGACTACACATAGATTTTCTGAATTAACAGCGATATTTTTAGGTCTCTGAGACCAAAAACAGCCAGAAGTCTGAGCAAGTAATACTACAGACATGTTCATGCGGTGGCGTCGTGTCTACAAATGTGAATGCCCGATGTTACGCACTATCTCCATTCGCAGACGATGAGCACGGATGGCATTCACCGATTGCCCCCATTATTTCTTAACGCTTGTCTTGTCTGGCGACAAGTTCAGCTTAAACGCTTATCAGTTGGCTGTTTAATTTGATAATCATATATACATACATACATATCAAATGGGGGGTTCAAGTTGCACTTAATGCCTTGAAATATATACATATACATACATTCAGAAACATGTATTGAGTTCCCGCTCTAGCCGATTCTTATTAAGAACGACATTTCCCATTGCAGGCAATATCGAAAGTACTACTAACAATAATAACAACAAGATATTAACATCGGATAATTCAAATACAAATCAAAATCGACCATCGGTGGAAACTGTGAATTTCATGGCTGAGACGAGCAAGGTTCGCCTGCTGCGTGGGTATATCTGTGTGGATGAGACCCGTCAGTTATCGGCGTCAGATGCTGCCTCCTGTGTGGAGCTCAGTGTGCAGTCCTTCTGGCAGTCACAGCCCCTTGTGGTCCCGGCCAACAACCAAGGCGCTTTTCAGCTGAAGGAGCAGTTCGCCATCATCAACGATGAGAAGTTTCTGCAGAGTGTCGAACGGCAACAGTTGACCTTGGAATTGCGACCAATGGGCGGTCTGGTGCGCCTTCCCCTTCATCAGTTTTTTATCGCCTACCGCGATGCGAGTATTACCAATCATCTCTGCAAGGGCAAGGTGAGTTTAAATATAAATATAAGGTAGCTCAAAACCTTTCTTAAGAAATTAACTATGCTCTTGAGCAGATAACCTAAAGATCCTAAATTTAATAAAAGTTGACTAAAGATTCTAAATTTAATAAAAGTTGACTTTGAAATACCAGATAAGCCCCAGAAAAGCCACCTCGGCCCGACTCTGTCTGCTTTGTTTATTTATAAACAGCGATGGATGATAATAATAAAAAGCATTAAAACAGACCCTATGTCAAAATTCATTAATGCAGAATACTTCAAAGTTAATATTGCATGAATAATTAAATAGTAGCATGCAACTATTTTATTGTTATTAAATCGTGATAATTTAAATAAATACCACATTGTTCATCTGGTTGTTTTCCTTTTTCCTGCAGCTACCAGTGATTTCCTTCGACGGCTGGGCACCTATTCTGCATCCCCAAACGCAAGCACAATTGGGTGAACTCAAGTGTTTGTTGGCTGTGGGCAGTCAGGCCCAGATTGATGAGCTCAGACAGCAGCGGGAGGTCGCCACAGTAACTGCTCCGCCGCTGGATAATGATAGCCAGGAGGTGCCATTGCGTCGAACCGCTGATCTGCTGGACATGCTACAAAACGCATTGAGTGCGCCACCGCCACCACCACCATCAACGCACGCACCACACGCAGTGGCTTCCGCACCGCAGACAAGTCACTTTAAATTTGCACTACACATTGTAGGCGCCGCCGGCTTGCCCCTCAATCCGGGCTATGGCAAGTCCAAGAAGCAGGCCAAGCGTCAGGCGGCTGCTAAACGCTTTGTCCCCAACGAACCGCCCAATACGTATGTAACCTTTCAGGCCGTGAGCTGCAGTGCGCCCACTTACAAGTCGCACGAGGGATTAGTATATGCCACGCCCATCGTGGAGCGATCTACCACGCCCCAATGGCGATGCAAGCTCGAAGTGACCGTCACTGCGGACTATTTAAGCAATGTACGTATGCGAAGAGTTCAAATAGTAAGAAAAGAACAATAACGATAAGCCATAATCAGTCTTTCTACCAAAGTCAACAGAAATCCAAGTTGAAAGCAATTATTACCAATTGGTAATATATCGAGTAATGCTGTTCATCGTGCTAGTTTGTGTACTCACGGGGTTATCCTCGTATTTAACTTATGTTTTATATATTTATTTGTTTGTTTCTTAAAGATTCCAACCATATTTTGCTTAATGCAACAATACCTTTGATTTATCAATATACTAATACTAGTTATAATATATAAGTATGTTAGCTGTGGTGAGGGGAAGCGATAACTTGAATACTGAATTCTTTGTTTTATCCGTCTTATCAGGAGGTTTTTGGAAACTTGAGGGTCAAAAGATAATCTCAGTTAAAGTAAAGTATTCTAAAACATTCTAAAACGAAAAACTTAATTTACTTTGAGGGAATATTTGTTTGAAGATGCAAAATGTTCGCATTATAAACATTTTAATCGCCGCATGAAATTGTTTGACCAATAGTTGGTTTGCTTTATCGATCTTCAAACCATCAATGAAAGATATCATCTAGCTATGAAAATAAAATGATGTATTTGGTCAAAAAGGAGCCCCAATAAAACGGCAGATTATTTTTTATTCTTTCTTAGAGTACACAAACGTTGGAGCCCGTTTTCGCCTAATTGAAGTTCCAATTTTCTAATACCGTGAAAGGAAGGTTGTGCGTTGATTACCAATCAGTTTGGAGGTCAGGATAATCTTTTTCATCTATATACATATATATTATAGAAAGCTTTATGAGTCACAAGATATGGTGGCTTGATTTCGTCGGTTCCAATTAGAAAGATGCTCTGATGTCCTAGGCACTTGATCTGTTTTCAAATAATTCAGGGTTTTTCTTTGAGATTGCCGGACTGGTTAAAAAATCTTTTCCTACCGTGTCGGAAAATCCAATTTTATTATATTTCACAATTTTATTTATTTATTACAAATTTTTCTTGTTATTTGTTTTTTATTGTAAATTTGTTTCACATTATTTTGCAAGCATTTTTAATCCTCAACATTGTATTTTTTTGTTATTTTTTGCAAGTATTTTGTATATTCCTTATTTTAATAAAATCATTCCGAGCGGATGGGATTCCTTATTAGACATTTTTTGTGATTTTGTAGGCATTTTTACTCTTTAATCCCTTTTTTAAATTAAATAAAAAAGCCTATTTCCGTTTCCGAGTTCGACTATGTGGAATATAAATAGAAAAACTCCTTAAAGCTAACACCTCAATAGTTTTGCAGAATTCAACGATTTTGCAGCAAATTTCAATTCAACAGAATCTGATTAAATTCGGAAACGGAAAAAAGTCTGAAAAAAAAGAAAGGAGTTTAGATATGCTCTACAGATTGCCAAATCTGCTCGCTCCATTTTCCTCTTGATGTTTTCTCATAGTGCATTATTTCTTGCAGCAACAAAAACTATTTATTCTGAAGTTGTGGAAAAAGGCATCGGTTAATGGTGCGGCCACGCCTACGCCCTTGGAGGATGCCATTATTGGATTTGCGGCCTTGAATCTGAGTCAGAAGCCCTTGCCCAGTGGTTGGCATAACATTGTCGACTTCAGTGGGCGCGTAACTGGGGGCTTGGAAGCGCATGTCCTGCCACTTCCCTTGCCAGGCACTACACCAACGCTGGACACGGATATAGAGCAGTTTGAGCAATCATTGGAGTTAACACATTTGCAGATCGGTCAGGCCATAAAGCGTAAATTTAATGAGTTGGAGCAAATCTCGCAACGTTTGCGCACGCGTCTGGTCGATGTGACCGGCGAGTCCTTGGGTTCGCAATTCGATGTGGCCAGTACCTTGGATAATTGGCAAGCAATGGAACAGCTGCGGTCTACTGAAGGTGATGATGATAATGATGATGATCTGGTGGCAGATTTTGAACGAGCCCTGCGCACGCCCTCGCCGCCTCCGTTATCGAATGCTAATGTAGCACCCACCGCCCAATTGTCGGCCGACAAGTCGGAAAATTCGAATGGAGCCAAGGAATAGCCCGAGCTACTGGCTTATCAGCTGGCAATATACAATTATATACAATTAGTCAACTATTTATGTCTATCTTACCACGTATATTTTTCAATCTTCAGCTCTCGATGTCTACACAAAGGCTCAATAGTAGTTGTAATTAAATGGCACGTTCTCACTTAATCCGGCAGTCATCTTTAAGTGGCTGTCTATAGCATAAAATCAAAGTCAGCAACGATCACTTGGCGATCGTTCGTCTCATTTTATATAATAATTAATTAAACAATACGATGAATTATTGCACTAGAGCTAAGTTAGTTGGAATGGTGAAGCATAATGCACAAAACGCCAAATGTTGCGTTGTCGTCAATTCTTGGCCCCCCCATTTTTGCATTCCCTCCCATTCGGACTCGTATTGGTTTTACACTGTGTTAATCAGATAAGTGTTTAGTCACTATTACTAAATAAAGAAATGATATGGAAACCGCTAACGAACTTGTTTATACAGATAGTTGTACAAAAGGGCTATCGCATTTCAATGCCAACCTTGATCCCTTTTCGAATAAATAATCAGATGTTATTTTTTCTATCAACTGTTTATTTGCAACATTATTTGTTAGAATGATTCATTTTTGTTTTGATTTTGAATTGCATAATAAAACACCTAGAATTCAGACAGGTGTTCAATCGAGAGTCAAAAAAAGAGCTGTGCATGATGAATGAAAAGGACATAAAATTCGCAATGTCACAAAAAACGAAGAAACAAAACAATTTACGAAATAATTCAAAAAGAAATCACATAAAGTATTGTTTTTAAAGAAAAATTAGATTGTATTTGTTTTCAAACTGTGTTAATCACCTAAGTGTTTAGTCACTATTACTTAATAAATAAATCATATGAAAAATGATAGCTTGAGTTGTAAATATTTGTAAAAAAGGGCTATCGCATTAGAAAGCCAACCTTGATCCCCTTTCGAATGAATAATCAGATGTTATTTCTCCTATCAGCTGTTTATTTGCAAATTTGTATGTTAGAATTCATTCATTTCATTTTTGATTTTGAATTACATATTACAACATGTGGAATTTAGAGAAAATGTTGAAATAAGAGCTATGCTTGGTTACGATGTTATCGTAAAAAGGGCATGAAAGGCGCCATGCCACGATTAAACAAAAGGATTTACAAAGCCACAACAATTGAGAAAGAAATCACAAAGTATTGTTTCCACTAAAAAGATACACCAGTTTAGTTATGAAGTACGTTGATACGAGTTAACTGTCTTTATTTAAAAGTATCAACAAAATAATTGAGATCAATCAAAATTTTCAAACGAAGCAATTTCTCATCGTGTTAATGCACTATATAATGGGTTTGAGAATTTTGAATTTTTTTAATTTGTCGCACACCCCAGAATAATGATATAGAAAAATTCAAAATGTTGAAAATTCTTACAAATTATTATTACTGCCACATCGAAGCAAAGTGGATTCTCGAATTTTAGATAAATTGTTATTTAAAAGATAATTCGATATGTAACTTAATAAAATTGCTTCTTTTTTCAGCAAATAAATAAACAGCACATCGGTAGATAGTATAATACCACTAGAAATTTGAAATTTCCGTATTTGTTTTCATACCGCAAGTTATCGTTGGCCGCAATAAAATGGAAAAATTGAATTTGTTATATTTCAGCTAAATTTGTTCAGAGATAGTATTTAGTTACTTAACTGGAATAATGTTCCTTAAAGCTATAGTTGCATCTAAATCAATAGCCAGATTCAGCCAATTACTGGTAGAACCGTGAATGACTTTGACTTTTTAATTTAGATAGAAATATAGAGTAAGCATTATTAAACAAGTCTACTTTCACAAAGTCCCATCAATACTGCAGAGTGATTGGAACCGAGGTTTAGGGCTACAGAAAGATCAAAATCTCAGTCACTTGAGCCTGTTGAAGTGCTTCATCATGGATCTCTCAGCATCAAAGGATGCTCCTTGTTGCTTCTCCTTCCATTCACTGTGCAAATATCGTGCCACTGCCAAATTCTTCTTATATTTAAAGGTACATTTGTAGATTCTTTCCTTTTTAAATGCATGTATTCCTAATGTAAGTTGTTTCAATTCTTGTTTTAAGTTCCTTTTATTCCCAGTTTCTTATTTTCAATTATTCTCCTACGGACGGAAAAGCTATTAAGAGGGCTTTGGAGCACACAATGGAATCAGTTTCAACAACTAATAGTTCAATGACTAAAGTAAACGATTAATAGATCCTTTAAATGCTGTTGTTGTTCGTTAAAAGAGCAGCCGAAGTTAAAGATGGAATATTTAGCAGTATAAATCTTTCTATAATTTATTTCCATGCTTAATATACTTTTATAATATTACATAGGCCACTTCTAACATTTTTAAAGAATTATTCCATAAATGATGAAAACAGACAAAAAGTTGTTGTTGCTATTATTTTTATATTTTTAAATACATTGTGAAAAATATTGTTGTATGTTATATAAAAGTGTTACAACTATGATGTTGTAGCCGGGCATAGAGAAACCCTCTCAAATCACGTGTTGTGTGTGTCTGCGTGTTTATGCTGCCATTCTATATGGTCTCACTTACTACAATACAAAAAAGTAGATGATTGTTTGATATATGTATGTGTCTGTATGTTTGTATGACGTTTCAACTACAATATGTCTATTAAATGTATATGTAAGAAATGAATGAAGATAAAATGAATAAAAAACATGTTTTGAACGGATTTTGGCCTATAGTTGAACATATGAATGCTGAATCGGATCACGGCTTACATACATTAATTCAATTATATGGTATCCTCGTTCCGTTTAAATACATTTTTTTTTACATATGTGTATGTCTGTATTTGTAAGATGCGCATTCGCTTGCGGTTACATATTCATTACGCACTATAAAATTGTTGTAAAAATAGAAATAGAAAACTGCCATACCCGCGCATCGGTAGCTTATAAATATAAAATATGTTTTTATGTTTTCTAGACATGTAAGTAAATGTGAGTTTAGTTCTTTAAAATTATTGTATATGAATGAATGAGCTGGAATACGTTTGGCTGGTTATTGTTGGTTGACATTCTTTCTGCTGCTGTGTATAACTATCGTCAGCATACGGAACGTTTTTCACATATATATTTTTGTTTTTTTTTTTCGGTTTTTGTTGAAAATTGAAGATGTTGTAGTTGCATATTGTAGTTTTATAAAACGAACGTTTTTATGACGCTCTTCAGTCAATGACAACGCGAGTTAGCAAAATGCCACGCTTGCTCAGCCACAAACTGCGAAATGAAATTATAGCAGAGTTGAATGATAAGTACTTGTACATATGTATATTGTATGTATATAAGCAGACTTACCCAAAGCCCGCGCCCAACAGCAACGACAACACGTTCGTGAATAAAAGCGAGTAGAGAATTTCGCGGGAGAAGAGCGAGTTGGCGCCCAAACGCTTTAAACGTATGGAATAACCCGTTGTCTTCTTTTTCTCCTCACCATCGGTTGAGCGTTCCATTTTCCAATCTCTGTGCCAATTGAAGAATGAGAAAGAAAATTAGCAATTTAGTTGCTGCTTATTCAATTAAGTTTCTTTGTAATGCATACTTTGGTGGCTGCTCCTCAAGGCCACGATTCCAATTTTGCAGCCAGTCGCCGTTGTCTGTTTTCTGCTTATCGCCAGTCTGTGAAATGGAACGTAATAAGCGTTTTAATTATAGCTTTGAATTATGGAAGATGGCTTCAAAAAGATACTGACTATGCATACATATGTATGTATGTATATAGTAGCTGTTTTTTATATTTCTTAGATAGCACTTAAGACAATAAAAATGTAATGAGAAATGCATTTAAGCGCACTTGGTAGAGTAGAGGCTAATGCATGTTATTTAAATGCAATTGCAAAGTTCAGATTTGTACAAAATTTAAAGCGCAACAAAAACCTTGAAAACTGTTGTTCTATGTTGGTGTTTCGTTTAAACTAGTTTTTCTTCGAAGAGCTTAGATTTGTATTACGTTCCTGAAAAAACAACTGTTCTCCATCTACCGCATGTTTTCTGTCCTTTCTACAAATCTAAAATTCTATCTAAAGATGTTGCGTTCTTTGTATATGAATATGGTAAATCGATTGCAATAGAAGTCTACAACTTTGGCTTATTATTTTCTAAGGGTTTCCCTTTATTTAATACCTAAAAACAAAAGCTATTGTGTTTCAAGTAAACGCAAATCTAGGTATAGGTATATCCAGAAAAATTTCCAAATATTTTGCAGGTGCCATGCTTCTACAAATTAAGAGAATTTGTAAGCAACCACAGGTAGTTGTAGCTTGAGGTTTTATGATAGATATGTCCCTTAACGGACACCTCTTTTATCCGGACATTCTCTTAGGCGGACACTTTTTCTAAGTTATTCGATCGGTGTATAAAGTATTTTAGTGTTCCCTCAAGCGGACACTCCCCTTGGGGGACAAAAATTGGCCGACCGTGAGTGTCCGGCCATGAGAGTTTTCACTGTATACATATGTGGTATTTACCTTTGTCCAATAATTGATATACACATTTCGCAGCTCATCATCCGGGCACAGCTCGGACTGTGGGCTGTTTGGTGGGCTCTTCGGGCTGTCGCGCGGTGTGTCGCGTCTAGAACTAGCCAGCGAGACAACGCGGCTGGATTGATTCGATTCGCGTTGGGCCTCGCGCAACAAACGCAAATACTCCTCGCCATTATTGAAGGGGAGGGGTGTGATTCTGTCGGGGCTCTTTATACCAGCCATGGCTGCTGTTGTGCTCAGTTCGATCCAAGATTCTGCAAAAGATAACGTATTTCTTTACAAAAATTCGCATTGCGCAGCGATCAATTTCTAATTTCATCAGATAGTACAAAGATCAAATTAGCGTCCACACATCGAGACGGCAAAGCCAGAAAACATGACGCCCCCATTTCTAGCGATAAGTTAAACAAAAAAATACACGTTAATTTTTTAGCAAAATAAAACGCAAACAATAATTTCCGCTCTTATACTATTTCGTTTTATTTGTAGTCTAATATGTGTGTGCATGTATGTATGTGTGTAGGTGTATGTACATATGTATATATATAGTAATACAAACATGTTTTGTCTATGGTTATCAACAAAATTTCATTTCATTTTCTATCGTCTGAATGGCGGGCAATAACAGGCGACTTCAGATGGAATATGTTTAAAGGTTTTCGTGCAAGTTACATGCGAGTACACGTGTGCCTGCTGATAAAAGCAACAACAGCAGCAGCAAAAACAACAATTGCATGCAACAAATTTACAATTTTTTCACAGTCAATTACACAGTCCGCTTGTTACTCACGTGGCAAACCAATCATGGTGATGTTTCTATATGAAATTGTAATTGCAAACTGAACTCTAACAACTTTTTTTTTGCAGATTCGAGAGACAGAGAGAGAGAGAGACATGACGGGTAAATAAAATCTAGCTCTGCATGTTGACAACAGGTAGAGTCGGGCAAAACAACGTTGCAGGTATAAATTGCAAAATGAAAACAAAGAGACTGCCCACCACCATTCACTAACAGGTAAACAACAAGACGAGACAACAAAAGTTTCAGGGGTGGCTAAACTTGGCTTGCTGACTCACGGCACGTAGGCAATCGATGTGTGTGCGTGAGGGTGTGTGTGCTGCTGTCTGTTAAATGATAATATAAAGAGCAGAGATGAGCACAACAGCCCATTGAACTGCTCGTTCTGACATGTATAGGTATTGGGTTCAGATTTACTTGCATTTATCACATATTTACATACATACATACGTATATATACACACACATATTCATATCACTGAGTATTCATTATTTCATTATAAATAAGTATATTTTTGCGATAATAAATATCAATGGTAAAATATAATTGACGCTAGGCCAAAGGCGCAGTTTCTTTAAGTCAAATACAAATAAACAAATGTGTGAAAGTGACAGAAACATCAACAACAACACGAGCAAAAGTTGAGTGGCAGCTTTCAAAAGGCAAATGCCCCCGCACTTGCAGCAAGTACTTCTTAAGCCAAAAATTTGCATATAATAAGCAGCAACAATATAAACAACAAAAAGCCGCATGACGTCAATTAGACGACGCAGGCAATTGCCCACAAAAAAAGATAAAAAGATAATAATAATGAAATGGTCTGAAAGTAGGGACATGATGATAAATATGGACAACTTGAGTGTATCTGAGTGCCAACTCTCCTTTGTCCGGTCGGCAGCTGTTTTTGTTATTGTTGTTTTTGTTGCTGCGAAGTTGCCAGCCTTCTTTGTTGCAGCAACTGCGCAATGAGAGCTTGAAGAGGGGAGGAAGTAGGGGGTAAAAGGTAGGAGCAAGACATGTACATACATATGTATGTATGAACGCACACTAATAAACAACAACAAAATAGAGGCAAGCGTCAGGCAACAAAGAAAAAAACCGCCAAGCTGCAAACAAGATGGAGAAAACGGGGATATGGAATTGGGTGTTGCTCTTGGTGTTGTATACACAATAACACCAAAGAACTACTATTAATAGACTACTAGGGCACAACGGCAAAATCCAGCACAAGAGCAACAACATCAAACAACATAAAAAAGGGTACAGTGTGGACAAATAACAAGTAGAATTACAACAAAAACTTACCACCCAGCAAATCTTCTGTCGATTTTGGTGTCGTAGACATTTTTGTTGTTGTTTGTTTGTGTATGTGTTTTTGTTATTATGGTACACTACGGCACCAAATCAAGTTAGATCTGTTGTTGTTTTCTTTTATTTAGGTATCAAATTGTATTGTTTCTTGTGCTAAAATGTCTTCTAACGATAACTCGTTTTGTTGTTATTATGTGTGTGTGCGCAAATAAATTTATGTAGATTAAATTAAACTTTTGCCACTGGGCCCTCGTATTGCACGTCTGTATAGTAAATATGTATGTATTTGTCTTGTGTTAATGTATGCGTGAGAATATGCGTTTTACTTTTTAGCTGCTACAGCGGTCGGTTTCGCACTGGTTGCTTGTTTTGCTATATGCCAGCATATACAGTTAATTTTAATGGCTTTGTATAAGCAAAATGCTAGTTGATTTGTTTAATATTGACGCTTTCTTTTAGTACAAACAAACACAATAACTTGTACGCATACGGTTTTTGTGTAAAAACCTAATGCGTATTAAATCTTCTACTGCTGCTGCGTTGGGCAAACCGTTGCGACTACCACAGCAAACGGTTCGTTGAAAAACACGAAAATGACTGCACAACAAAACAAAAGAAATGGCAAAGCCAGCCTAAAAGTGGGAGAGCTGCCATATTTCACTAAAAAGCGCTTTCGAAATAAAGAAGTGATTTTGTCACAAACAAACTATTTGGTGAATCGAGGAATTGTTTTTATTTTGAAGGAAAACATTAAACATTCGTTCTTTAAATTAACTGAAAAAACATTCTCGAATTGGAAAATAAATTAACGCGATATCACTTTAATTTCGAACTTCGCATAAATAAACAAGGCTGCCACATTACTTTAAAAGCTGCAGTATTTTATTACCGCGTTTTCACAAACAAGTCAAAAGTTTGAATGTCGCTTTTGGCAACATGTCGAACGAAGTAAAAGTTATTCCCTTGAACAATGCTTCCGGGCGAGATGTATAGATCTTTTTGCGGATCGTATTGTGCGCGTCCCAACAATTTAAGAAACTCATGTCGTTCACGTAGACGAAATTCCCTAGAGGTCAGCAGTTCTGGCCATTGCAGCAGGCTAGCGTGGGAGAGACCCATCTCGTTGTGGGCATAGCTAAAGCGTTCAATGAGGTCGTCGGGAGCTAAAAGGAATAAATTAATATATTATGAGAAACGTAGTTGATTTGCCAACTTACGTATCATTAGTAGTTTCGGCTTTTTAAGTATGAGCTCGCGCAGCTCTGACTTGTTAAAACCCATCTCCTCCCGCATACAGAACAGGGACTTGCGAATCGGTTCTAAGCTATATGTAATTATACGCGGCTCCTTAGTGGCCAAAAAGCGTAGATTGTCGCCACTCAAACCAAATTCCTTTTGGAAATAACCCAAGCGCCGGTCAATACGTCGAGTTGAATACATAAGCCAATAGGGATTTTCGGTAATTATGCGTTGGCGCGCCTCATCCGAAAATCGTTTGGTCTTCAGGTATTCCACACGTGTCTGTAAGTCGTCCAGATCTTCTTTGAATATCAATGGGTTCTTCGTTACCAATTCGCCAAGGCTGTCTGGATGCACGCCCTGATCCACGAGAAAAGTCAAATGTGACTTCACATCTTGCTCAAAGTCTAATCGAAGTAGAAATTCACCCAAGCCTTTGCGCCGTTCAATTTTATGCAGCGATACGCCCAGGCTTAGAAACTGTTGCAATGTTTTTGAGTTGTTGACATGGGCGGCCAAATTAAATGTGGGCACATGTGCCTCCCGGGGGCTTGTGAGGTCAATGGCTACATCGCTTCTATTTTGCGGCAACTGTTCTTCCCCAGAATGTCGGTTTATGTCCGCAAGTTCTTTCAGCTCATCATCTTCCCTTTTGGTACTCCTCAACGTACGTAAACTGCGTATTTGCTGTCCATGTTGCGCGTTGCATTCTGCTTTATAAAATGCGGTTTTTATAAATTTACTTAAGTTACGTACTGCACATTGCATGGCCACAGCTGTTTGCAGCGTTGCCACTGTCCTCACTATACATTGCTATCGTTGTTTGTCAATGTATCGATAATTTCCCAACTGTTACCTGTCTTTTGTCATACATTCCGAGATCAGTTCTAATTTTCGTGTTGTATTATCTTTAGTTTTTTTTTAGGTGTATAAGTCGATTATAAAAAGACTTTTGTCAGATTTCATCATTTATCACACATTATAAGATATTTTTTAGGCATTTAACGCCATGGACAAGCTACGCCGCGTGCTGAGTGGTGATGAGCCGACACCTGAGGAGGAAAGCAGCATAATTACACAGGTAAATACATATGTTCATGTCTATATAGCTATGTAATTTGTGGATATTATTTATTGTTTGGGTCACATATGCTCCTAAATTCACTACGAGCATGATCACTTCATATAAGTCCTTTATGTGTAGATATGTATGTATGTGCATACGCCCCCTCGATCGAGTGTGACTCAATGCTAATCAATCATTTATGTGGCTTTACAAATGCTAATCTATGAATTTTAATTGCAGATAAATGACATTTCCACTTTAAGTTGGTCCACACGCATCAAAGCTTTCTGCGCCTGTTTCGTCTTGGGTATTCTGCTCTCTTTTCTGGGTTCCTTGGCGCTGTTCCTGCATCGTGGAATTGTGGTTTTTGCGGTGTTCTACACACTCGGCAATATTATATCAATGGCCAGGTAATATGGGGCTTACACACGCTATCAACAGTGTAACGTTTATTGTTGTTTTCTAGCACCTGTTTTCTAATGGGACCTTTCAAGCAGATCAAGAAAATGTTCGCCGAAACCCGACTCATAGCCACAAGCATAGTGCTAGTTTCTATTGTCATGACATTTGTAGCCGCTATTGTGGTAATTTGAATTGGTTTTTATGTTTTTGTTTCACAGATTACAATTTTTAAATTACTTTTTATTTATTTTGCTTTAGTTAAAGAAAGCCGGCCTTACACTCATATTCATTATCATACAATCTCTGGCCATGACCTGGTACTCGCTTTCTTATATACCCTATGCCAGAGATGCAGTACGAAGCACGGTCTCAGCATGCCTCGACGTGTAGAATCTTGTTCATATATTTTTGTACATATATCTAATTTCAGTTTGATAAAATTGTCATTTCATTTACTTATGTATCTTATAGGATTGCAATTAAAAAATGTATTAATCTATATTAGAAAATATCCGTTGCTTTACTTTTATAATAACAAGATTTTCGTTGGTTTAGCAGTTTTATACATACATATACACATTACAGTTAATTTAATCAGTACGGCTTTGCATAAAGTGTATGTACATTGTACAATTAACAAATTTGCCAGTTATTTGTTCTTTTAATTGCCTCTCATTTATTTTTCTTCTCTTGGTTTTTTTGCGGCGATAAATTACCTAGAAAAATAAACAGAAATTATAAGTAATTGTGATCATCTCAGGTTACACGATTTTTATTTTAATGTCGTAGTGCGTGCTATCAATGACATCAATGGATTTACTTCTTGCCACAGGTGCTTAACATTGAGAATGTATCCGAGAATGTGCCAGCAAGGAAAAATCAAAATGAAAGAGTTATACAATAGTAGATGATAATGGTGAAAAAGCGTAGATAACAAGCTTGTGCTGGGTATAGGGCAGAAATGATTTTAAAATGTTTAAGTAAAATTTATGTAGACCTGGTCGAAAACTCTATTCACATTATACTGTTCTCTGCTTATTATCGACCGAGTTACAACAAACTACGTTATTAACATTTTTGTTTTAATAATAACAGTTTTAAATGAATCTCCCACAAGTTTTGGCTCCACTCCTCACCTATTAAATTACTTAAAGTTTTAGGTAGCAAAAAACTCGTTTCAATATAAGATTTAAAGATTTAGTTATTACTCCTAAGTTTTAAATCATTAAATAAAAGTAACAAAAACATTTTCTTTTGGAATAAATACCTTTCTCCTAATATTTGGCTGTTGATTTATTCATATACATATACATATGTATTTTTTTATGTTCCTTATGATGTCATGATTTTATTAATACTTCTCTTATCGGTAGCTGGTAACAAATAATATTTTCAGCCGACTAAATAACATTATTTATAGAGTAAAAACGACAAAATATTTGTTAAATTTTCGACTTGTAGCCTGTGCCTTATTCAATACTATTATTTTTTTTTTTGTGTCGACTGATTATTGAACTTTTAAACTATTAAATACCCTTATTTTTAAACAGAGCTGGCTACAACATCTATAATTAATTGATAGATTTGAAAGATGATTGTCGATTAACAAATTTGTAGCATTTACATACCTTTGGAGGGACTGTCGAGCTGACGTTTCGTTGGCGTCGATGAAACCTTTTTCAGCTGGCGTTGCTGCAAGAGACGCGCATATTTAATTCACATTTATTAAAACCCAAATAGTATACACACACCTGCCACCAAACAGCCACATAAACGAACGCAACCGAGATAAGCACTTGAATTGATAGCCAAATAACAATGTTGATGGACTGCGTGCGTTCAAACAATTCCTTTCCATTCTTAATGCAGAGTATGGCCTCGGAGACCATGATAGCTCCATACACCCAACACTGGGTGCCTACGCGTTTGCAGCGCGTATCGGTGACATAGACGTAGTATTGTCTAGAATAAATGCAGCAAAAATTATTGTTAAATGAATGTCACAAATGAAATTATAATGTTCTTTCTACCTGACTGAGGGTGCCACAAAGAGGCCTATGAATATCAAACGGCCAATTACAATGATGTGATCTGGTGGCATCTCGAAAATGTGTTTCAAGAAGAAAGTATTCAACTCCGTCACCTGCCAGAATATAACCAACTGTATGACTGCAGCGAAACGCATAGCTGTCGACTTTGGATCTAGCCATCTAATTGCTGACCAACTTTCAGGTGTGAATTGTAGCATTGCGCGCTTGATTTTGCCCGTTGTCGTTGAGATATCCTTTATGCTAGCCCATTTATATTCACGCATTTCGAGTATTTGACAAATCTTGAGGCCCACCCAGATGCCAAGGCCATTGCATATGATTACATCCAGGATGAGCGCGTCCCACCAGCACTCAATAAAGTTTGGCAGCAGATGAGCAAAAGTGATTTCTGTGATCTCCCACATTACCGATATGGCCCACAAAATGCCCATATGCCTGATGAGTATCGCTTTAAATGCCCAGCCCAGAAAGTGGCCCCAGGCGAACACATCCAAATGGCCCTTAACACGTTCCCAACTAATGTCGGAGCAGTTGACACCGTATTCCTAATAATAATAATAATAATAATAACAATATTAAGTTATTTGTTTATGCTTGGGTTTTATAGAGCACTCACCTTTTCCATATCAATATGAAAGTTTTTCAGCTTGGGATCCAACCAATAGAACATATTTCGTATGGTTTGATAGTTTTGGAACATTAAAAACTGTAATGTGAGCAAATAGAGCACCGAACAACCGAAAAGTATTCGCCAGATTGCCGGATGTGGTCGTGTAAATGGTCCATTGGGAAATGCAATAACCGAGACGATAAGAAAGAAGAATACTATGGAGAGCAGCCCTGCCCAAAGATTGTCCTCTACATTGCTTTCATTTCTGTAAGAAAAACAAAAACCACAAATATTTTCCACATAAATGTTTGCTGACAATTCCAATAACGCATTATCAGCGTGCACTTTGCACCCGACGTAACGGGTTGAATGGCCTTTCTAGATCAACGAGATTACTTGGTAAACATTTTCAGATATACATATATGTATATAGGTAGCGAATGGTGGATGGGGGCCTCTCAATGGCGTTGGCGCCGACGACATTCAACGTGTATTGGTTCCTCGACATTGCGGGTAGTGACACATTTGGTTCATTTGACATTTGTATTGACTATTTTTTTTTTTTTTTTGTTCTAATTAGACAAAAAGGCGAACGTAAAAAGTAAAACAAGGTTGATGCGTGAAAATAGCGACAGCATGTGTTACGCCTGAATTTGTTATGGTAAGGCGTATGAAATGTTAAGGCTCTTCAAAAATAAATAGAAAGATCGATATCATAAACACAAAGTGTCGGGCTGTCAGTTAGCGCCAAAAAAAAATTGCACTTACCGGACAAAGGCAAAGTACATCACGGCCAGCACGGAGACGGCCAGCAATGTGATTGTGTGTGGCTTATAAAAAAAGTCTAAGGATATATCATCTACTGGTCGCTCGTTGACTATGACAAAGGTTTTTGCTATTTCTTCCTTTCGGCGTGCCCCCGCCGCCTTGCCGTTATCTCCGCCTCGTTGCTTGGTTGGTGTGGCCGGGGCACTGGCCGCACCTGATTTGTTTAGGGCAGAGGCGGCTGCGCTTAAACGATCGCCACACGTTTCCTGCGCGGGCGGTGTGCCACGTGAATTCGAACGTTTCTTCATTGCGAGACTGATTGACTGACTGAAAGATCTAATCGAGATTACAGCAGCGCGTTTTGGCAATTGTAGGCACTATCAACGGCTACGCCGACGTCGGTGGCGTGATAATGGCGCGGCCGTTGGGCAATGGGTTAGGTTGCTGGGGAGCAAGCACGCGGGCTAGTAGCAGATTGCGCAACATTCGGAACAACACGCGGGAGAGAATGATACGTGTTCGCTATGGCTTCGGTATGCCAAGCTTAGACCAATTGTTCTCGTCTTTGGTCAAACTAGAAATGTTTTATTTAATGTTTTGCCTGTAAATGATTTTCGCCTAATTAGCATGCTGTGCGCGAGTTCACAACGAAACGAACTGCATAATTTGACACTTGCCGGGCTACTGCGCTATCAGCCTATCAGCAGCTCTCTTTGTTTTGACAAGAGACAGCTGTGGTGTGGCCAGACCGTTCGGTAGGTAGTAATGCTGCCATTACTTCGCAATTGATTTGGTAGCACTGTCCCGCGGCCAAAAACAACTCGTAGGATTTTGTGATAAGCTGTGATAGAATTGTGAAATTAATATGTTGGATAAAGTAAAAAACGTTATTGTGGTGCTTTCGGGTAAAGGTGGCGTGGGCAAATCAACTGTCAGCACGCAATTAGCCTTGGCCTTACGCGAAACTGGCTACAAGGTAATTCAAGTGGGTTCGCAGCACATTTTTAAGGCACCGGGCACCAGCAACCGCACCAAGGCCAGCGCCGTAAATATTACAATGGCAACAGAACCGATGTGGTGCAGCGGCCAAAATATACCAGCTGATGCGAGATTTTAAAAATGTGCTGCATACAAACCTTGTTGAGATTGGAAACTAATTCTTGAATCTTTATTGACAGGTTGGCCTGCTGGATATTGATTTGTGTGGTCCAAGCGTGCCTTATCTGTTGGGTCTCGAAGGAAGCGACATTTATCAATGCGATGAAGGCTGGGTACCCATTTACACAGATGAGACAAAGACGCTGGCAGTGATGTCGATTGGTTTTCTGCTCAAAAGTCGCGACGATCCAGTCATCTGGCGTGGCCCCAAAAAAACGGTCATGATTAAGCAGTTTCTGACCGATGTTAAATGGGAGGAACTGGATTATCTGATAATTGACACCCCACCCGGCACATCGGATGAGCACATAACAGTTATGGAGTGTATGCGTGAGGTTCCGTGCACTGGCGCTGTTCTGGTAACCACACCACAGGGTGTAGCACTGGATGATGTGCGCAAAGAAATCACGTTCTGCAAAAAGACGGGTATTAAGCTGCTGGGCATTGTAGAGAATATGAGCGGGTATGCCATTAAATCATAAGATATGTATACATTTATTTGCCCACATAACTAACGCTTGCTATTCAATAGCTTTGTTTGCCCACATTGTACGACTTGCACAAACATCTTCTCCTCCAATGGCGGTGTGGAGTTAGCAAATTTCGCACAGGTGCCTCACTTAGGAACACTACCCATAGATCCGCGCATGGGCGTGCTTGTAGGCAGCACATCCTCGGTTTTATCCCATTTGCCCGACTCCAGCACAGCGCAGGTTATGCGCCACATTGTGCAGCAGCTGGCGGCAGCAACAGCTCAGCCCCAAGAAATTACTGCGTAGCATTTAGTTAGTTTTGCAAATATAGGAGGATCCTTTTACACTATGTTAAGTATGAAGAAACTACGTGCGCCTAAAATTGGGTTTGGTGTGACCAAACAGAAAAATAATAATTATAAATATTAATTGCAAAATTAAACGACAGTTTCATTTATTTTTCGTATGCTTTTTATTATTCTACTTATAATCTTTATCAAACGCTAAATACCCACGGCCTTTGGTATTTCTTGTTTTACATTTGTAAATCAATTTACATAGCAACGTTTAAGAGGAATGTATAATCGCAGTGAGTTTTTATACGTGTATTGACTTTTGACTAAATTTTGAACATTTTTTCATTAAGTATATGGTATAACTAGCACAAATACTTAAATATATTTTCATACATAATAACAAACAAACAAACAAATTTAATTTACATATCGTTAAAATTTGAAACTTCGTAAAAACTTTACTTTCTAAATAAATCGATTTGTTTATAAGCCTTAATACTTCTCAAAATGTTCGATATTTCATATCACAATACATATACATAATAATATGTTTATCTGAGAGTCCAACAGTTATTAAATAGTTTGAGCGATTTTCAACATACATACATATACACATATATGTATATTGATGATATTGTAGGACACCAAGAATTTGTGGTATAGCTTTACAAATCTATATGTACATGTACATACTATACATATGTATTTGACTAACATCCATTCCCACATCGCATTTTTAAATAATTTAAAACGAATAATGTGCTTCTTATTTAATATAATTCTATTGAATAAATAGTACTTTTAAATTAGTAAATAAATAGTCCCCACTCATCGGCACATTTACAAAATACATTTGTAGGTACATGTATGTATGTGTGTATGTATGTATGTATGTATGCATGTATGTATGTATGTATGTGTGTGTACATTGTATAATGAATATTGAAAAGACGCATACTCGAATGCAAGGGCGTAGGCAGGGCAACAAATTTTGCCATATAAAGTCGACCACAATGGAACTGAGTTGGGTTTGTTGAAGTTTTATCATTAATTATATGAATAAATAATTTTTTAAATACATCGTGCATCAAAATTTCAATTTTTTGGTAAAAGCTGCGTACGCCCTTGCTCGATTGAATGGCAAAGTTCGATGATAAGGGCCGGTAATGCGTATAGCGAATGAAAATGGTTTAATAATTTCGTGCGTTTTGTTTTTGTTCTGCTGGACGTTGTAACATACAATATAGCTAATACTATATTTTTGTTGTAGAGACCAATTCGGTTGTGATTGGCTTATTCAGATTAAACTCCGAGTTGGGTACCGAGGAGTAGATCTTTGGGCGGTTTTTACAACAGCACAGCCAAAACAAAAGTATGCATAACACAAAAACAATACATGCCACCGCGATGCCTGCATATAGCCATATCCCAGAGAATTCATTTATCTGAAAAGGAGGATTAGTGCCACTGGTGGCTATGCGAAAATCCGATTCATTTATGTTCCTGTCTTTGTGTTGGCTGGTGGACTCGGGCGTCTGAAGCTCTGGCGCTTCGGTCCGTCGGTCTGGATGCTCTGTGGTCTTCATAGATATGTCTCTGCCGATATTGGAAGCGGGGCTACTGCTCTCTATAATTTCTTTCCCATAATTATGAGTGCGATTGTTTATGTTGTCTGTGGTCAGGGCGTTAGCAACCTTTGGAGTACTGCTGCTTTCTACGCTCTCTGCGCTGATTCTGGAAGTTTTCGTTGTGATCTCCTCGTTCTCTGGTGTTGCAGTTGAAGCTGGCCTGGTTCTATCCATCACGGTGGTAGAAGCTGTGCCGATCTCTCCATTTATTTTGGAAGCTGATGTAGTGCTTTCCTGTATAGGAGTTGGAGATGTGCTGCTGTTCTCCGTTCCCATGCTGTTGGTGGAAGATGAGCCGATCTCTCTATTTATCGTGGTAGCTGATGCTGTGCTCTCTGGCAAAGGAGTTGAAGCATCGCTAGCATTCTTCGTCCTCACAATGTCGAAGATTATATTTATATTTGATGCATTATTTGTGCTCTCTACGTTCTTTTCGATTGAAATTGAAACAATGCTGCTAATCTGCGAGTTCTCAGTGGTGGTGGTGGTGGAAGAATCTAACGGTGTGCTCCCTATTTCCTTGCTGATAGTACTTTCCGAGGTCTCGTTGGGGATGGTGGAAGCTGTGTCAGTCTTTCTGACATAATTGAAAGTTGTTGTGGTACTCTCTACTTTCCATTGCTTAGAATTGGAAGCTTCACTGGTGATCTGTGGGCTCACATTGCTACCAACAGAATCTGTACCACTATAGTCCACATTAGATGATTTGGTAGTGCTTTCTACGTTCTCTTGTATAGCGTTGGAGACTGCGATGCTGGGCTCCGTTGTCATGCTGTTGTCACTTGTTAAGAGCACATGCTTATGCTGGTCATCCGGCTCATCCAGACATGTCGCACAGCACTGACCAATATGTGTCACGGGATTATCACAGTTGGGAGTTCTACACTCAGTAATAATGCATTTTTGTTCGCCATCTACGCATGTGCAATGTATGCAACCGTTGTTCTCATTCCAGGATTCTCCATCTTTCACTAACTTGTCCATACTATTGACGTAGCAGCCGCTTCTTTCAGGATCGCATAGCTGTTGGCAGGGTCCCCTGCAGCTATTGCATTTTGTGCAGCTATTTGTGTAATAAACTACCGGCTTTTTATTGTCACATTTGGGCTGATTTTCGCATTTGTAGATTGGGCAACAGCTGCCGGGCTTTCCGTTGCCCAAACTGACCTCCACTGCCACCTTATGTGGACATTTTGGCCTTGGACAGGGTTTGCACACACATCTATGTTTGCTGCCTTCATTGAGAAGAATATCATATATATATACTGAAATGCTGTCTTGCGGACAGGTGCCTATATTGTCTGAAATTGAAAATATTATCTATAAGTAAATCAGCATATCATCGTAATAAAAAGTAAATGTCGAATTGTAATTTAATACATAGTTTTGTGTTTTCAATTTGTGAACATGTTGGTGATTGTGCGTAATACGTATACTTGAGGCCTATAAATGTACTTATGATAGGCTCAAACCTTACAAGGTGCGTTCCAAAGTAAACAGGAATTTTTTAAATCTATATGTCGACTGGTGCGTTAGAATCTGCTATCTTTATCGATTGTCCAGTGAGAATTTCATGACATTTCATCGATTGGAAGTGTCAGTATGTTTGTGTTATCGGTGCGAAAATGAGCTTCGAACAAAGAGCCAACATTAAATTTTGTTTTAAAATTGGTACAACTTTTACCGCAACGTTCCAATTGATGGAACAAGTTTATGGCGATGATTGCCTATCCCGTAGCAGACTGCACGAGTGGTTTCAACGTTTTCAAAGTGGTCGTGAGGACATAAATGACGATCAACATGTGGGCCAATCACAGTTCGTTATCACCGAAAATTCCATCGAAACTGTACGTGAATTCATCAAAAATCAGCCGAAATCATCATTGAAATTGATGGATATGGAATTGAAAATCTCCAAAATATCGATTTATCGCATTTTGACCGAACATTTGGGCTTACGAAAGGTGTGTGCACGGTTTCCGGTTCCGCACAAATTGACTGACGACCAAAAATTGCTCTCATCGATCGACGCTTGTGACCGATTATTTGACCAAAAATAACATTTTAACCATTAACCACTCGCCGTATTCACCTGATATGGCACCGTGCGACTTCTACCTTTTCGGAAAAATGCATTTGCCCATGAAAAGAAAGCGTTATGCAGACGTAGACGCCATTCAAAAGGCTTGCACCGGCATACTGGCGGACACACCGGCCAACGAGCTAAAACACTCGTTCGACATGCTTTTGCTGTATTGAAGCAGAAGGAGACTATTTTGAATAAAATAAATTGATTTTGCCGAAAAAACCAATTGTTCTGTTTTTTTTTTTAAAGTCCTCTTTACTTTGGAACACACCTTGTACTTTAATATGTTTGCGTATTATTTGTGGCTGCAAGAGATATTTTAATCTACAAAAAACAACAACTGTTTAAAGAAAAGTCGTTATAGGAAACTACTCTGCCCAGTCTTAAACAATTACATTACCAAACAGAATACAATATTGTACCCTCTAATTCAAACCAATACCAATAGCATACAAGTACATAACTCGAACTGATTATTGGTATCCAGTAAAAGTATGAAATATACTCCTATATTTATATGGGTTTGTTCTAGTCCAAAACACACACCCATAGGTGGGGTAAGATAGCGTGCAAAGTTTGTGAATGATATAAAAAATAAAGCAACGGTAAAACGTGCAGAAAACAACGTTGTGTTTTTTTTACTAGTAGGGCTTAGACAAGTTAAGATAGCTTTCAATTAATGGCCATGGATGACCAAATGCTTAAATATTGCAATTACTTTTATAAACATTGTTTAGTAGTCTTCAAGTAAATAATAATCAATCCATCGCTAATTAAGAGCTCTTGAATTTGAACAAAGAATAAGAAAATCAACACTTCAAGTAAATGCTAAATAAATGGACGTGAAAAAATGCTCTTAAGTCCGCTGACACGCAGAGTTAAAAACTGCTCGCCTGTAAAACGCAAAAAAAAAGGAAATAAAATCTCGAATTCGAACATACAGCGTAATTGACACTAAAATTGCAATTTAATATGAAACCGACAATCGGTTAATAAAACAACTCCAAGTTAATACTAAATAATATGAAAAATTAAAAAAAAAATTAATTTGTTCGGAAATCTTCCACTTCTAATTACCATTAAACGAGCCTGAATATATATCCACTGAGTAAGTACACAAATTAATTTGTCATACCATAACTGTAGTTAATTGATTCTAAAGTTGTTCAGAAATAACTTAAAATCCAAATCGTAAAATCTTCTAATCTATTAACAAGGGCAACAGACGGAAAAAATAAATATTGTGTGTTTAAAACCACTTTAAAACCAATAGCGTGATTTACTTCATTTCGATTGATTTCGAATACACATAATATTAAAAATAATTCTCCCGCTGCACTGAATGTAGGAGGACAGATTGTGTGAAGCTTGAATCATCTAGCATCTCATACTTATATATACATATATGTATATTTACGAGTATATATAACGCTTGGGGACTATCTCTCACCCAGCCTTCGACGACCCACTCCATTCTTGCAGCGAAACTAAGGCGATTGATAATTCTCAGACTGCTAAGAGGGCTGATTCATTCAAAATACAAAGCACAGTTATAGTATTTAAATCAGTGGCTGCTGTTATAAATTATGTTGATCGGAACAATATAAACGCGCAAATAAAAATGTTGAACATTTAAAGAATACACCATAATTTGTTTACTCATAACAGTTTCTTTGGTTTTCGTTTGTTTGTTAAATTTGTTTACTATATTCCCCGAGTGTTGCGGGGAGGCGCTCGAAAGAAAAAATAAGATGAATGATTCCAAAATCTTACCGCAAAGAACAAGAAATTAGTAGTATTACATGCCAGCAGGACTCTTTGAACATCCTGTTTCCAACCTTTAACCCCATTCAACTAAAATAAACTTTGTTGCGACCGTCAACTCTATAATGGCTTTTAATATAGTGTACCGATTTTGAGCAAATTTATTTATTTTTATTTATTTATTTATTTAAATACCGAAATAAATAGAAAAGTTTGAAGCACAAAGAATGCTACTTGAACCAATCGTTCCCATGGCATTTATTATAGTACACAGATTTTGATAAATATCAAGAGGCACTATAAAAATAAATGGAAAATGTAGGATAGCTTTGGAATTAAGAGTAATTTTTCCATCGGCCCTATGACAGCTTTTTAAAATAATCAGGCTATATATGGCTTGTAGTAGGCCGGATTTGCGTATAAATAAAATAATCCTACATATTAGGTTGATATTATTGGCTTTTATGGTTTAAAAGTTCTTCATTTTATAAATTTATTCCAAAAAATTAAAATTTTTATTAAATATGATGAACAGAAAAACTTCAACAAATCCAAATCTGTTCCATTTTAAGGCGAAATAGTGCGCCATAATAATAATTCAGATTGCGACATTTTTTTCAGGACAGCGGCCCCCTTGGATGGTGATCCATGTACATATGTACAGGGTGCGCCAATCGGTATGCAAACATTGAATATCCTTGAAAATAAACAACCGATTTTCAAGTATGAGATATTTTTATTTAATTTGGTTCTGTACAATTTCTTGAACTGAGGTTTTCAACACTGGTCTACTCAAGTCAATCGGTTCACTAATGACAAAGTTATTCAATATCTACATACCGACATAAAAGATGGCGCACCCTGTATATATGTATTATTTTAATTTCTGTTACAAGCATTTGCGCTTAGACTTTTTAGTAGTATTGTAACAATGCAATAGAAAGTCCTTATTGACATTATGTCGGGAATTTGAACAGAAAACCTCCTGAAACGTCATCCTTCTCCAAAAATAAATACCAAACTTAGGGTTAGCTGCTGGCATTGATCTTTTGTGGATGCTTTTTACATAATGGTCAATCATCTAGTGTGTCTGGTTTGTTGCTTTAGGTAAATTTATAAAAATTGGAATTTGATTATTACTAGAGTGGTGGCGCAGAGGCGATCCAGAAGACAAAGTACAGAGGCACACTCTCGTTTATCGTTTATTTATTGTTATTGATTTTTGACATTTTATCATTGAATTAGTAAATGGGCAAATATACTCGTATATATGTACATATGTATGACCAGCATAAGAAAAATGTGAATGGCAGGCAGAACAATGACAATAGCAACAACAACGTCACCCTCAACTAAAACAACAACAACAAAAGTATTTGTATTTGTATTTGATTTTTGCCTTTTATTTTAAGTGTGCCAAGAATTTCTTCGCCCCGATTCGATCCGATATTGTGCTCGTTTCATTAAATCAATTTCCAATGTGGCATTTCATTTTTGTCTGCTCCAATTATTTGTACGCACATATATGTACATATTGTACAAGTATGTGTGTGCCCTTTACAAAAAGCTGAGCAGTTACAGATACATCTAAACTACATACAAACTTACAGCTCGCTGCCATGTGATCTGCCCAATATGTATGAATGTGTGTGTGCGTGTGTGTTTTATGAACAACAAATTGACGTCATAGAAATCGTAGGTGATGCGCAGCTCACTCAATTGAATGTCATTTAAACTAGATATATACATACATAGTATCTAGATAGATATACATTTGTATCTACCATGTGTGACTTTCTATCAGGGCTAGCCATCTATCATGTATGTATGTAGGCGGCACTTTTGTGATTTGTGAGAAGTGCAAAGAAGAGCAGAAGTCAGTGGTCCAGAAATGCAAAAGTCATTTACAATCATCAGAGATACAAATGCGATAAAATCTGCTCTACTGCTCCACATTGGTACAACTAGCCGTTTATTCTATTTAATTTAAATACATACACCTCCGCTCAACTGCATAGGTTCAACCATGCTCAGAAGTTATATTTTTACAAACAAATCGAATCGAATTTGATCAAAACACGTTATGTAGAAAGAATAGTTTATTGTTAATAAAACTGTAAAGTTTGTGGCTTAAAAATAATTTTTTTTCAAGTTTTTTTTTTTTAAGTTTTTAATCTGGCTATACATATACTATTATATGTATTAAATTTTGTGATTCCAGATTAATGCTAAGTTATAAATGTTAAAATAAATAATTTTGGCTCAATTGAATAGGTTCAGTAATTTAGAAATTAAAATAACAAATAATAAAGCCATGAATTTGGTAATTGAAATCATAGAAATATTATTATTACGAGTAAAGAAGTGTTGAATACTTCCACCTTTCTTTGTTTTAACTTCAAAGATTCGACCTTTTAAGGACTTATGCTAATTTTCTAGTACTGCAATCGATATAGTAGCCTAGTATTTCTTTATGGCATCAATAAGGCTCTCAGTGTCGTTAAATTGTCTCCCACTCTCGTCTACTATTCGTGACACAATCCGCAAACGTTTTCGCTAATGTTCAGGTCAGATGACTTTGGCGGCCACTCGAACAACTCAACATTTTGTATTTAAGTAGTATTTAGTTTGAAAGTACAAGTATTTATGTAACATGACGTCAATTATTTGAAAATAGCCATCAATCTGCGGCATTTGAGATTACCTCTGGCTCACACAACAAATGACATACTAACTACAGGTTCGAAGAATTTAATGAATCATTTGATTCAGATTTTGCACACACCGTCCATTAATGTGCATAGACAACTAAACAAACGGGCAAACAAACATATAAATACATACATACATATGTATGTACATACATATATGTATGTGGTAGCATGCGTGAACAATGCCCATCCATTTGTAAAATTTCATTCTGAAACGAGTTTCTTTGGAAAAGCGCTGATTTCATTTTGCTTTGTTGGCCAAAAAATGTTGCCGAGTGAAAAGCAAGCTTTGTGTTTTCTTCACCACTTCATCTTTTTATTGCCATATACTACTATATACGTATTATGTATATGTATATCAATATATTGGCATATAATTCTTTTTATTACTTTCGATGTTTTATTTTTGCAATTCAAGTTTATTGACCCTCTTTTCGTGCCCGTAGTATTTGGGCCAAACGTATGTGGTCAGCAGAAATATATGAAACGCAATTCAAGCAGGTAAACAAAAAAAAAAAAAAAATAATAATAATAAAATATAATAAAAAAAATAACAACAACAGCACAAACACAAACGTTCAAAGGTCCAAAACTAAAACCCAAATGCAAATTATCTAGGTACATATCCGTCTTGTTGCTCGTAAATAGAAACAGAAAACTCCAAGTGGGTCGCTCTCATTAGCGCATCAATGTGTGGCAGATCCATTTACCTAATACCAGAAGTGATAATTACGTCATTTTACAGCTCGTAAATATTTATAGATATATGTATGTATTTTTTTTTTTTTTGATTGATCTACCGTCAGTTGCGGACACTCTCGAAGGTTGCATGCAAAAATGCAATTTGTTGTTTTTCAGCTCTCTAAAAATGTTTTGTTTTAGGAGGAGCGGCGATGAGACAGAACCATTCAAATTAACATGAAAGCATCGGGCATCGGGCGTCGTGTCGTATCTCAAAAATAAATTTTTAGTACAATTAGCAGGCAGTTTGTTGACACGCTGCCTGTCAGCGCCGTTGACATGCAAAGTTACTTAAAACAAAAAGAGGGAGCGTAAGGCGAGAGGTTGTCGTCGTCGTCGTCGTCGTATATTAACTACAACTTGAGGTCGCGCCAAGTACGTAAAGAGGTGAGCAAAAACTTACAACATAGTACAACTACAGTAACATCTGGAAATGTTCTCGACTCTTGCCTTTAATATTTAGTGCCCAGTGTTGTCATGGATAGTTTTGGAGCACCTAGGGATAACTTTGTATAACTCTAACTTTTATGATATTTGGTATTCCTGCATGCACAGGTCTAGATTTATCGTATGTATGTATACTTTGCTGAGTCTGAACAGCGTTTTTAGGATTGGAAAAAATACAGAAACATTTGGAGTATCTTTAGATGAAGTTTGAAGACACTAGCTCCTATATTTTTCGAAATACTTGCGTTCATACAGACAGATGCACAAGCCACATGGTTCAAGAATGCGTATACTTTGTGCGATTTGCTACGACTGCGTCATTATGTTTAATTATATTAAAACTATTGAAAAGAGCATTCGTTACCTTAAATGATGTTTAATCAGTTTAAAATAATTCCTCATTAGGCTAACTTAGCTAGGGTTAACTGTATTTGAAAATCTGTATAGTATGTACATATGTTGCGAACAACATATGTTGTAGTATGTATGTGGCTGCCAAGAAGCCAAAGTAATTGGCTAGAATTACCGACTGATATTGGTTTGAGGTTTTCACAAAATGTTCGCGCAACACTTTTCAAATACAAATGTAGATTTAAGATGCACAGATTTGAAAAGCGCGAGCTAACAGTAAGATTTATGGCGATGTCATTTATTATTTCTAATAAGAATGTGTTTAAATTTTAAAAGATAAAAGAATAGACGTCATTTATAAGATAACAAGATAGCGAAGAAGGAATTTTTATGGTTAAATAAAAATCTTAATTAAAGTAGATCTTGCGCAACTTTGAGATGATTTATAAAATGCGAAAAATAAACAAAATGCGTGACAGCTGTATTCACAAATCATCACAAATCGTTGAAGCGCTTAAGTAGATGTGAATAAAACATGATTTAGTTCCTATTGCACTTAGTTTTCTTTGGAACGCAGGCGGGTGAAGAGACTGCATTATAATTGGATAATTATCGATTACTACAAGTAGTTAATTAGAGAGAAGAAAGTTATTGAAGATTTTAAGTGAATCTATATGTTAACCCTTACGGAGCTATAGAAAAAGAATTTAACTATTGTTCTTACGAAACAATAAAGTTCTTCATATATAAAATCAGAGGTATTGATTTTTTGAAATTATGAAAAATTAGGTATAATATGCATACAAATTTTAGTTATTGAACCTGTAGCTGCGAATTGCGAAGAAATAAATAAAATAAAATGAGCAATCAGATTAAACATATAACATCTCAGCTTGGCAGAATCGATGAAATCTTTTTTGGTGGGATGTTATACATATGTTTAATCTGTTAACTCATTTTATTGAATTGACCCGCTTTGGTAAGTTTAAGTTAAATTTAATTAAAATTTATTTTAATAGAATGGACACAGTTTGAAAAAGTAGGATCCTATTTCGACAACTCAATATATCAATATCTTTTACAACATAACGCTCAATAACGGCATATAGTATTAACTCGAACTTTTCAAAGTATTTTTATGTGTTTCTTTATCGAATATAAAAAATGCGCGATAATAATAATCTTGGCTGATTTTATGCGTAGTATTGGCAGCCGTAGCTTTTTATCTACATAGTACCTCTTTATATGGGCATTTATTTTGATTCCATTGCATTTATCTGCGACACGCTAATGTGTGAAAATGTTTTTATATATAGTATACATAAGTTTATGTGTATTTTCCTAGTAGTTTATAATGTAGTTTATGTCTGCTCTAAGTGCTTCATGATGAGGTTCGCGAGTGTGTAAACAAAGCATTATTCATACGTGGGTCTCAGGGCGCTGACAGGCGAAGGGCTTTAATGCTGTACGTTATCTTAATTATAGATCAATTATTGGCACAAACAGCGAAATTATTAATTATGAGTGCTACCAGCTTAGAATTTCAATGACGTACTAACAAGCAACAGCTATAGCAACAAAAACAACAACACCCACCCATACATATACTTATACTTATAAATACAACAACAATGAAGTGCGATGGGGTGACACAAAAAGATAAGAGCGGTTCACCGAGGCATATATACCCTAGAAAATGCACTTCTTTACTTTAATATATTCATTCCTAAGGCAGCTATATGTTGTAGCGATCTGATTCGACACTATTTGGTATTAAAATTAATTAATGCTGCTATTATAGGAATATGATATAGTAATTTCATCAGACGAAGAATTTGAGCGATATCGGAACTTTATAAACAAACAAGTCTTTTTATACAATTTTTGTTTTTTTTTTTTTTTTCAAAAATCTATATATATATTTGGATATGGTTCTCTCTGATTCGAGCAAAAGTTTGCGAAATCATTCAATCAATGAACCAATATAGTTTCTTTGCGAAAAGTGTTCCTAACAAATGCATTTGGATTGTTTTCATTGCAGCTATATCGTGCTATAGATATGATACTACAATATATGAAGTCATACTTTGCAACATCAGTAGGTATCAGGGTTCGTAAAACGCGCACTCTCGATTGAAATTGACTTCCAAATTTGTCGAATTTGACGGAAAAGTTGCTGAAGAGTTAATAATAATCGTTTTCCCCGAAACTTATGCTTTATAAATGTCCAAACATTTCCAATTGGAATGGCACCCGGGGACTGTGATGGTCAATCCTCCAGTCGCGGTCAACATTCTCAATTGCCCATGCGGAACGTTTTTCGACGTGTTTTTTAGGCAGCATTGGTTTTTCATTGTGCTTCGCCATATCAGTTTTTCGTCTATTTTTAAAGCCTCCATTATTTTCGCATGATTTGGAATAAAACGTTTCACCCACTTTTGAACAAAATTCTGCTACTACATGAGACATATTTAGACCTTTGGGGTGATAAGAGAGGAACATAACCTCAAAACGCTTAGCAAAAGGGGCATACATTGCAAAACACGTATTAATACCCCAAAATCTCAACATGGAATTCAATTTTTTTATGAAAGCTCTAGTTAACGGTACAAAAAAGTTTTTGAAATTGGCGTATTCTAATCGCAAGCAAACCTCCGTACACTCTTACTTAACATACTGTATATCGTAGTACATACTTGTACATATATTGTATATATTGTAGTAACTCTCTTTGTTAGGGTATACAACAAAAAAGAAACCAACGAAATTTCGTATGCCATTTACGTGCCTGAGCTTTGCCGCTCGTAATTACTTTGTACAAATTGCACAATTAGAATTGAATTATACTGAATTATACACGCCAAGCGGCAAAATGCCTGATTAGTGTCATATACAAGTATTGAATACATTTTCTTTATAATAATTGTGTATGCCAACAGATGTGTGCTGATATTGTATTTATTTTTCAATAATTATTTTAATGGTTCTGGCTTTGGGCATTCGGTTGCGGACACTCGTACTCCTACCAGTTTATCGTTCTGAAAACAAAAACATGTTGCAACGCGTAGCCTTCGCATTTTTCGTATTGTTTTCACATTGGAAATTGGGACTGGCAGTGGTAAATACTTTCATATGAACACTTGTGATGTCTGGGGGGCTATAAAAATGCAATTATAAATATATGCATACTATATATACATGTACTCCGCAGCGAGACTTTGACATACGCTGGGTGCGTTGCAATTGTACGCCCATCGATTTGGAGCGGATTGCGATCTTCACTTGCGGAATCGAAGAGATACCGAAGCGACAGGGAAACTTTCTCAACTCGCTGCTGGTGCTGGAGAACGATTTGCACCGCTTCCTGGTCGAGGTAACTGTGGAGCTTCCATTGCAACAGCGCCACCAGCGACAGCAATTATTCAAGGGGCGCATCAATGGCTGCCAACTCATGGGATATCAGAGCAAGAGTCGGGTGCTAAATGCGGTACTCAAGAAGCTCGTGCAATCGGGAAACTATCCCAAACAGTGCCCCCTGCTAGCGGTAAGTAAGGCAGTCTGATTACAGATAAGCAAATATCGCCAATAGCAAAACAAGTGAGCGATTAATAATACTCGTCGTATTACTAATCGTCGTTGTTGCCATTAGATATACGAAATATTCTGAAAACCATTGTGAAACAAATTGCACGTTCCTAAAGAATTTTATTAACATTCTGTTGGCGCAGATGCTGCTTTAGATTAAGATAGTTTAAGAGAATTATTTGAATTTTAATTTAGGGCGAAAAGAGAGCGCGAGAGCGGCCGTTTGCGGACGTCGCCTCGCGCCCTTTTTTCGCCGCCTTAGGCTTAGTTTAGCATGTAAGCCTAAGTTGAAGTCAGTTGTAAAATAGGACTAAATATAAGCACAATTGTCGCCAAATCGTTCGCATTTTCCGCATTAAAAAGTTAAAAGCAAGCGTCCCATTCTTTCTTTGTTTTTAATAATTTATATAAAATAATATAAATTTTCATTGGCGCCCGAGCAGGGACTTGCTTGTTTTTTTTAATTAAAAACTTTAATTTGTGCGGAACCGCGTCGGTCGTGTTGTTGTTGCTGCACTGGGGAGTGTGTGTGTTGCTGTCACGTCAACTGGATTATTGGAGGATGAGTCAAGTCGACCAAAGGGAAGTTCCTGAGCCAAAGTCGACTTCACAGGTACTGTGCTAAAGTTTGAAAGTGGAATTTAACCAGCGAATTGCTTATTTCGGCCTTCAACTTTCAACCTTTGGCACATACGTGACCATAATATAATACGGTAGATAGTTGAGCATAATTAACACAAATATAAATCGCATGTCGTACTAATATTAAATAAAAGTGAACCGCTATAGGCAATTATTTAAAGTGCCAATTTATTGTCGTTTGATTTTGTTATACATACATACATACATAAATATACATAGCCACTTTTACATACGGCATCCCCCCCCACGTCAATCTCAGCCAACCGTCGGCAGTTTTCGTTTGTTGCTTGCTCTCGTTGTTCTCATCAAATTCGCCGTTGTCGTTATTACATATGTAAATATATACCGACATACCCGCATACATAACATAGCTAATACATTGCTGTCGTGTTCGCGCTTAAGCTGCTGCATTTTTTGTTTGCCTGCGCTTCGCATAATACATGCATAAGAATTAGCTGTTCTGCTAACGCACACAAGGCATTTGTATTAGAATTATTCTTTTCGTTTGTCGCCACTTTCGCTGCTGCTTCCAAAGTATTGCCTTCGACGGTCAGTCAACTGCAGTTCTTCTCGTTTTCGTTCGCACTGCTAGACGACCATCTGTTGCGCTCCCCTACACTTGCTGAGAACAGCATATTATTTTCGATTTCTCGTTTGTCACTCGACAATTTTCGTTCGATCAAGTTTAAAACTTTAAATCAATATGAGTAAGGACTTGATCGAAGAACTTAAAAGGAAGCGCGAGGGCTGTATGAGGAGTATATGTCGTATGCAACGGCAATTAAAAGAAGGCTCGATTTCGTTAGAGCCAATCGAGTTAGAATGCAGGTTAGAGCTTCTAACAACTCATATAGAAACTGCAAATATATTGCAAAGCAAAATTGAAGCAAAAGATACAGAAGATGACTACCGTGAAGAGTTGGAAGAAACTTGCATTATGACCAAATCCTTATTAAAAGGCCAGCTGGAAAAACTAAGAAGAAAAAGCATCGACAATTCAAGTTCGGCAAACGGTATTGCACCGCCTACTTCAAAAAAGCCAAGGTGTCGATTGCCAGCGGTCGCTCTTCCAACTTTTAGCGGCAAGCATTCTGAATTTAAAAATTTCATGAGTCTTTTTGAAACTTTTGTTCACAATGATGACACACTGCATGATATTGAAAAATTCAATCACTTAATATCATGTTTGGCTGGTGACGCTTTAGGCACAGTTCGCGCCTTCCAAGTGACGGAAGGCAATTATAGCAAAGCCCTTGAAAGTCTAAAGCGGGTGTACGATAATGACTGCCTAATATTTTTCGATAACATATCGACACTTTTCAATCTGCAAAAGATTTCCCAGCCATCTGCGTCAGCTTTGAGAAGCCTGATCGACACAGTGTCGGCCACCTATGACTCACTTCTGTCAATTGGTGACGACAAGAAAATCACTAATGCCATTTTAATTTATTTAGTTATGGGCAAAGTCGATCCTACCACAAAAAAGAAGTGGGAAGAGCAGCTCGACTACACAACGCTCCCACTATGGCGAGATTGTGAGACTGCTCTTAACAGACGCTACCAGCATATTGTTGCTGAAGAAGCTAGTAAAGCTCAAGCGAAGGGCAGCCAGTCGAACAATAACACTCAGACTCAAAAAGTAAAAAATGCTAGTAGGATAAATCATTCGTTCGTTGCTGCCAAAAACGAACAGAATAACCTTTGTCAATTTTGCAATTCAGCTGACCATTCGATTGGCAATTGCCAGGCATATATTGCCTTGTCAGTGCAGCAAAGGTTTGACTTCGCTAAAGGTGCGCCTTTGTGCATAAACTGTCTCCGACGAGGCCACACAGTAGCGAAGTGTAAGGCAAAGAAATGTAGCGTGTGCCAACGTTCTCATCACACACTGCTACATATTTATACTGCTAGCACAAATCTTGCGTTACCACCACCCTCTCAGCCACCACATCTTCAAGATAGCTCTTCCACTTCGCATGCCATGCATGCGACTGCTTCGGATAGAGTGGTTCTTGCAACAGCAGTCGTGAGCGTTAAAACGAAAAGTGGCGATTTCGTTTTAGCAAGAGCATTGTTAGATTCTGGGTCACAAGTCAACTTTGTGACTGAGGATCTAGCTCAAAAGCTACAGCTCAGACGAGAGGATACGTGTATGGTCTTGCGCGGCATTGGAGACACCAATGCGCGTGCCAAGAAAAGAATTCATACAGTGGTGAAGTCGCGTGTCAATTGTAGCGAGTTTTCCGCAGATTTTTGGATCTTGGGATCGATTTCTGGTTATCATCCCGATCAAGCGGTGAACACCAGCGGGTGGAGGGTCCCCAAAAATATTCAATTGGCCGATCCTCAATTCCATAAGCCGCAAAAAATTGATATGCTAATTGGAGCAGAGTCATTCTTCGACTTATTGTCGGTAGGCCAAATAAAGCAAGGCCCTGAGTCTCCCACATTACAAAAAACGCTTCTCGGCTGGATAGTGTCAGGCAGATGCTCTACTCAACCTACAACGAGTATAGAAGGAGCAGTGAATTTAAGTTGCCAAGAAGAACAATTACTTTCGATAGACTCAACGATACAAAAGTTTTGGTCCATTGAGGACTTGCCTAATAATTCGAAAGTTCTCTCACCTGAGCAACAGCTTTGTGAACAACACTTTGTTGATAATACAAAAATCTTGTCGTCTGGTCGATTTCAGGTACGGTTACCTTTTAAATCTGACCCAAAAAATCTTGGCTCGTCGTATGAAATTGCGAAACGTCGTTTTTTGTCGCTTGAAAGGAGGTTGTCAAAAGACCCTCAAATGAAAAGCATGTATCTGGAATTTATGGACGAGTATGTTTCGCTCGGTCACATGTCCTCAACGGACAACAAAATTCCAGATACTCCACACTATTTTATTCCGCATCAGTGTGTCCTGCGGCCTCAAAGCACGTCGACCAAGTTACGTGTCGTTTTCGATGCCTCTTGCCGCACGTCCACTCAGATTGCGTTGAATGATACCTTAATGGTCGGTCCAACAATTCAGGAGGAGCTTTATTCTACGCTGCTTCGTTTTCGTTTGCGAAAGTTCGCCTTAGCGGCAGACATTAAAAAAATGTACCGTCAGGTGATGGTGCACGAAGCAGATAGAAACTATCAGCTCATAGTGTGGCGAAGAGATCCGTCTGAGTCTTTGAAAATCTTCAGGTTAAACACTGTAACATATGGCACGTCGCCAGCTCCGTTCTTGGCGGTGCGGTGTTTAACAAGGCTGAGTGAAATGGTCCGTTCCTCACATCCAACAGCTGCTGAAGTTATTCGGAGCGACTTTTATGTCGACGATATGTTAACTGGTGCTGAAAGCGTTGAACAGCTAAAAAAGCTTCGAGCAGAAGTGTCGCACGTTCTTCAAAGTGCAGGCTTCGAATTGGCAAAGTGGTTTTCGAACTGCTCGGAACTGTCCGCATTTGATAGCACAGTTATTCCAGTAGCCACAGTCGACTCAGACGCAACCAAAACGCTCGGCGTTATGTGGTTGCCGAAGGAAGATGTATTTCAGTTCCAGTTGGAAAATTCCTTCCTAGATCTCCGCTCGACAATACGGAACATATTATCGGTGACTGCCAGGCTTTTCGATCCTCTGGGCCTTCTTTGCCCGCTGATCACCAAAGCAAAAATGTTGCTGCAAGATTTGTGGCTACAAAAACTAGATTGGGACGAATCCATCCCTGAGAATCTTCATACAGTTTGGGACTCATTTAAGCAGAATTTGTTGAACCTCAGCGATATTCAAGTCCCTAGATTCGTCCATACATATACGCAGTCACCCATTCAAATACATGCGTTCGCCGATGCCTCAATGCGAGCTTATGGCGCCTGTATTTATGTTCGTGTTTCGACTGCGAATGGTTGGAAAGTGTCACTTTTGACCTCAAAATCCAAAGTAGCTCCACTCAAGACGAAAACTTTGCCTCGTCTTGAGCTGTGTGCAGCTCACCTTCTCGCAGATCTTTTTCGTCAAGTCCGCCCGTTGCTTAATTCTCCAATAGACAAGATAGTTATGTGGACTGACTCGGAAATAACGCTCCACTGGATCAAGTCGCATCCGTCGGCATGGTCAGTTTTCGTTTCAAACAGGGTTTCTCAAATCCAAGAGTGGTCCGAGAATGCAACGTGGCGACATGTCCCAACGAAATCCAACCCAGCAGACATCGTGTCCAGAGGATGTAATGTAGACGAGTTGCGTAGCTCCATTTGGTTTACAGGGCCACCCTTCCTCATGGAATCGGAAGAAAATTGGCCTGTGAATGCTCACTTCGAGCCGCCTACAAATTCAGCTGCCCTAGAAATGCGTAAGTCTGCTGTAGTTTTACTCGCAGATCGGCAAGCCAATTATATTCTCGAAGTTATCGAAAGCTACTCGTCACATTCAAAATTGCTGAGGGTGTTCGTTTGGGTTTTTCGATTTATACAAAGGTGCAGAAAGGTCTCGAAGCCCTTTGATCCTATAGCCAAGCCAAGCGAACTCAATTTGGTATTCAACAAAATTGTTCAAGTCATCCAGGACAATGAGTTCGGTGACGAAATTGACAAGATTCGAAAAAAGAGAACACTAAACGCTAACTTACAGCGTCTGAGTCCATTTCTACATGAGTTTAGAGAAGACGGTTTCTTGTTTTCCTTGCTGAGAGTGGGGGGAAGATTATTAAATGCTCCTATCCCGTATGAAGCCAAGTTTCCGTTGTTGCTTTCTAAAAAGTCGCAATTCATAAGATCCTACGTATCTTATTTGCATGTGTCAAATTGCCATGCTGGCCCTAGATCGCTGGTGAGCCTGCTTCGTGAGCGAGTTTGGCTGGTTAACGCTCAGGAAGTGTGTCGCCGAACAGTACGTTCGTGCATCCTCTGCTTCAAATGGAAGCCCCGGTTGGCCTCCCAAGTAATGGGAAATCTTCCGGCAGACAGGCTCCAGCCGTTCCACCCGTTCGAAGTATGTGGTGTTGATTTTTGTGGCCCTATAAGCACAACGCTCCGCATCCGTGGCAAGCCACCGTATAAGTCGTACGTGGCTCTTTTCGTTTGTTTTGCCTCGAAAGCGGTTCACTTAGAGCTTGTGTCAGATCTAACCACTGATGCTTTTCTCTTGGTTTTTGAAAGGTTCGTCGGCAGGAGAGGCGTTCCTCGCAAAGTTTACTGCGACAACGCGACGAACTTCGTGGGAGCCGACAGGAAGCTGCAGGAGTTCCGAGCGAGATGGGAGAAGGAGGCGGAAGGCGTACGCGAATTCGCATCAAGAAAAGGATGCGAGTTTGCGTACATACCACCCAGAGCGCCTCACTTCGGCGGTCTATGGGAGGCAGGTGTCAAGTCTGCAAAGCACCTGTTCCTACGGACGGTGGGCAATGCGCTCCTGACCGCAGAAGAGCTCGGAACACTCCTGGCGAGCGTCGAGGCCGTGCTGAACTCTCGGCCACTGGGACCACTCAGCGCGGACCCCAGCGACGGCGAGGCGCTAACCCCGGGCCACTTTCTAATCGGACGGCCTCTTCTGGCGACTCCAGCTCCACCGCTCCCGGACATCGACAGCCAAACCTGCTTAAGGCGATGGCGCAATGCCTCGTGTCTCAAGCACAGGTTTTGGCAGCGATGGTCCCGGGAGTACATTTCGAGCCTCCAGGTGCGAGCGAAGTGGTTCCAGGAGGAACCCAACGTCGTCGTGGGACAACTCGTCGTGGTGGCCGAAGACAACGTGCCGCCACAAAAGTGGGTACTTGGCAGGGTCACCACAACTCACGCCGGGACAGACGGGAAGGTGCGGGTGGCCGACGTCGCCACGAGTAGTGGCAATCTACGGAGGGCTATTCATCGGCTGGCGCCATTGCCCGTTGAAGGACGATGTCCCTCCAAGGGGGCCGGTGTTGGCGCAGATGCTGCTTTAGATTAAGATAGTTTAAGAGAATTATTTGAATTTTAATTTAGGGCGAAAAGAGAGCGCGAGAGCGGCCGTTTGCGGACGTCGCCTCGCGCCCTTTTTTCGCCGCCTTAGGCTTAGTTTAGCATGTAAGCCTAAGTTGAAGTCAGTTGTAAAATAGGACTAAATATAAGCACAATTGTCGCCAAATCGTTCGCATTTTCCGCATTAAAAAGTTAAAAGCAAGCGTCCCATTCTTTCTTTGTTTTTAATAATTTATATAAAATAATATAAATTTTCACATTCTTTTCTTTAAATTTTTTACAAATGTGAAATTTATATTTCCATTCCCTAATCTCTGTTTTGAAATGTAATTTTTTGACTTTTGGTTTTACGGTCAAAACAATTTGGGAAAAAACTTGACAGTTTTAGTAGAAAATACTCTTGTTGTATTTAACTTTTTTCTCTACATAATCATCCTTTAGCTCGAAACACCTTTCCAAGCAACGATCAATAAGGGGAATAACGTCGAGCTATCTCTTCATCTTCATTGTTGGCAAATCTTTTACCACCAAGCCATTTTTCCAAGTTTGGAATAAGGAAAATAGTCGAGGGGTGTTAAAACTGGCGCATAGGTGCGAAGCAATTGTAACGTTAGCTCATTGATTTAAGCCACAGCGATAGCGAATGTGTTAACTGTTGCCTTGTATTGATGTACACTTTCTTTTTCGCCGGATGTGATTTCAATTCTCAAATTTTGCAATAAGTTCGCATATCACTTGCTGCTGATTGTTGACTTTGAATCACAACTCTAACACGTGCAACCCAAATGCTTGCCCAGAAATATATGAAAAAAAAATATCTTCGAGTATTTTGGTATTGTAAAAATGATCAATAAAACGCCTAGAGTTTGTAATTAGACCTTGCAGACTCTGCTAATCCAAGTATGTTTTGTCATTCTTCTCCCAAGAAAACGTCTACTATATTTCAACTTATTCACAAGCAGGTCTGTAAGTGGATCTCTAAAGTTTTATCTAAAAATAACCTGATGCCAATTTACTTAGTCATTTGTGTTTTTGTGCAAATTATGGATGAATTTCGTGATGCACTCAAGAGTCAGTAAAAACAAAAAAACTGTTTGCATAAGAATTAAACGTGTGCGCATTAAAAAGAAACCCATTCCTCTTATATACATGCAGTATGTATGGTATGCATAAAGGGTACGAATAATGAAATTAATATTTTACTGCAAGGCTGTCTTTTTATAACAATTTTAGCAACGTTTTTCAAATGTTTATTTCGACATTTTTCCTTTTATATTTCTGAATTGCAAAACACAAGCGCTGCTGCCGATTTCCGGTGGCGCACTCTAATTAATGAGCTATAAAAATGACTAAATGGAATTGAAGAATGCAAGGAATGGAGTGAGGAATTCGAAATGGATTTTAACAAAATATAATGTCAATTTCGAATGCAATAAGCTTTGTTTAAATTCACAAGCATGTCATGAGTATTATGTTAATTGAATGAATTAATTTTCTGCAAAACTCTATATTAGGCTATTTTAAGTTTATGCGAAAATTGTTTGCCTAACTGTTTTCTTAACAAAGTAACAACAGTGCTTTTGGCAATCCAGATACAAGAGTGGATTACTTATACACTGACGCGCCTGAAGATTAATCTTTTATTGCAAGAATTAAGTTATTACGAAAAAGAAGGCAGCTCAACTCAAGAGATAATCCAGAGATAACTCATATTAAATAAATTGCTACAACATTGTGAAAGGTATATGATCCTAAAAGATGACTAAGTTTGCAAATAAGAAACAAATTTTGCAAAGAAAACTACGTCTTCATTTCACAGACCGATGCTTATTGATTCATCCTCGATCTTGTTTAGATAACTGGCTTGCAGAATTTCATAACGACGTCGTCATTGTCTTAAAACTACACTGTTGTCTATCTGTGGCAGCTGTAGCTGTGTTTTAGAAAATTAAAATTAAATTTAAAATTAAATCATTACAATTTCCATACACTGTTTTTACTGTCCCGGTAGTTGACGAATATGAACTGCTTAGCTTAAATAAAGTCTTCTTCCAAGAGCATACAAAGAAACTAGATTGATATGACAACTAATGGATTAATTCAGTAATGAATAATTAATTGAAGCACAATAAACTGCAAGATGTCAAAAACTCTATGTAAAATAAATTGCTGCTTCATTAAACTATTTAATGCAATCAGTGCTGGATTTCGACAAGTAATTGCTTATTATAGCCAAGGTTTTTACATTTATTATCACAATAGATTCTGCTCCCGGAAGATACTTAGAAAAGGTATTGGGTGGAACATTTCTGACTGCGTCTTGACCGAGTTTATTTTCATGATATCTGTGTAGTCATTATATCATATCAGATAATTAATAAAGCCTACAAATCTAAAAATGCTTTAACAAAGCAAATAGAAACGTGAGATTTTTGCGTGGGAGTAGAGTAGAGAAGAAATATATGAAATAAATCCATGGCATGAATAGCTTTATATACGATTACTAAAGTGTGTCAGTCGAAGTTTTTATTTAAGCCAAATATCAAATATTTATAAAAAGTGAAAAAATTTCACAAGTTTGCCAAAACATGTGCAATTCACAACAATTTTGCTTACCGGCGATATTTGTTTATAAACCAAATTTAATGAACATACAAGTACTATATGTACGAGTACGTAAATATGTATGTATAGTATGTGTGTCTGTCTGCGCACATATTGAGGTTTATTAAATATTTGTTTTCGTCTGCTTGCCTAGCACGTCAATTATACATCGACCCACTTCACACTCAATCCCGATCACTTTCCACCGTACACGCCGGACATGAAGTTTATCACAAAATTGGAATTCTACGCAGACAAAAATATCCCCAGGGCCATGTTCAAGGTGCTTGTCGAGGCGGAGGTGCTGCGTCGATCGCCCCGACCATGACGCATTCGGAAGCAATGTGGCTAATACTTTCATAATATTGCATGTTTTATTGTATCACACACACACACACACACACTTATATATGTATGTATGTATACTTTTATTAAAATCTTGAACAGTTGACCAAATTGGCACCAGTGGATTGTTATTTAGCTATGTACACTGCCCCATCCATACCACTCATGACTAACGGCAATGGAATTCCGTTTTTGATATTACAGCTAAAACGATAAGAAGTTCTCCTCTTTTTTATTCCAGCTCGTACGCAAAAAAGTGCAAAGATAGATTAAAAATTTAAAACGAGAGCGTAAATTATGGCAATAACTAAGAGAAATGTGGAAAATTAGATTAGCGCACTCGTAGAGTGCGGGGAATACGCTACGCTGCCAAATAGTTGGAATTGCAAAATATTTAGCCTAATTAATTTCCAGTTCAATTTTAGTCACAGCTAACAAATAGATGAGCGTATATTGCAGGGAATACGCTTTCACTACACTTTCAATATTTGGGGGGATCGCTAAAAAACATATGACACAAATATGAACATAACTTATAGTACACATTCTTAATGAATAATTATATTTTGTCAAATTCGAGTTCCAATTTATTTATGACTAAATAAGGAGCAAAGTTCATTGAAACACTGACAGCAGATAAGACTAAATTTTGCTACGTTTATGCCTGCAAACACACGAAAATACAAATAAAGAAATTAATTCATTCGCATTAGCTGCGAGCCGCCTGCCTTATTTGTTATCAGGAAACATAAATTTCTTGAAAAAGAAAGGGTTTAAAAAAATGAAAGTGATTCAGGAGAAAACAGCTTTAGTAGTTAATATAAGACTAATATGTATATTCTGCATTGCTAACTTTTAAAACTGAAATCGTTTTCGTAATATTTAAATTTCTATTAATCGGGGACAGACAAGAGTTGCTTTGAAGGCTATCCCTAAATTTAATATCTAGTTTAAGCGTTTTAGCTGCCATTAGTAGCCCTCAACTTTTATTGAGTTCCTGATTTTGTGCTGGCATAAGCATAAGTGGTATTTAATTCGCAACTTGACGTATTCAATTGAATTGACAAAAACACGGGCTTGATGTTAAAATTGGGGCATGAGTCATTATTAACGCTATAAGCGCGTCTGATAAGCTTTATTTGCGGTGCAACTTCCGGCAGAGGATCGTCACTTGTTATAAATAGAAATAGAACAACAATTAAATTGCAACAAACCAAACAAATAAAGTAAAAAAGCTTGCTTAAAAAATTCGAGCATACATGTACTTATGAAAGCTGCTGATGATGTGAGACTAATTCTAACTTTAAACGAATCTCTGATACTTATGAATGCTGCTGATGATGTGAAACTAATTCTAACTTTAAAGGAATCCCAGTTAATTATTTATAGTCTGCGGAATGTTTGTGCTGCATACCTAGACGGTTTTGCTTAATTATTTGCTTTAAAGGTAAGTTAATGACTTTTTATCGGATCAGACAGTCGAAGACTCTGGATTTCTTTTTGATTATAAACTAAGCTGTATCTTCATATCTCAACTGTTGTAACTAATGTCAAAAGAATTTGATTTCAACGTCTTCACTTGGAATACTGCTGATTTTGATTGGTTTATTTGGTTTAAGCCGGGATGTATCTTTATTCTTATTCTATCTATAGTTTTTTTCAAATCGACTGCTTTTCCTAAAAATGTATAATCATCATCTTTGTCTCCATTTTCTCTAAAGTTTAAAATGGTCGACACAGATTGTTGGAATGGAATTACATGCCTAGGTGCCCACTTTTAAATTTTCAGATCGTCATTCCCCCGATATGATTTTAATTTTGCTAGATTCTTTTTTAGGATTTATTTTTTTTGTTTGTCGACAGCCTTTTTTTGTTGACTTAAGAAAATAAATACTATATGTACGACTTTTCAGTGCTTTTCTTGGCGCTTCTGACTGCAAAGAGGTATTTACCATGCTCTCTTTGCTCACGTTTCTAAGTTTTAACCTTAGAAGCCATTGTCTAAGGTCAAAACTATTTCTACATGCAATTTCAACTTAATAAATAAATATAATTCTTTGATTGATTGATCGATTGATGATTATGTAACAATAAAAAAATTTCAAATTGCTTAGCTTTACACAATCTATAAGTGGCGAGTTTTAAATTTGGGACAACTTTTGAACATGTAATTGGATTTTTTTTTTTTGGTTCTATTAATTCTTTTTAAAATTGTGTAAATGCTATTGGTTTTTCTGGCGCTTTTCAATGAAAATTCTTGAATCTTTTCACAATACCCTCTGTAAGTGCCGATCATTATACTAAATACAAATTAAAAACTTTTTAAATATACCCTTATAGTCATATTGATTTTAATGCTCAGCTGTATCTCGGCTTTTATATTTCTTCTACACCAGTTCACTATGTAGTTTGTTGCTAGTATTACTATAATTATCATTCATGGCCTGCATTTGTTAGTTTTATCAGCGACCGATTGAAGATTATGCAAACATATAAAATTCCTGCACGTTCTTCAAAATATTTTACACACAAGGGAAAAGAATAGAAGTAAAGAAGGTACAATCGTGAGGTTTTGAGCTTTAAGTGTGTGAGAACTTTTGAATATATAGTAAGTGTATGTATAACAAATTGATTGGTTCTATTAATTTTCTTTTAATGCATTTATAATATATGCAAATTTCATTGCTAGCAATTCTCGAATCTCTTTTTTTAATATAATCTTCAAATGCTGAGCTTCAACAACTCTCAACAATTCTCTCTCAACAAACTAAAGACAACTTTATACGCACCATTTCACCATGTACCTTGTACCTAATAAATATAGTAAGTATAAATTATTGCCTTTAGTATTATCAGCTGTCGCTTAATGATTTTGCAAAAATAAAAAATGCCGATGCCTTTCCATGGTTTTCTCTTTTTTCTACACACTCTCTTGACTAGTTTACAACTGCACTTCTTCCTTTACATACCTATGTATGTATGTATATGAATATTTATAGTTATAGTGACTTATCAATTCTCTGGTTATGTCTTTCAAATATGTTTAAAATTTCATTGGTTCTTTGTAGTCTCTAAACAATATAACGCAAATTCTTCACACAATCTAGAAATACGAGTGTCGGGGGAGCTTTATCAGCGGGGCCTCCTTACATATGTATGTATGATTATTTATAGCCATTAAAGTAAGTAATTTGGAAGTTGTGACTGCGACTTAAGTATTATCTCGCGCGATACCCACGGGTGCAGATATGTTCCCGGCCATTATAGCTGTCAGTTGACAAGAAGGCAACTAGTTGGCATTTGTTTTCGTCGTTTGTTTTGTTTGCTAGCCTTGTTTGAATAGCGAATTCCACAGTTGGTCGTAACACACAGACACAGAAAGATAACTTTTTCGAATGACGCTGAAGCACTTATTATTGCATTTTTCTTCCGTTTCGTACTATTATTTTTTCTCGTTTTGTACTTTTGAAACGGAGCATGATTTACAATTCTGTATATTTGTGGTTAGCTCTGTAGGTTTGAAAGGTCGAATGAAGGTGGCGGTCGACGTTGGTCCCAAGGGACGTACTTGCGTGTTATAGAATTGGTTGCAAGGGTCTATGTATAGAAATGCTAACTTAACTATGTCAAACTATCTTAATATTTATTCAGCACATTGTTTCACGTTCTATGTTGTTGATTTTATGACGAAACCAGCATGCAAATGTCCCAAGTTTTACGTATTATTTGGTGAGCGACAGATAAGTCGAGGGTTGTTAAAAGAGATTAAAATACCTGCGTCGGTATAAAATCTTGCCTACTTTTTAGGAACTTAATTAGGCATGTTTATAAGGGTGTATCCCAACAACATATCCATATATAGTTCATATGTAAATATTTTTCACAATTCATTCTTAACTAAAAAACAGATAAAACAGCGAAGAATGTCTTTCCTTCAGAAAATGGACAAAACCAGAGTAGATTAAGCTTTAAAGTTTAAACAAAAACATAATTCAATAATAACATCGATTTCATAATGCAAGAAATTGCTATTCAATCGTCAAATAAGAGCGACAATTTAGAAAAGGAATATTCTATGCAGAAAGAAGCTTAACATTTGTTGTTATTTAATTATTTTTGTTTCCTGCTAATACAAACTGTGGTTTCATAATGAAAATGTGATTATTTTATTTGAAATAAAAACATTTTTTTTTACGATTTAGCATCGCAAAGTTCGCCACAATGTTTGTTTTCTCGTCTGCTCGTCTGCCGGCAATACGTGAAAATAAAGTATAAATGGATTTTTAAACAATTTGTTGAGTACTTATAATGTTGGAAACACCATGAATCATAGCATGGTTTTGGAAATATCTCGGATGATATATGGATGCCAAATTCCGTAAGTACTTATTATTCGAAGCGTACATTCATATATACGGATCTATGTAAGTACATATATTAGTATGTATTGTACCTATGCGGGTGTGTGGGTGTATTAAGGTGGGTAGTAAAGGATTAACTGTTCAATCAATCAAGTATGACGTTGGTCTAAAAAAAAGCCGCAATGGCCAAATAATGAGCTTAGTCTAATGGAAAAATCTAGGAACTGGCTGTGACCTCGGGAGGCCCTCGACCTAAGTGTGAGTCATGCTCATAAATATTTATTATGAAAAAGTCTTATGGCTGCCCGGGCATTATATTTAACTACTTAACCGCTCTGCATAAATGTTAATTATATAATTAAACATGAACCTGGTGGCCAGTTGAATACTACTTCTTGGTTTCATTTAATGCTTTACTTCTTTCTGTTGCCAACTAATTTGCATAGAAATATGTTCAACCCCCCACGCTGTTGCCAACGCTCTTGGGCAGCACTTTAGTTAATATATACATATACATATAGTATATATGTGTGTATGTATGTAATTAGGTAACGGTTAATGTTACCTTTCTCTTTTTGGGTTTTTGTGTGGCGAGGGCGGCATTAAAATAATAGTAGATAGCAATTTTTATATTATTGAC